AATGTCACCCTGGACTATCTTGGAGCTGAAAAGTACTTGAATTTTCCTGTAAGAATCTGGATGGAGAGAAGATAGCTGTGACCCTGATGCTGTTCTATTTTGTGGGTTTTCATCATTCTGTAATCCAGGCTGTGTACATCCGTTTGTGTTATCATCTCATTGAATTCCTTTTACCTTATGAGATAATGTTGGCTGTCTAATAAAATGGGATATGTCTTTAAGTTCCACAATAAATGATCACTTGACTTCTATAGAATAGAATAAAAATTGCAATAAGCCTTTTTTTTCTACTGGGAAGATTAACTAATAACTAATCACATGAATTGTTATATAGCTTGTTTTTTTTTATAGAGGCAGATCTTTCAGCTATAACCATCTGATTAGCTAAAAATAAACATCTGTAATCATAATTCTTGTATTATGACTGTTATTACATCAAACAGTGTGGGGAAAATTTTAAGAACAATGGTTTTATTTTTAGAACAAAAGAAGCAATAAGGAATAAAACTATGATTGACAGCCAGATAAAGAGCCTATCTCTGTTAGGATGTACTAGCTTTTCTCTTTTCCTTCAACATGTCTTATATTATCAAATGTAGTAGCTGCTTCCTTAAAACATCTGATCCTGAATAGTTATAGAAAGATGTGGAGATACTTTATCATTGGTAAAGGATTGGAAGAAGTTGGCTTAATTCTGTGGTCTTTATGAAAATATATAATTGAAAAATAAAATAGTTCTTTGGTTTATTGTGAAAATACTGTACAGAGGGGTTACAATTACATGGGCAAGATAATGAGTACGTTTCTTATCAAGCATTGTAGTCTCCTCCTTTGTTTCCACTTCCCATCCCATCCTCCCTCCCACCCCCTCCCCCAACCCTCCTCCCTCCCTACCAAATATTTTAAGACACATTTCAAAAAAGTTCAATTACATTTATCCCCTTAAATACTTATTACAGTTTAAAAGGCTCTTTTCTTCTTTGATCCCTTTATGGATAATCTGACATATATAAACTGACATATGTGCATGTAAATATGTAAAAGGGTGTTTATCACAACATTGTTTATAACAAAGTTAGATTTTCTCACTATCTATTAGTATAGGATTGTATAAATGCATTATGGTTCACTTCTATGATGGAATATTATGCCACCATTCAGGAATGAGGTATTGATAAAGAAAAATGCCAAGGTATGCTTTAAGAGGGAAAAAGTCAAAAGGGATGGAATGGTACACACAGGATAAAACAATTTGCACACTTAAAAGGTTGCTTGCAGATGTATGTGTACATTATGTGTGCATGGTGTGTTCCTGATATTTGCACAAAAATCTGTCAAAATGCTTGGTACCCTGTGTATTGTATATACTTTTATCTGAATCAGGGAAGGGAAGGAGAACCACAAAATGGTGAAACAAAGGACAAAGGACGAACCAATGCAGCAGCGATATTCACAAGACAACTTTACAACTTGGGCAGAGGCATTACAGGGAGGGAAAGTGGGAGGGAAACGAGGGAGGGGGTAACAATGTTGACAAGAAATATACTCATTGCCTTACGTATGTGAGGCATTACAGGGAGGGAGAGTGGGAGGGAAACGAGGGAGGGGGTAACAATGTTGACAAGAAATATACTCATTGCCTTACGTATGTAGTTGTAACCCCTCTGTATGTCATCTTGACAATAAAATTAAAATTTAAAAAATCTGTCAAAACGCTTCCCTTCTAGGAAGGAAACTGTACACTGTAGGTAAGTGGTCTGGTTACTCTTTACTGTGTAAGCTATAAATTCTTTTTTGCTGCAAGTATGTATAATTTAAAGATAGACTAAGATAATTACTTAAATTAGAAAATCAATTAAGTTTATTTTAATAATTTGATAATAGATTCATATAGATTATAACATTAAAACATCTTGGACTAAAAAATTTCCAGATATTTAAAAGAAAAAAGTTTTCGTTACTTCTTAGTTGAAGTAAATTTTGACTGATGGCAAATAATATCTGAGAAATATATTGTAAGAAAAAATAGATTTCTACTATTATTTAAAAGAGATATGTATACTACCAATCGGGGTCTGAAAAATGATAGTAGCTGGAGCTGGAGCTGGAGCTGAGGAGATTTTCTCCCTTTGGTGTTTATGCTTCTCCTGGAGTGTCATGGAAACATTCAGTCATGATTCAACCACATTGAGCTCTGCTCTGCCTTCGCAGTGTTAGGCATTTGTGCAGATGGGGTCTGATCATATGCTGTTTTTGGATCAGTTCCTATTTCTCTGAATCAATAATTAGTGAAATATTGTTTTCTATTATCTAATCTTCTAACATTCCCTAATATAATGGAGGAATGATTTTAAAAAGGAATTTTGTCTTTTTAATAAGTGTAACATGACTTTTCCAGAGTTTATATTTTTAAAAACTTTAATTACTTACACATCCTCTCTCATAGGCTTTGCCCTTGGCATTTTTCTCCTTCTTATAGTGACTACTGGCTTCCTATGTTTCTCTGATTTGATGTTGTAATTCTTATGATTATCTTTTTTGTTTCTGTGTGTTTTACTTTCTTTGTTTCTCCTATCTTTTTGCTTTGTTGTTTTCTATAGTCTTAAGCCTCTGAGAGAGAAGATCTGGGTTAGTTCATCATTGTGCAATCTAGGGAAACATTTAAGCAGAATTCTTTCTCTGGCAAGGTATCCTGATTGACTGATGACCTTTCCTGTCTGGCCAGTTTGAAGCTAGAGTGTTGATTTCAGGTCCAATCAAATGAGTCCAGGAAGTCAGCCTCACCCTAATCATAATGTCATCTCATGCACTTAGAATCTAATTATAAAGCATTCACCATCTAACAATCCAATGGAAGACATTTAAGCTATAAATGTACTCTTGTCCTTACTAGAATCATAAAGGGAAAAGTGAAGTAGAACAAATTAGTCTTAGGGTAAAACTTAGATTTGCAGTGCATGGATCACACACAGACTCTAGAGCCAACTCTTAAGTACTGTTAGGCTTTTTGTCACCTCTGTTGATAACTTCCTAAATGGACTGCCTTAGTTGGAGCCTTTTGTGTAGAATAGGGATAATAATATTTCTTTTAAGGCTGATGTGAGGATTAAATGTGATTGTGTTTAGGGATAAATGGAGTAAAACAATAATTGACACATAATCATTATTATGTTTGTGTGTTTGTGCCAGCACCAGGGCTTGAATTTATTTATGGCTTTGAGCTCTTGTTCCACTTTTTTGCTCAAAGGTAGTGTTCTACTACTTAAGTCACACCTTCAGTCCAGTCCTTTCACTGGTTAACTGGAAAGTCTTTGGACTTAATGCCCAAGCTAGGTTCAAACCATAATCTTCATATCACAACTTCATGATTCAGGATTATTGGCATGAGCCCCTGATATCTGGATGTCATAAAATAGTTATAATAACAGCAAATATTTACTGAATGCAAACATTATTTCAAATGCTTCATGACTCTGTGTGTGTGTATATGTGTGTGTGTGCTTCTTTAATCCTTATGAAAGCCCTTTGAGATTATTTTCCCCATTTTATTGATGAGGAGACTGAGAAACTAGTAATTTCTATAACTTTCTTGAGATTACAAAGCTTAGAAGGTAAATAAGCTGATAATTCAGGCTTTTAATATTTAAACTGAATCAACTTTCCTTATGTCTTCCTATCTTATCTAGGATTTGTTTCTTTGTTTCCCTCATTACCTACAACTTTTTAGATTACATTCCTTGTAAAGGATCACTCTATCTGCTCCATCAAATCTAAGCACAACCCCCCCATTCATGATGCTCAGTGACTCCTCTGAGTATGTAGAGTGGGTAATGTCATGAATTGCATTGTCTGTCATTTTGCCTGCTCTCTACTTTCTCTCCAAAGCTGAGAGTTACCAGTTCCCATGGGATTATGTCATGAGCAACAATAGCAACTGGGCTGTTTGGCTTGGAGCTCTTATAAAGAGATTGTCTTCAACCCTGTCCTCTCCCTTCCTTTTGACAAACCTTGAGTATTTTAAGTGGAGTCAACCCTTAAACTAACAATCTTGCCCCTTTACTGTCAGTCCTTCATAGTTCTCTCTTTAGTATACCAGTGAGTCAATTTAATGAGAAGCCTCTAGCTACTGAAGGTATAGATTGCAGGAAGAATGGAAAAAGATCATTCAGAGCATAACTCCTCAACTTTCAATGTGCATATGAGTTCTTTAGCCTTGGTAAAGTGCAGGTTTTGATGTAGTATGTCTGTGGTCTGGCCTGAGATTGTACAAGCTCCTGATGGCCCCAGTCCTGATGGTCTCCGGCTCACACTGAGTAGCACTCAGTGTAAGAAGGTAGACAAATTACTGGGTCCTTCTCTGGCCACATTTAGTCTAAGGAAGCGAATCTCTCTTCATGTCAAACCCCATCCTCAGACTACTTACCAGTAAAAGAGTTACTGGTTTGACAAAAGAATAGCCTAAATTTGTCTATCTGGTGCTCAGGTTTTGATGCAAAAGTTATAAAAACTCAAGTTCCCTCCATTGGGATAGGTTAGTGACTATTACATGATTTATATTACTTTTTATATAGCTCCATGTGAAAGCATTGGTTTGCTCCTGGTACTCAGGGTTGAATCTCTCAAAACTAGGGGGAGGAAGGGAGAGAGGAAGCAAAGAAGGAAGAAGGAATGAATGGATGAACAAATGAATGAAAAAGGAAGAAATTTAAACTTTCTCAAATACAAATGAGTATTTCAATATCTGTTTCTTTCTTCCTCTAATTGCACGTACATAAGAGCAAAGTTCAGACAACATTTATGTCCCTATCTTGATTTCTAGTCAGTTTACAAGGAATGTTTCTGAATAGTTCTGTTGGAATTGGTTTGGTAATACGAATCGGAATAATGAAATCCTGTTCAGATCTGTAATACGGAGCTGCAGTGTGAGCAGCCCCGTGAAAGGACATGGCAGATTCTCCCCGTGGGTGGCAAAGGCTTATGGCTTCTGTTTCTATTTTCAGGGAGGAGAGCACTGTTACTACCAGGGCCAGATCCGAGGAAATCCTGCTTCATTTGTTGCATTGTCAACATGCCATGGACTTCAGTAAGTGTCCAAAACCTTATCTATCCCAATCATTCGTTTGATAACTTATTTTCTTTATTTTAATGTCCTAGAGTAGACATTTCCATTTTGTGTCAATAAATAATTCCAAATCTGTGATTCTGACTTTCTTTCTCTTTTATTTGTTTGCTTCTGTTTTTCTGTCTTTTGTAGCGAGGCTTCACATGTAGCCCAGAAGGCCATCCACCTGCCTCAGCTTCCTGAGTGCTGGAAATATAGGAATATGTCATCTAGCCTGGATCTTTAAACCAAAAGGATTTTGAAATTATATTTTTAGGAACTAGAGGTCTTGGAATTATTATATGGTATCTTAAAGTATTACTTGAAGCATTTTATTCATTTCATTTAAATTCAAGCAAGAGTGGCTTGTGTAACTTTGTTTGTTTCTATGGATGTTTAGCCCTTCAGTACCAATTCTAACAAAACTTGCCCTTGATATTAGCAGCTGCAACCACTGCTGCTGCTGCCACCACCACCACCTCTTCCTCTTTTCCTCCTCCTCCTTCTCCTCCTCCTCCTCCTCCTCCCCCTCCCCCTCCTCCTCTCCCTCCCCCTCCCCTCCCCCTCTTCCCCTCTTCCCCCTTCTTCTTCTTCTTCCTTCTTCTTCTTCTTCTTCTTCTTCTTCTTCTTCTTCTTCTTCTTCTTCTTCTTCTTCTTCTTCTTCTTCTTCTTCTTCTTCTTCTTCTTCTTCTTCTTCTTCTTCTTCTTCTTCTTCTTCTTCTTCTTCATCGTGGTGGTAGTGGTGTGTGTGTGTGTGTGTGTGTGTGTGTGTGTGAATGCTCATGCCAATATTGGGACTTGAACTCAAGATCTCTATCTCTTACTTGGCTTTTCAATCACTGGTGTTCTGTCAAAGCTACACCTGTAAGTCCAGCTATTTTGCTGATTAATTGGAGATGGAGACTTGAAAGTCTTGAAGACTTTCTGCCTGAGCTGGATTTGAACTGTGATCTTCTGATCTCAGCCTCCTGAGTAGCTAGGATTACAGATGTGAGCCACTGGCACCTGGCTAGAATAATAGAAATATCATTAGATGGAAATTATTCACAAAAAGGCAACACATGAGCTCCAGAGCACTTGCATTGCAGCCCTCTTTCAGCCCAAATCCTGTCTAGCTCATAGCAATCCGTGGGTGGATCTGTGTATTCCCAGAGATCTCTAAAGGAGAGAGATCATCTTTTCTTGCTTCCTTTCCCATAACCTTCACTACCACAGCATGCTTGCTGATGTCTAACATGGGAATACATTTTCCTCCATCCTGTCCATTATGGTGATACCCAGGTGGCCAACTCTTACTTGTTTTGTAACTACTTGTAAGCTACCATGTCTTTCTTAGGTTCATAAGTTTTCTTAACAACTAATTAAGCAACAAGCTCAAATTTGTAAATTTATTTATTTTTAAATATATTCTTTGAGTAAACAGGCTTTATGACACTCTGCTTTACTAAGAAATGTTGTAGTGCTTTTCAACAGTGAAATAATTGTTCTATTTGATCTCAATAGGAGCACAGCTGTTAGCAAGAAATAGTGTAGTGAAGTATGATGGCTTTGGGGACAGCAAATATATGTTAGAGAGAAGAGTGATATATAAAAATAAGTGTTGGGCTGGAAAGGCGGCTCAGTGATAGAGTGCTTGCCTTGCATGCATGAGGCCCTGGGTTTGATTCCTCAGCACCACATAAGCAAAAAGAAAAAAGCCAGAAGTGGCGCTGTGGCTCAAGTGGTAGAGCCCTAGCCTTGAGCTGAAGAGCTGAGGGACAGTGCCCAGAGTTCAGGCCCCACGACCAGAACCCCCCCCCCCAAAAAAAAAGTGTTGTCTTGATTCTTTTTAGAGGCTTCTTTTCTTTGTAGAATGCAAATTCAGAGTCACAATGTGAGCCTCATTCTCTGTTCTATTCCAGTTTGCTCTCTGGGTTTCCAAATGGATATAATATTGTAAGAACACTGTGAAGGTAGGCAGGCACTGGTAGCTTGTACCAGCAATCCTAGCTATTCAGGATCTGAACACTGTGGTCCAAAGCCATTCTAAGCAGGAAAGTTCTTGAGACTCCTAAAGACTTTATCTCCACTGAACCACCCAAAAGCTGGAAGTAGAGCTGTTGTTCAAGTGACAGAGTACCAGCTTTGGGTGAAACAGCTAAAGGAGAGCTCCCAGGTCCTTGAGTTCAAGCCCCAGGACAGGTATACACATAGAGAAAGAATTGAGGGCTCTACATATGAGAATATAAGAATGTAATATGCTACAAAATCCTACCACACTCTTTATAGAAAGGATAATAGCTTCCAGAAAAATTTTATTGTGATTGGATCAGGAGAACATAGAAACCTATTTTAAGTTGCTTTAAGTAAAATTTACCTTTTACTTAAAATTAAGTGACACCAAACTAACAGAAAGTCCACATATGTCCTGGCACACTGACAATTGTGTTTGGATTTCCTAGTCTGATATGGGTATGTTGTATGTATGTGTATATATATATACACGTATATATATATGTATATACGTATGTATATATATATACACATACATACATCTATATATACACTTACATATATATATATATATATATATATATATATATATAAAAACACTTTGTACCTCTTTAGTTATTTATTAACTATTGCTTCTCATCTTGGTTTGACTTTCTGAGAAAAATTGCTCTCAGAAATATTTGGGGAAATATGACTAAATATTAAATAAAGAAGCTTATCTCAATTATAGTGGTTTAGATATTATGAATGGCTCATCTTTTATAAACTACCAAGTAGATATTGTTTATTCACTTTTTTATTTACTACATTTGTTTGAAGAATGTTACAAAGGAAAAAATCATATTTATGTGACTAGCCCATAAAAATCTTGGAAGGGTACATTTCTTCAAATATGAAAGACTAATAGCCAATATTTTGATTGTAAGATGTTTGATATGACAGTCTTGTAATGATAAAGTTAAAATTGAAATCAAGTGACTTTATTGCCCTCTTGTGGAAATTAATAAGAATGGCCACTATTTTCTTTCAAAATCTTGATTTGGCTTTATATGTTTTTAGCACCTTTGATCTGTAATGACTTGGTTCTAGCTGCAAGTGTATATGGATTTTGTACTCAAATTCATACTGTTAAGTCAAAAGATAATCTTCAAAGCAGATAACATACCTATAATTTTTATTACTAAAGTATTAATAATGATATATACACTGGTCATAATGAGCCAGAATCTCCCAAATACAGTGTCAGAATCTTTTTTCTTAAAACTACATGATGTGTCTTTATAAGATATGATGTTTAAGCCCAATAAAAAGAATTCCTTTTTCCATTGGACATTAACTTAATGCTAGAGTAAATAACTCTGGGTGCTATTTAAACAAAAATAATCTCCTTGCTACCTAACCCGTGTTGGCATGTGAAGTTTGGCACAGGCCGATATTTATGATTTTTCTGGATCAGTGTGACCAGTTCTCAGCCAGTGAACAAACTATATTCACTGCCATATTTGCTTTGCTACTTGGCATATGTCAGCAGTAGTATCTTGCTAACTACATCTGTTTATCTTTAAAGTCCAAATGTAATGTCATCCAAATTCAGAAAGTGCACTTGGGGCAGAAACCTGCAGATGTGAGAACAGCTATTCTGTGGGTACATGAAAGTTTAGGACATGTGGAAGATGTTACAGCAGGAATGAAAGAATTTGGATAGAAACGGAACTGGAAGTAATTATAATTTAGCTCAGGAAAACCAAGAGATTCCACCAAGGATTCAAATGCTATTCTGTGTCTAAGAACTTAGCTGTCATCTGGTCACTTCTACTGTGAGCTAAAAAATTACTACAGAAGATCACAGACTTGCTTCCCTTACTTCTTGCCAGGACAGATTTCTCCAGCCTCGTAAGGGGTGATTTCAGTAGAGGAGCGTGTTCTTCTACATGGGATGGTAATGAGTTCTGTGAGTGGGAGTGGCAGTCAGGTAGAGCTTAAATGCCCTCCAGAAAATCTCTCAGTTGTAGTCACCTCCAGATCAAGAGGTCTAAAGTCACTCTTGATTTGGTTCTTGCTTTGTTCCCTCTACCTTCCGCCTGTTCATATGTTCTTCTTGTAGCCATTCTTTTTTGTGAAATGACAACTCCATCTTTCTGGTTGCTCATGTGAAAAATGTGGAGTACTGATGATTCTTCTTGTTCTTCCACACCCCATGTCAAATCTATCAATGAACCTTTTAGCTTGCTTTAAAAGTAAATTGAATTGGGATTGGGGGGGAGGGGGAAGGCTGGGAAGGGATGTGAAGGGTAAACCAAAGGAGGAGGATGCAATGCTTGGTAAGAAATGTACGCATTATCCTGCCCATGTAATTGTAACCCCTCTGTACAGTATGTTCACAAATAAAATAAAATTAAATTAAAAAAAAATAAAAGTAAATTGAAGCTGAGGGTAGAGCTCGATGATAGAACATATGCTTAGCATCCTTAAGACCTTGGGCTGAATCCCTAGCGCCAAAAATACATGTGTTCATATATACATATGTGCATATGAATACATACGTTTACATACATACACATATATGCATGTATACACACACATATCGCTCCAGAATTTGGCCAATTCTCATTGTTTCTACCATGGCTCCTCTGATCTAAACCACCTTCTTCTTCCACCAGCATTTCCATAATATTCCTGCTTTTGTCCTTGCTGTCCTAAAGATCATTGTGACCTACAGCTGGGAAAACCAACTGTTGGATTTCTTGAGCTACAAAGGAAATTGTGTTTCCTCTGCTCAGAAGCCTGCAGTGGTTGGATTCTTATTCTCCCAGAGTAAAAGCTAAAGCCCCCAGAGGTGCCTACCTAATGTAACCCTAATAAGATCAACCTTCTTATCTCACTTTCTGGCAACTGTCCTGCTACCTACTCTACTTCAGCAATGCTCTCTTCTTGTTCCTGTAGCATGCCAAGATTTTCTTTAACTTGAAACTTTTGATTGTTGGTTCTTTTTAGTTTGGGTGTGGTGGTTCCTGTCTATAATCCTAGTACTCAGGAGGCAGAAACCTAATGAATTGGATTAGGCTCCCAAAAGATTTCTCCGACCTGGAGCTTGCATTTTGAAATGCTCATTGTAGGATGCACTTATGGTTCATCCTTTCCCTTCTTTCAGATTTTTCTTAACCTCTATCTTCTCTGTGAAGCCCTGTTCTGACCACTTTGTGGACTGGAAGGCCTGTCTCTTGTTCCCCATGCCATCTTCTGGTACCATTTATTGCCCCTATATACCTCTAAACTTTCTTCTCTAAGCCTTACCATCAACTAATATATGTTTTCTTGTTTACTGTATACTTGTTATATGTTCTTTCTAGAATGTCCCACAAGAATTGTCTCATTTCCTTACCACTATATCCCCAGTACCAACAGCATTACATTGTAGGTCCTCTGTAAATACATACTGAATGTGTGTATGAATAAATGGATGAACTCGAGTTACAGGTTGGAAATGGTCAGTTAGTTCATTGGTTAATAACCACGGACCCACAGGATGTCCTACATTTGCTGCCTCTACTTTCATCACTTATGTAATCTGGGAAAGATGCATCATTTTGGGGGGTTTCTGTTTCCTCACCTATAAAGTGAGGATAGTCACTGTACCCTTCTCATAAATTTGTGAAAGAAACTAAATGAGTAATATATGTTTAGTGCATGGCAAGTTACAGAAATGTGAGGTAGGCTTTGTTACCAGGGAATGTTCTAGGTGTATAGTAGGGAGGAAATTTTCAGTATTACCTGCATCCCACTCACCCAGGGTTTGTTTAAAAATGTGACTTCCTGAATCCCAACCCAGACATTCAGGGAGTTCTGACTTATATTTTTACAAGCACTCCTTTTACAAGGCAGCCTTTTATATATTAAAGTCTTAGAAGTATATAGTAGAGGGAGGAGTACTAGAAAATGGCTAGAGAATGACCACGGTAAGCATGGAGTAGAGTCAGGGTGACAGGGATTCATGAGGGCCTTAGTTTCTCACCAGTGTGTGTGGTGTATTTGGTGATTGTGGCTGGGATGGAGAAATAGGTATTGAAAGTAGCTGACTGCAGATTTAAAAATGATCCTGTTCTGAGAGGAGAGTTGATAGTCATGCCTAATTATTTTCTTGTTCTTGGCAGTGGGATGTTCTATGATGGGAACCACACATATCTCATTGAACCAGAAGAAAATGACACCTCCCAAGTAAGTGCAAATGTTAGTGCTGGTGTGGAAAACTTTTGTCCCCTTGCCTTCCCGTACTTCTACTTTAGTTGGTTTTTATATTTTTAGGGCTTGGATAATGTAAATATGTTATGAGTATATATGTCATTTAAATATGTTGAAATTTAAATATTGACTAAGTCAAACCTCCAAGATTTTTTTTCTTTTTCTTCTGTCTCTTCATTTTGTTAGAAATACTTTCCTGAGAGGTGTTCAAGAGCCTCTATTTCCATCTCCACTATAAACTGCTATGATGTACAAGCTTGTGAAGATACTACAGACTCAATGGCTTAAACAACAGATTTTTTTCCCCTCATAGTTCTGAAGGCTGTGAAGTCCAAGGTCTAGGTGCTGTTTAGGCTAGTGTCCAGTGAGAACTTCCTCCCTGGGGGATAGATGTCTACCTTGATCATGTATCTCATATAGAGAACAAGTTGTTGTCTCTCTTCTTGCAAGGGCTCAGCCTTATTGGATTAGGGCCTTACCCTTATAACCTCAATCTACTTTTATTATGGCTTCATAAGCCCTTTCTCCATAGGTGGTGACACAGCAAGGCTTCAGTGTATAAGCTTTGGGTGGGGCACAAACATTTAGTCTATAATATAAAAATCTTCAGAAATTTCACCTCTCCTTTCTTTTCTGGATTCCAGATGTTCCTCCATCTCCATTGCTTTTAAAGTTCTATACTAATGAAATTTAGAGAAACTTAAGGCTTCTTAATTCTATCCTTCACTCTGAAACATCTATCAAAACATTTACTTGGTGCAAATTACAAAATAATTGAGTTAATACTATAGATGACTGAGAAACTAAATAAACTTCCATTTTAGGTCTCTACACACAAATATCCTCCTTGGTATCATGCAACATTGGACAAATACTTAGAGAAACAAGGAATGCACATTGCATTTTTCCCTATTAACAACCTTGTTTAGAAAACTTACTTGTATATTCTTTTCTGTGTCCGTATCATTGGCTGTTCTGTCATTTTGCTTGGCAGTCTGGTTCTTTAACACTTGACTCCAGCATTCTAACTTATGTTAGTACCTGGATAAAGCTAGATAATTTTTTTCGGTGTTCAATATTTTTTCTTAGCAGAAAATATGGTTTTTATCTCTTGCTTTCTAATAGGATTGTCCATGACACTTGAATTTGGGCATCCGCTTGAATTTGGACTCTGCAGGTTTTGCCTAGAGAGGTTATTTGGCTCTTCAAAGTGGGCAAGGAGCCGTGAAAGGAACCAGTCAAAGAAACATTAACCCATTTTCCCAGATGCCTTATTTTTCCTTGGGGGAATAGATCTGCTCATTTATTTTCCATTACAGTAGGCTTTGGCTTCTCTGAGAGGTATTTTGCTTGTAATTGGGTATTGTTCTGGTGCTGGGAGAATTCAGACCTAAGTGGGACGGCTTGCAATGGCTCATGGCCTCTACAACCCAGGGGACTGTGTGTAGTCAGTTTTCTCTTAAGAGGCCCAGCCTCTGCAACTATGATGGCCTGGGGGCAGAACTACATGGTTTGTAAGTATGTACTCTCCATTGCTTGTGTCATTTCAGGAGGATTTCCATTTTCATTCGGTTTACAAATCCAGACTGTTTGAATTTCCTTTGGATGATCTTCCATCTGGTATGGTATCTAACTACTTATGTAATTCATTTAGTATCTTAAAATGAATATATATGTAAATACTAGTAACACGCAAGACATTTTTAGTTATATCAAGGTAAGTCATATCAAGAGAAAGAATAAAATGCAAACTAGCTTTATGTTTGTGGTTGAGAAATTCAGAAAAATATTGCACACTAAAACAAAATTTTAATTTAAAAAGTTAAGTCTAGGAATGGGAGTATGACTGTAATCCTAGCTACTCAGGAAGTGGAAATAGAAGGACCGAGGTCTGGAAGACCCGATCTGAAAATCAAACTAAAAGCAAAAGGACTTGGGAAGATTACTCAAGTGATAGCATTCTTGATAAGCAAGCTCAAGGGGCTTGAATTAAATCAACAGTATTTTTATCCTCTCAAAAATTTTTATGGACTCAGAGTACAGAACTAGAGAAGAAATAATTTTAGAATTGATATTCATAAATAAAAAGTGCAAAATTTCACTCTTGGTAAAATAATTTTTTTTTCAGTGTGGGTCCTAGGCACTATGTCTGAGCTTTTTGGCTCAAGTCTAGCACTCTACCACTTGAGACACAGTGCCACTTCTAGCTCTTTTGGTAAAGTTTAATTGGAGATAAGAGTTTCAAGGGCTTTCCTGCCTGGGCTGGCTTTGAACTGTCATCCTCACATCCAGCCTTCTGCATAGTTAGGATTATAGGCATGATCTATCAGCCCCTGGCTAATAATGACTTTTTAAATATAAGGAAGAACTCTTAATCACTTTCCCATTTAATGTTTTTTCATCAACATTTTTTAGAATATTAAGAGAAATTCTTTAGTATATTAACTTTTTATGTTGTTATGTACTGTCATTAAATTAATATTTTATTCCCTATACATGTTTATGATTCTGTTGTTTATAGATGATGATTTTTTGTTTATTTTTTGAGACAAGATCTCACTATATATGCAAAGTTGGCCTAGAGACTACTACGTAGGTCAGCCTGGCCTCAAACTTGTCATCTTTCTGCATATGCTTCCCAAGTACTGGAATTACTGGTTTAGGTCTCCATGGTCATAATGAGTGTCAGTTTGATAGTTGGATCTTCATATGAATAGATCACTCAGACTTGGGTTTTGTTCTAGTGATTTTGCAGGGGTTGGTGGGGATTTCTCTTTGGCTGTGCTGACTCATTTGTTTCTTCCTCTGAAGATAAGAATAGCTAATTTATCTAGCATAGAGACACTTTTACCCTTATATGAGTCCTGACCATTCCCATTTTTAAAAAAACTTAATTATTATTGTCAAGGTGGTGTGTAGAGGGGTTACAGTTACATATGTAAGATAGTGAGTACATTTCTTGTCAAACAAGGGGTAATATAGTTACCCCTCAATCTTGGTAACAGATTAATAGTATTCCTGTTTTGTAGATAAAGAATCAGAGGCTTGGCTAGTTTGTCTTTTTCAGGATCCCAGAGGTAGTAAGGGATAAAATGAGGCCGTGGGTTACAACACTGAGAAAAGGTACTATGGGAGAGAGGCACTGGAGGAAAGGAGAAAGCTGAGAGAAAATACTAAACTACTGCTTAGAAAATTGCTTAGAAGTTTATAGTCTTTTCATCAGAAAATGAAAGAAATGTTTTCTAATGCCCCTTTCTCTCATATAAGCTTTTTAGACTCCCCCTTTAGTGACCTTATGAAACTAATTTTAAACTCTTTAATGGGAAGAAAATAAATGATCACTACAGCTACACGAGGATAAAGTTACAATTTAATAGGTATTACTGGAAATAATCAACATGACTTAATATTTAAAGTAACCAACACTCTCCTAGGCGACTCAACTTTAGGCTTGCTTTTACTTTGTTCAGGTTTTTTGATTAGGTTTCTTTGGTTTTGAAGTGACTTGGCAGTTTTGATATTATAGAATTGGATTTGAAGCTGAGCCATTCGAAGTACTCAGGAGGCCAAGGTCAAGGGGTCACATTGTGAAGCCAGCCTAGGCAGAATAGTCTAAGATTCCAACTCCAATTTACCAGACAATAGTGAGGCTGGAGATGCTGGTCAAGTGAAAGAATGCTGGCTGTGAGCAAGCAAACCCAGCTTGAGCTTGAAGGCTTGACAGCACCATGTGCACACACAACAATAAAATTTAGATGTATTAGTTGAAAATTCCTGTCTCAACTAGTTTCTGGTTTTCTTTCCTCATCAGAAGACGGTAGATCCGTTTTAAGAGTTGTATTTGTCTTTCAATCTCACTATCAAACAAGGAATAGTCCAAAGTAAGCTTATTTATTATTTATTTATTTATCTATCTTGCTGGTTGTGGGCTTGAACTCTGGGCCTGGGCACTGTCCCTCAGCTCTTCAGCTCAAGGTGAGGGCTCTACCACTTGAGCCATAGAACCATTTCTGGGTTTCTGGTGGTTTATTGGAGATAAGAGTCTCAAGGACTTTACTACCTGGGTAGGCTTTGAATGGTGATCCTCAGATCTCAGGCTCCTGAGTAGCTAGGATTACAGGCGTGAGCCACCAGCACCCAGTAGCTTATGTATTTTTGATTGGAGAAAGGTTGATTGGTCTAAACTGTATTAGCAGCACCCTCATCTTATTTAGCATTATTATGTATACCCCAGAGACAAACATGATCAGATGCTCTCCAAATGTGTTTGACTATATAATGTTTTATTTTATATAACACTCCTCTCAGAAGTAGTGTTAGTAACACATTTGGAAAATGCTTATTTCATTTCATCTGGATTCCTTAGTACTGAGTTTTGTCACACACCACTACTGAGATAGAGCATTTCTATTACCACAACTTTTCTGTTTCCTTTCTAGTTAGTGCCTCCCACTCTGAAATCCCTTTTCTGACTGCTTTTGCTATAGATTATGCTTGTCTACTGTAGAACTTCAAACAAATGGATATGGTAGTACACTTCTGTCATCTCAGCCCCCAGGAGCTGAGGCAGGTGGATTGGGAATTCAAAGCCAGCCTATGTGCAAAAGACCCAGCCTCAACTTTCTAAAGAGCCATATATTATGCCTAGGGTTTTTATGTCTGTTTGTTTGGCATATGCCTGTGTGATTTACTTTGTCAACTGTAGCAGCATTGGTTTATTCTTTTAAATGATCGAGTATATTCTTTTGTGTGAATATACTACAACTACTTATCCAATATGCGGATTGACATTTGGGTTGCTACCAGTTTGGAGCCATTATGAAGAAGCAACTATTAACTTTCTTTTACAAGTAAGGCACATTTTATTTTATTTTTCTGATATATATCTAGGAATAGCATGATGGGCCACAGAGTAGATGTATGTTTAACTTTAAAGCAGCATTCTCAGACTTTACCACAAATCAGAATGAGCTTGAGGGTTCCCTACCACAAATTTCTATCAGGTCCCTAAGTAGCACTGATTTTATTTACCTAGGGATGTTTACTCTTTTTTTTTTTTTTTTTTTTTACCTTGGAAATAGTTCGCCTTATGTAGTCCAGGCCGGCCTGAACTTACAATCCTTTTGCCTCAGTTTTGTGATAATGAAAAAGTTATGAAAAAGAAACTTAGATAAATTCATTTAAATGAGTTTGGATAGATAAAATGACTTTTAATAAGTCTTTTAAAATTATATGGATTGATAATATAATTGTTTTTCATTTGAGTAAAATAATAAACCTATCTGATATGAAAATATATTTTATTACAATTACCATAAGGAATGATTGCACTTTTATTTCACATTGTAGAAATCCTCTATATCTATATCCAGTGATGAATCTTGGTGCATACACAACTGATGCTTAATTCTGACCTGCAAGTTAAGAGGGTTTCAAATTTTCACATTTGCTTTCTAGAAAAATAATGTTGTTCATGGGCAAAGAAAAATGTTAATGAATTAGAAAAAGTTAAGCTAAAACTTAGGTGCCCCATAAGTCTTCATAAATCATTTATTTAGGAATACACAATTAATTATTCTATTTGCTTCTTCTTGCCTCCCTTCTTTATTTTAATACCTCAAGAATAATAATGGGAGTGAGAGTCAGGCTGGATATTTTTTTTGGGGGGGGTCCAGTTGTGGGGCCTGAGTGCTGTCCCTCAGCTCTTCAGCTCAAGGCTAACACTCTACCACTTGAGCCACAGCACCACCTCCAGGTTTTTTATTTTCTGCTTATGTGGTGCTGAGGAATTGAACCCAGGGCCTCATGCATGCAAGGCAAGCACTCTACCACTGAGCCACCTTCCCAGCCCGATTTAGAAGATTTTTGATAAAGTGTTATGGATTGTATTTATAGGAGACATATAGGACAAGAATAATATCTGAGATTTTTTGAAATGTATTTATTCATTATATATTTGTTTAATACTAATACAACTTCTTAGGTTAATGATCTATGTAATCATTAACTACAACATTATATATTATAAAATGCTTAAGAAGATCTGGGTATTCCAGTACTTAGTAGGTAAAGCAAAGACAGGCAGAAGGGTCCTCAGTATGAAGCTAACCTGGACTACAAAATGAGACCATGTCTTGAAAATTAATTAAAATTAGGTAAGCAATTAATTATTAATAAATAAATAATAAAAAGAGCAACTGAAACCTTGCACTGCATCAAAGACATCTGGAAAATATACTGTTTAAATTTATTTTTATTTTCACTGTTTAAATTTATTTTTATTTTCCTTTAGAATTCCAACAAATAAACATCACCCCACCAAAGTTTATTGTGAAGCCAAGACCAAAAAGGAGTAAACAGCAGGTATGTGTTCTCAGGTGCTGTTTAAAAACACTTGCTAGTTCCTGGTCACCCATCTGGAATATTTGCTCTCTGTGAGAGAGTATTAATTCAGGCATTTGTCAGAGTGTAAGCAGAATAGGTAGCAGATAGGTAAGTATTGCAAAATTATTTAATAGATGAAAAAAGACTTAAGATAGTGGAGATAATATAGCTCTTCATTATTTACAGAGATTATGAGATCCCTGCCTACCACATCTAGGGTTCTTTGTACCACAATCCTGTTTCCTTGCACGGATATGCACCTCATCAAGGAGTTTGCTTGTGTGGTATCTTTCCATTCAGCCCCTTGGAGACAGTCTCTTATTTGTAAATCTATCAGGGTTTGTGATAAATGCCTTCTCATTGGAGCTACTTCGGATTCTGGCATATAAAATTAAGACATATCTTTATGTTACACAACTGAATTTTGGACTAAGTAATAACAATAGGTATTCATACAGCAGCTTAAATTGCATGAAATAAGTATTATTTGTATTTCACAGAGAAAAAAAATGATGGCTTTGACTTCCCCAGAACCACAGAATTGGTGATAAAATTGGACAGATAAAATAAGAGCTTCAGTTGTTACAATCAAGGTGTAGTTACCACTGCAGCAGTGGTTTATGTGATATGTCTGTATGTGCCAAAAAAAATACATGGTGAAAGAAATAGTTATTAAGTTATATCAAGCAATTGAAGAAGTTAAGATCTGATCAGATTTAGATCAAAAATGTTTATAGCAGATTAGGATTCATATCATACTATTACTTAGATTTTTTTTGTTGTTGTTGGTTGTGGGGCCTGAACTCTGGGCCTGGGCGCTGTCCCTCAGCTCTTCATCTCAAGGCTAGCATTCTACCACTTGAGCCACAGCACCACTTCTGGCTTTTTCTGCTTATGTGGTGCTGAGGAATCAAACCCAGGGCCTCATGCATGTGAGGCAAGCACTCTGCCACTGAGCCACCTTCCCAGGCCAACTTAGATTTTTGTTTGTGTGAATAATAGTTACTAAATTTGATTTTTTCCCTTGTTCCCATCTCTATTCTAGGATTTTTAACTGTAATTGACACATTTACAATCTTCCTAACAGCTTTTTAAGCAAAGTGGCACAAAAGGCTTAAGAAACTTGGTCACATTAGTCCCTCAGAGGTGGAATAGCGTTCTAAGTAAGAAGTCTAGTCTTAGGCACATATGTTGCCACAACTATTCTGTGTGCTGCTTAAGCAGTGAGAGTATTCCCTAAATTACTCTCATGTGCTTTTGGTATATTGTGGAGATAAGAGATATATACACCTGAGTGACCCACTAAACAGAAAACAAAAACAATTACAATTCAGATTTTATTATAACACTTTATTTTTATGAGTTCTGAATTCAAAGAACTGGATATTATTCTTTAGGCATTTCCCTTGAAGTTCTTTGCTAACATCTCAACAATCTAGTTATCCCATTAATTAGACAAACATTAATTTTTCTTAGGAACTCACAAAGTTGAGATGCTATAGAATGATGTGACCCAAAAGACAACTCTATGACATTAATAAAAATGCTGAGAGGCATATTAACTAGTAAGTGTCCCCGTTAACAAAGTAAATCTCATTGTCCTAATAACAATACTCTTTTTTTTTTTAAGTTACTTGTCATTTGATACAGGTTAATGTTACTCTTTGGTTTTCATCTTCAGGAATATCCTCCATTATTCCTTATCAGTTTAACGTTTTAAGAGTTTTTTTTTTTTTTTAAGTTTAGGAATGTATTTAGCAAGAGACAAAACCTGTGGTGCAGCATATTTTTAGTTTGTTTTAAATGTAGCACTCAAAGCATACATACATGTATTGACTTAGGAATCATTGTATGCCCTCATCACCAACGTTATCCTTGAGAAAGTTAACAAAAAAATGTACTGAAAAAAGTGTATTGAGCTGTGACAGAAAGAAAAAGTCAGTGTTGCAGATCCTGTTATTGATTGTGTTACAGAATAACTGCTATGGGAATGGCTGTCCTTCAGGACTAGCTGTTTCCTGTGCCATTCACTGGTCAGAAGAAAATTTATTGTTGAGCAAAACCTAGCTGCAATAAATATCCCAAGACTGCTTGGGTGCTCCCAAAGCAAGCCTGACAAAACCCCGGTACCACTTTGGGAATCTCTTGAATTATCCCAGGAGAATGGGAATGTTTCATTCCCAGATTTCTAGATTATAGAATAAAAGTATCACCCCACTATCAGAAAGATTCCTGGGATTCAGTTGAATTAAATTGGGAAGAATGTTCTTTATGTGTGATGGTTTACAGTTTACCTAGCATTCTGTTAGGTAAAAAAATATCAGTGCAACAAGTACAAGTATGAAACAGAGCATGTATTCACATTTAATTTTATTTGCATAAGTAGTTTTGGAAGAAGCTAGAAATTTAAATAAGGACTAGATACTGGGCAGATGGGGAACAGAAGTGAGAGGAAGATTCATTCTAGTTCTTTTAATTTTTTTTACTTTGTTGACTTTTTGAGCTATGTAAATTTGTTGTTCAAATTTACATACTTTAATGCTAAGTATGCTGATAAAAAATTTAAGTAAATTCTGTAGGGGGAACTTTTGTTGTTATCTTCCATATTTTTTGTTTTTTCACTAGTTTTCGAGGACTTATTTAGATTTTTTTCGTTTACTACATTGTAGCTTCTTCGATACCCTCGTAATGTAGAAGAGGAAACCAAATACATTGAACTGATGATAGTGAATGATCATCTCATGGTAAGATTTTGTAAAATAAAAACTACTTGTAGGTACAAAAGTAAGTTTAGAAGAAATAAAAGACACATCAAGTGACCTAGATAAAGTATTTGTTTAATGAATATTTGGCTAAATAGCAACAACCCACACATAGGAAATACATGTAGGAGGAAGAAGCTAGCAATAATTTATGAAGTTCCAAAAATATTTCCGTGATTCATAATGTGTGTGTGCGTGTGTGTGTGTGTGTGTGGTGTGATGGCATTGGGGCTTTTTCAGAGCCTCACATTCTTCCTTAGCTTAATTTGCTCCAAGCTAGTGCTCAACCACTAGATTCATACCTGCACTTCAGTTTTTTTTATGATTAATTGGAGATAAGAGTCTGAGCTGGCTTTGAACCATAGTCCTCAGATCTCAGCCTTCTGAGTATCTAGGATTACAAGCATGAGCCATTATTGCTGGATCATGATGTTAACTCTGAATTTCTTGACTAATACAGAAACTAATATTTGAATCTCCTCTAAATGATATGGTTTAAGAAAAGTAGAAAATTTCATTTCATATTGAAAAGGGGGAACACCAATTATATGACAGTATCGTGTTTAGTGTATAGCTTAATTCTAATAAAAGCAAAATCATACATAAATGCTTATCTACCAAGCAGTGAAGAGTCCTAGGATAAGAAGTTAGCAAAGCTTCCTTCTCACAAATTATTTTGGAATTATTTCCATATATATGACATACATATTCAATTAATGAGCATGTTGTAATCAGCATGATTACATTTGTAGTGTAGCAATGAATTGTAATGCTAATTGTTCCATGAAATAAAAATGACCAGTGATACACATTGCTGAATTTTTCTTAATTTCAGTTTCAAGTGCATTTTAATTTTTTTTACTTGAATGATTTTTTTGAAGGCAAATGTGTTACTTTATTTATGATAAAGTATATAGGGTTAACCTTTTTATTATTGCTAATAATAATAATAATAATGCATTTAGATTAAAGGTACTTGTTCCGGCTAGGCCTCTTTTCTTTCTGCCTACCTATTTGATTACAATAAATGCTATTGTTCCCTAATTATTTTGAATATCTTCCATAGTCATAATTTCTCTACCAAAGATTAATGCTGTCAGCTCCTTAGAATAGATTATTTTTTACTTCATTTTACAAATGAATACCCTGAGATCTAAAGTGTTCTATATATATATCAGTAACTTGAACCAGATGTAAAACAATAGGGAGAGAAGTAAAGCTTTTGGCAAAAGGGAAAGCACATAGTTTACAGTGTACCATGTGAGGCTATTTTTTTTGGTGAGTCAAGATCTCTCTATGTAGCCCAGCTTGGCCTCAAGCTTGTAATTCTTCTGCCTCAGCTTTCTGAGTGCTAGAAGTACAAGCTTGTGCTCTCATGCCTGGCTACTTTTAAAAGAAGGCAAAAATCAGACTTTCTTCTTACTGGAAAGTCTTAGATATACAAAACTTGTAACTTCTTAAGCATTTAGCAGTGTTATTTGCTATGTAGACTTTATGTCTTGAAATTCACAGACACTTGCATATATTTTATCATTTTGAATAATAATTCTAAAAAAACCATGAAAGAGAATGCAAAGTTTATTTTTATTTATGTACTTTTGGGAGGAGATGTTCTAGTGCTTGAACTAAGTGTCTCATACATGTAACACCCCAACTTCTTGGAGAAAGGATTTTTTTGGGGGGTTGTTTGTTTGTTTTTCATTCCACAAATGAACATTTCAACATTTCAAGAACATTTAACTTAGGCCACAGAAATGAGTAGGTCTCATCTCTAACTCTTTTTAGAAAACCTGAGGCATCTTTCTCTTGCACAGTTTTCCTGGCTGAGATAGTTATTTCCTGATAACATTGAAAGCCCTTACGTGTTTTCTTTTTCTCTCAGTTTAAAAAACATCGACTTTCCATTGTACATACCAATACCTATGCGAAATCTGTGGTGAACATGGCAGATTTAGTAAGTATCAACCTGGTTCCATTTTGCCCTAGGCTTTTAATCTCTGAATTACTAGTAGAACGGGTATTATGGCTCTTTGTTTTTATTGCTCTAAATTGTACTTCAGCTAAGGTGGAAGTTCCTTATGACTTTGCCATAGATTCACTTTAGTCTCCGTCTGGGAAGAAGGAATTGTGAAAGTTACCCACATATCTACCAGTATTCATTCCTATGTGGTGAAAGACAGATTATTCATAGACCCTAGCAAAGATGTTCAGTATAATTCTGAAAGACAGATTATTCATAGACCCTAGCAAAGATGTTCAGTATAATTCTAAAAAGGTATGGAGAAACATTGAAGCAGTTGTGTACCTCCTGCAGCAATGAGACCACTAAATAACCCAGTGTGCCTCCTTCCATGTCTTCCCTGAACAATGCAGTCCAGGGCCTTCCCCATGAGTTTAATGGAGCTAGACAAGCTGTATAGCAATCCTTGCCTTTAGAGAGTCTTCTTTGTTCTACTTGATTTTTTTTTTTAGAGGAAAAACCTCAAGAATGAATGAGCTATTTTTTTCAGGGGACCAAAAAAAAAAGGGGCAGAATTTAGTATTTATTTAAAAGGAATCTTTGCTTTCAAAAAGTGACTTTTCATTGAGTATTACTCAGTATGTAATTTGATTCTCTATTCTGTAAGGAAAGTGCATGTAAATTAGAAGAAAAACAGTCTCTTAAAAACAGCAACCCAAGGCATTTCTGTGAAACTAGCTTTATAGTACATTTGTAAACTATTTGATTTTTACCACATGTACAGCTGGTGTGTTCATTTTGTTAATATACTAGATATATAAAGACCAACTTAAGACCAGGATAGTACTGGTTGCCATGGAAACCTGGGCAGCTGACAACAAGTTTGCCATATCTGAAAACCCCATGATCACCCTACGTGAGTTTATGAAATACAGGAGGGATTTTATCAAAGAGAAAAGTGATGCAGTTCACCTTTTTTCGTACGTAATTTTTGTAATGATTTACTATCTTTTTTGTTGTTGTTCCTTGTTTTTGGATGTTCTGTTAACTTATGAATGAGATGTACTATATAATACAATTAATATTTGATATAGTAGTACATTTGGAAAAAGTTTTAAATATTTCAAAGTGTAGATTGAAATTGTCATGCCAATTTATGTGACTTAATTTTAGGTTATTTGTATCATTGCATATTTATTTTATTTTATTTTTAAAGTGATTTAATTAGGACATATGGTTAGTAAACCTACTGCTTGTACTGATAATATTCTAAGCAATCGATTAATTCATATTCTTTAAAATTGCTGCCTTTTAAATGCTGATGTTCTCTGTCTTTTTTCTAAGGTAAGAACTAAATTTCTGAAGTTTATCTTTTAGGTTTTTGATCACTATTACAAACGTATTTTCATGGTACTATCTATGTTATATTTAATGTGATAACAAAATATTTATGCTACAAAATATATATTCTAATATTTAAAAAATCTATTACCCAAACTCAGCTACTGATTGGAAAGTAAAATGCATAGTTTAGGAGTAACTTTGATTTTTACATAATTTGAAATTTAGGGAAAAGTTGCAAGAATATTACAAAGAAATTACATATGCTCTTTACCTAGACTCATAAATTATTTACATTTTTCTCATTTTTTACATGGGTTCTCTTTATTTCCTTTCTTTCTTCCCTTATCTATCCATTGGGTTTGCTTTTTGTTGTTGTTGTTGTCTTGAACTTTGCAAGCATAAGTTGGAAACACTGAGCATGTACTATTAAATACTTCTACATTTCAATGTATTCTCTAAGAATATGTTCTCTTATATAATGTAGAAAATTATTAAAATTAGAAAACTTAACACCAACATAATCCTTTTATGTAATTTAAAGTCATATTTCAATTCCACCTATTGTCTTAGAGTCTTTTTTTTTAATAGAAAATTCTCTCCCATTCAGCATTCAGTCTGGCATCAGAGATTTTGTTAAATTATCATGTTCGTTTAGTCTCTAAGCTGAAAGATCTTCACCTTTGTCTATTTTGAGCATAATGCTTTTCAAAAGTATAGATCAGGTATTTTATGTACTTCTCATCATGGACATATGTGATGGTTTCCTATTATGAGATTTAAATGATGTATTTTTGGTAGAAGACAGACGTAATTTTGTATTCTTGCAGTGCACTATATGTGTAATTACAAAAAAAATGGTGTACTATAGTTATTGATCATGTGAGGAAACAGTCCTCAAAAACCTTTTCTTTTGGATATGTAAACAGTTTTCACATTGCCTGGGGAATATATATTTATAGAAATCTTGTGTGCCCTGAGAAAATAAGTGTGGTAACTTAGTAATGAGAAGTGCTTGGATGATTGAGCTGTAAGCAGTAAGCATTTTTCATTTCCTTTTCTAAAAGGGGAAGTCAATTTGAGAGTAGCCGGAGCGGGGCAGCTTATATTGGTGGGATTTGCTCGTTGCTGAAAGGAGGAGGCGTGAATGAAGTAGGTGTGAACATCTGTACAATACAAAGTGGTATGATGGCTGAAAATGTTTTTCTAATATTTCAAAGATATTGGTGAATAGTACTATAAGAGAGTTAGACTCTCTTATTAGCAGTCAATACGGGTACCGTACATGACCAGAGTAGAACAAGGAGATAACAGAAGCTAAAACTTTCTCATGTTCTTCTTAGAATAATATGTAGACTCAGTTGTTTATTGAATGCATATAATCTTTATCTTAACTTTCATTGAACAGAAGGCCATATTTATGACTGAATGATTTTACAGAGATTTGCTGAATTCTCTGAAGCATTGGGTTTCTGACCAGCAAGCCAAGTGAATCTTTTCTCAGTCTGTGAAAAATTTTGGGAGGATAAAAGAAGTATAGCTCTTCCCAAAAGGTTTCTTTACTCCTAACACATAGAACTTGATGGATATTTTCTAAAATAAAAATACTTAAATCTTTAGAAGGTTGCATATTGAAAAAAAATTCTTTGGTTTTATTTTAAATTTCTATTGGCCCATACTACTACCATTTTCAATTTTCTATTGTGTTTGTTTTCTAAAGCTACTTTTTATTTTATTTCAGGGAAATTTCAGGAGAACGCATGAACACATAAAAGCAAAACAGTCAAATAATTTCTACAAATTATTTTATTTTTTATTATTCAAAAGACTGGCATATTGATATACAAGTGCTAAGTTCTTTAGCAATGTTACCTAGTAAAACTTAGAGATTATATTTGTTTCCAAACTCAAAAACTGATGATTTTCTGGCACTTAATCTTTCCTGTAAGACCCAAACAAACCTGAATTCATTTCTTACTACTTTTCCTAAATGAACATGCTATAAAGAGTTTAGCCTCTGCTAAATAAAATGATTATAAATTACTTCTTTTCAATTCTATTGTGACATTTTTCTATGGCTGATCTTGAATGAAAAACAACTTCATTTACATATATTTTATTTTCGTTTTTTGTTTTTCAGTTTGGGAAAACCGATTTAATGGCGGTTACACTTGCCCAGTCATTAGCCCAAAACATTGGTATTTTCTCAGATAAAAGAAAATTAGCTAGTGGTAAGTTTTAGTATGAGTATGGCTTAGTTGTATTTAAAGTAGACTACCGGTTATATATTTTGTACAATGTGATTGCTTGATTAGGAATGTAGAGATGATAATATAAGGTAAACAAGCCCAGACACAAAATGTTGCTTTCCAAAGTTTCTCTTTATATAATAAACACTGAAAGTCACTGATGGATTCAGAGCTGAATTTAACAAAAGAAGGGGTAAAATAAACTCATTTAGGCAATTTGAAATGCTCTACTAGAGTCTTGGGTATGTAGGTTTCATATAGTGCTTAATTGTGTATTTTTTGTTTTTGTTTTTGTCAGTCATGGGGCCTGAACTCTGGGCCTGGGTGCTGTCCCTTAGCTCTTCAGTTCAAGGCTAGCACTCCATACCACTTGAGCCACAGTGCCACTTCTGGCTTTTTCTGCTTAGGTGGTGCTAAGGAATTGAACTCAGGGCCTCATGCATGCAAGGCAATCACTCTACCACTGAGCCACCTTCCCAGCCCTAATTGTGGTTTATTAGAAAGATCTGTAAGTATGGGCACAGAGATAGGATCTCCTTGTCAGGATCTGACCTGATAAGGGGATTAATAAAATGATGAAAAAGTTGAATGTGCTAGGAATAGCATCTGCTATTCCTAAATAGATGAAATTACTTCGCCATGAATGGTCCAATACCGTGTATTTGGAGTAACAGTTTGATTATAACCATATTTATTATCTTAATAATAAGCATTATAAATAAGGTCAGGTATAATAATAACTATGACTACTTATTGAGTAATGATTATTTGCTCTGTGACTAAATATCCTGTTATCTACATCTGCTCGCTTAATTCTCAAGATAATTCTAGAAAATATCCATTTTTTTAGTACTACTTTAAAGATGAAGTGATTAGATCTTCAAAATAGTAATGTCTCCAAGATATATACATAGATGACCTGGCAAACCTCCTCTTCCTGGTTTTGGGGGCCTTCTGCTGAACTAATGTACTTACTGCCCTCTACTAGATAAGCTTTGGTACTGATGCTTTTAGAAGTAGGCACAGAATTAGAATAATTCTCCTACTCTCATGAAATTGGAATTTGATTCACTTTTTCAGTGAGCCATTTTAAGTGCATGGTTTAAAAATATGGCCATTGTTAAGCTGCTGAAGTTTAAGTAAAAATTACATTACCTTGATAGGATCAGAGTGTGCTTTTGTGGTTTATATGTTGCATAAAAATCTTCATGTTTAGCAGACATAAATCAGCTATTGCTTTTTAGAAAATATTTAAAATATAAACTGAAGATTATTCAAAAAACAGTGTACAAAAAGTTGTTTTGTTCTTTCATAGGCGAGTGTAAATGTGAAGACACCTGGTCCGGATGCATAATGGGAGATACTGGGTAAGCCATCTCTATTCGAAAATAATCATTCACTTTGCCTGCTGTGCTGTCCTCTTCTTAGGAATATGATACTTCCTTAGTATTTGGAACCTCACACATAAGAAAAATCAGAAGTAAATACTCTAACGGCCCTGTACATAAAAATACTTCATAGAAGAGCCTGTGACATTTACTGTCAATTAAGTTACTTACCCTCAGGAAGTTTTCAATCTTGAATCGAGGCTAGAAATATAATGAGAAACAATGCTTTCTTGATGACTTATGGTTTACTTAGATTGTGTTGAAGTTATAGGAATTCCAATGTGGCTAAAAAAATAAGGATAAGGAGATTCATATATATATATATATATATTCATATATATATTTATATATATATGGATTTCCTTTTGGAGGAATGAGTTTCTTGGAGTGGGGTAAATAGACTAAGCTCCCCAAAACACCCTCTTTGTAGTCAGTAATCTTACAAGGATATGGATGGATTAGAAGAAAAGGTGGTAAGAATAACAGCTGGGTGTAAGGCATTGAAGAGAAAAAAGGAAGTAATATGTGAAGAAAATTTTCAAATTAAGAATAAGGGTTACAACTGGGCTCTGGTGGCTCACCAGCCTGTAATCTAAGCTACTCAGGAGGCTGAGAATGGAGGATCAAGGTTCAAAACCAGCCTGGGCAGGAAAATCCTTGAGACACTTATCTCCAATTAACCACTTAAAACCTAGAAGTGGAGCTGTTGCTCAAAGTTGTAGAGCACTAGCCCAAGCCTCTCAACCGACAAAAAAAAAGAAAGAAAGGAAGAAGGAAAGAAAGAAAGAGAGAAAGAAAGAAAGAAAGAAAGAAAGAAAGAAAGAAAGAAAGAAAGAAAGAAAGAAAGAAAGAAAGAAAGAAAGAAAGAAAGAAAGAAAGGAAGGAAGGAAAGAAGGAAGGAAGGAAAAGAGAAGAAAAAGAAAAAGGTAGTAAAGGAAAAGGTAATTAGAGTTTTATTTGGAATGTTGCATCCAAATTCTACTGTTTTGTTTGTAGCCCAGTTTTAATATTTAGGACCCATTATGGAATAAAAATTCTAATTCTTAGATTTAAATTAGAGGTACTGTTGTACTACATGTGTTTTTTGGGGGATGTGCATGTAAATAATAAACAACTCATAATAACTACCATAGTCGCCAAATGAAGAACTTATAAATATACTGGTTGAATAACACTCTTATAGATTAAATACAAATATTATGTCTAAGTGGATTTAATTTTTCATTCTAAAGAAAACTGTATAACTTTAACAATGAGCAATTTTAAGATGACAAACATAAGTAAACATTGTATACATGTGTTGATTTTCTGCTCTCCACAGTTATTATCTCCCAAAAAAGTTCACCCAGTGTAATATCGAAGAGTACCATGACTTCCTAAATAGCGGAAGATGACAAACATAAGTAAACATTGTATACATGTGTTGATTTTCTGCTCTCCACAGTTATTATCTCCCAAAAAAGTTCACCCAGTGTAATATCGAAGAGTACCATGACTTCCTAAATAGCGGAGGTGGTGCCTGTCTGTTCAACAAACCTTCTAAGGTAATAAATGTAACCAAGAGTTCTTAATCATTAATATCTTTCTACAGTGTTACAAAAACAAATTTTCACCACTGGATCTTTCAATTGGATATGCATGTTCTGGTTATACTAAATGTCTACATTTTCAAAGCCAATGTTAATAGGAAGCATTTGGCAATAGAAAGCAGATAGAAATGTGTATTTCATTTTTGTTGTTGTTGTTGTTTTCTTTATATTTTTTCTTCTAGTTAGAAAAGGGTGTATTATGTGGTGTGGATTTGTTTATTTATAGATGTGCATAATATTGCCATTCTGTAGTCTGAAAACTGGTTAACTTTCAGCTAATAGCAATTATTTACTATTACTCATTTTGTTTAGCATAGGTACATTATATTTTAAAAATACTAAAATTTATGGAGAATTACATAATAAAATAAAACTTAAAATGTACTCTCAGATAGTTCAAAAGTTATTTTAAGGTATGGGGCAAATTATTGAGGTTCTCTACAAAGCTGTATTTATAGTAAGAGGTATAGTTTATAATAAATAATCAGTGAATATATTAGTCATTATAATACTTTTCTTATCAATAAAATAGCTTTAAGAAGAAGGTTAATTAATAAAGGGCTTTTCACAGATGAGTAAACTTGATTCTAACAGCAATTTTGGATAGCTAATTAATTAGGTGGACAACTATATCCTTGTTTAAGATAGCGATGTTTTACCAGGCACCAATAGTTCATTGTTGTAATCCTAGCTTTTCAGGAGGCTGAGATACAGAGAATTATGGTTCAAAGTCAGCCTGGCAGGAAAGAATACTTGGGACTCCATCTCTAAAATAACAGGCAAAAATTTCTGCTTGGAGGCATGGTTCAGGTGATACAGTGTCAGCAGAATAAGTTTGAAGTCCTGAGTTTAAATTTTGGTATTGTCAAAAAAAAGAAATAATAAATTTTCTGAATATTACAGTTAGTTGTATCAAGATTTTATTTTAATCTGCTTCTAGGAATTGAACCCAAAACTTCACATATACTACCAAAATTTTAACCTAAACATTTTAGACTCCAAAGCTCTTGTTTTCTGACTGACATAGAATTTTATGGTTTTAGTAAGTGGCCGTATCATTTTTTATTTTGGCAACATTTATTAGATCCTATTTGTTATATATGTTAAATATGTGAATCTTTGCAAGCATATATACATATATGAAATATAAAAGGGAAATAGAAGTAGATGCTTCTAATTGCTTTCTTGTTTAAGGTAAGTTAAATATTCAGGTATGGCATGCAGGAGCATCAGAAATCTTTGCTGTTGTGCTTTGTGCATTTTAGATCCCTTTTGGTTTTCCTTCCACAGCTTCTTGACCCTCCGGAATGTGGCAATGGCTTCATTGAAACTGGAGAAGAGTGTGACTGTGGGACCCCTGCAGTAAGTCTTGGGTAGTCTGTTATATTTGTTAAGGTTAACTTAGTATCATTCCAGGTCCATACACGAACATATAGAGAGCAAGAATTGTACCTGGAAATGGTATAGGATTTGTGGATGGAAGAGTATTTTTGTGAGTTTGTACATTCGCTTTTAGAAAATAACTGATATTTTCAGAAAAATGATGGCCATACTCTGAAGTTTTGCAATTGTTTGTGTTATTTAGGAATGCATCCTTGAAGGAGCAGAGTGTTGTAAGAAATGTACCTTGACCCAAGACTCCCAATGCAGTGATGGTCTCTGTTGTAAAAAGTGCAAGGTAAATAATTCTGACTTCTGACCAAAGGACAGAGAGAAGGACATATGTGATAAAACAAAATATTAGGGCTGTGTAAATATGATCTAATAATCATGTCTAAGACCTAGTAAATGATGAAATGCTAGGTGCTAACAAGATCTTTATAAAATCATATGAGGCATAGTTACTAATGTCATTCCTGCCTGAAAAGACTTTCTCCTAGATCATATACCGATTAAGTGGATCTCGAACCCTGGGCTATCCTCAGAGGCTATCCTATTCATACTGCCTCCCTGAAGAACACATGCGTTAAATGAAACCAAGGGGGGTTACTTCCAATACATTTCCTTTCTTTTCAATGCCAAGAAAGTGCATGATATATTCTTCCTTTATTGTTGCTCTATTTGGACAACCTCTTTCATTCACTGTTGAGGAAGGGAGAAAGTGAGAGAAATGCTTTGGATATGAGGAAGACTTGCACGTTTAGTTGGCATGAGAGTTAAGAATGTAGCTTTACACATTTTGTTTTATTACATCTTTATTACACAGCATCCTGATAACCTAATTCCAAAAATTTATACCTTTACTTTAAGACTAACAGTTATTTTGAAACTTCCCTCCCTTTCCTTTATTTTCCTGAAGAAATCAGATGTTTTATCATCTCACATAATATTTGATATCATTTCTGATATCATAGTCCTCATATTTCTGAAGCTTAATGTCTATCTCCACTGTGTACAGAGTGAGACATTTACACAGTAATTAGTGTAGGTTCTCAATACATATTGGTCCAGTGGATGAATAAATATGCCCAGCATGCTCTGTGTTAATTTGCTGACTGAACAGCTTTAATGAGTTATAGAGGAGTGGTTGATGAAACTGTCATACGAAGTGTCCACTTTGTGCCTGAGAATGTGCTAAACACTTTTAATTTATAACACTTTATATGTGGATTTCTCAATCTACACTATTGGCATTCTTGGATGAATAATTCTTTGTTGTGAAGGTTTGGTTTATCTTGGGAATGGTAGAATGTTTAGTAACTTCTGGGGATTCTGCTTATTAGATTCTAGAAGCAATCCTCCCAGTGGTGACAACCAAAACTGTCTCCATTCATTTCCAAATGCCTCCTCAAGGGAACAAAACAGCCCCAGTGAGACCATTGTCTTAGAGAATATTCCCAAGCACGCTTTTAGGAAAGACACTATTATTTGGATTTTTACAACTGAGCAATCCCAGTAGCAAGGAAGTTAAAGAGCTGCCAAGGCCCACTCAGCTAGAAAGAATAGCTGTGCAGTTACATCCCAGATTTGCTGGCAGCAGTTTCTTCTATTTCCACTTTACCACTGTGTCTTCTGGAAGCTTTTAAGGCAGCCAGGCACTGGCAGAGATCTCTGAAAGCTTTCGTTCTGGCTACTGTAGCTGCTTATTCTGACAGCATCTTCAAATAACATAGTAGGGGATCTAAAACCATTTATCTTACATCTGGTGGTTTTAGGCTCTCCCTCCTGTAAATCATATTCAATTACAACATTTTTCTTTGACTTTAGGCCTTTGGTGAAGAACAAGTTCAAAATGATTAAAATTAAAATAAAACAACATGGTTACTGTCCTGCAAAATAAAATTACTAGTCTGTCAATTATTTTCACCACTTCCTCTACTCCTCACTCCCAATCCTGGATTCCTAAGGGAGCCAGAGGCTGAGCAGTGAATGGATGGTGGGCATTAATGTTTAAATAAGGATACAGGTTGACTCATTGTAACAATGAGATGTACAAGACATTGTTGAACATAGAACTTTACAATTTAGGTGGGGGGGGGGAGGGAGTGTATTCGCGGAAGTGAGGAAAGGGATGATGGGGGAAAACAAAGGAGGAGGCAACAATGCTTGTTAAGAAATGTACTCATTGCCTTGCTCATGTAACTGTAACCCCTCTGTATAGTATTTTCACAATAAAAAAACTTATTAAAAAAGAGATAAGAAATTATATGTATCCCTCTTTTCTACATATATCTATAATAATATATTTATTAGCCAAAGGCTAACATATTTTCTGAAAAAAAGTTACATAAAAAATACTTTACCCTTGATTTACCAGAAAAATATCTGTCTGAGTTACTCAGCTCTGCTTTTTAAGGTAGCCATAGAAAATACAGAAATAGAAGTGTGTGGTTGTGTTCCAATGAAATTGTATTTATGAAGATAGGCAGCCAGCTAATTTTATTTCTTATTTTCTTCTTCCCATTATAAGTTCTAGTAAGGATTTTTGGCCAGTTTATTTCTTTTTTTTGGGGGGGGGTCCGGTCGTGGGGCCTGAACTCTGAGCCTGAGCGCTGTCCCTCAGCTCTTCAGCTCAAGGCTAGTGCTCTCCAGCTTATTTCTTGCTGTATCCTAATACGCATACTTTCTTCCCAAATTTCCTAAAAAAGTTCAAAACTTAAACTCTCATGTAAATTTTATGTCAAATCTACTGATACTTGTTTTAGATATTCTCAAATCAAAAATGTGAAATTAAGCCAGGTGCTGGTGGTTCATGCCTGTAATCCTAGCTACTCAGGAGGCTGAGACCTGAGGATCACAGTTCAAAGTCAGCCCAGGCAGGAAATTCCATGAAACTCTTATCTCCAATTAACCACCAGAAAACTGGAAGTGGTACTGTGGTTCAAGTAGTGTGCTGGCCTTGAACTGAATTGATGAGGGACAGCGCCCAGGCCCAGAGTTCAAGCCCCATGACTGACCAAAAGAAAAAAAAAGAAAAGAAAAAGAAAAAGAAATTATTTTGCTCATTTATTTTATTTTCAGGGTCCATTTATCTCCATCAAAATGCGAATTGCTTGTGAGTAGGATTCTTGTGTTTGTTCTCCACTGAGTCTTCATGGACTCAAATAGCACATGGCATAATGTAAATGCTTAGAAAATACTTGAATGAATGAATGAATGAATACACATCTTACTCAGATCTTTTAAAATATAACTTTTCAAATTCTAAGGAGTTAGCAAAGTTTACACATGAGGGCAACAGGAGATTCAAGTACCTAGAGGATTATGAGGAAAGAAATTTACATACAATAAATGTATATTGTGTGTGTGTGTGTGTGTGTGTGAGAGTGAGCCCACTACTGTGTGCATTTGTGTGAGCAGAGACAAAGTATAGATTGGTCCAGCCCCAAATGTCAGCATTTTGAAGAGAGATAAAGGAAAGAAGAAAGAGGAACATGGTACTATTCTATTTTGTCACAATGAATACTCTAATTTATAAATACCATGAGGTTTAAAATTGTAATACAACTGTATACATACAAGAGGTATTTGTGGCGATCAAAAACAAAGAAATGGACACAAAACCCCTAAAGCCCTATCACTGGGCATAAATAATAGAGATACTCGAATAGAGTCAAAGACTAAGATTTGAATGTATGTAAGATGAGGTGGGGAGAAGGGTAGAGAAAGCTTGGGAGGAAATAGTTCTAGAAAAGCTAACTTTTATAAATTATCCCAAAATGTAACTTTTGAATGCTTCACAGATAAGAGGAAAAAGTACTGTGTGGTAAAGGTATCAATAAGAATGAAGTTAAGTCCTAAATCCCAAGGTTAATCAGTAGGAAGATTTATAGGATTAGGATTTGGCACATCAGCAGCAGTGGACTGCTAGCCTAGCAAGTTCTAGGCCCTCCAGAAACAAAGCTAAACAAGACAGTACTGCAGAAACAACATATGGAATTGCCAGCACTTGGACTAACTTGTCATCTTGTGGCTTCTTCTCTCAAGTACTGCCCTACTGTAGCAGGAGATGGTAAGACTCTCGTGTGATGTCTATAAACCTTTCTTGGGACATGCGTGAGAAGCTGTTGCTTAAAACGATTAAAGCAGCACTTGTTCAATAATGGTAGCTTTTGCTACCATAAGGCTATCATCTTAACATGGTTTAAGATTCCTATTCAAATACTTTTCATTCTGCTTCCATTTAAATAGAGTTTTGATCCTTCTAGAGTTTTATACATTGATTTTTTTGTTTATTTTAGTTTCAGCCTATGGGGACTGTGTGCCGAGAAGCAGTGAATGATTGTGATATTCGTGAAACATGCTCAGGAAATTCAAGCCAGGTAATTTACAAAATGTTCACTCTAAATCCCATACAAAAAAGAAAAAAAAAACTGGGAATACCTTTAGTGCACTGACTTCTTCTCCCCCCACCCTCCCCCCAGCTGGAGAAATGTACTGGATAAGATGCATCTCTTCCACATTATCTCTCACTATCTTTTTATTTTTCATGAATTTAAGTTTTAAAAATCCAAGCGTAAGAAAATGCTCAGCATAATTTTGTCTTGATAAAAATAGGACAGCATTCATACCTTAAATATATTGTACTTATTTTCTTTTCTCTGTTCCTTCCTTTAGTTGTTTCCTTCTTGTCCTTCTCTTTCTACCTTTGCTTCCTTCCCCTCCTCCCCTAGGGGTTGGGATCTTTTGCCTTCTAGGTAAATGGTCTCCCACTAATACATATGCTATATTCCCAACCCTTTACTGTTATTTTTTAGACATGGATTTACTGCATGCATCAGACTGGTCTCCAATTCTTAATCCTCCTGCCTCTGCCTCCTAAGGGATGGGATTATAGATCTGCCCCATCACTCTTGGCTCAAAAGCATTTTCTTTTTCTCTTCCTTAACTCTGGCTTTAAACTCATAAGGAAATTAAAAATAAACTAATATTTGGCATACTGTAAATTGAAACCAAAACATTGAAAATTAAAGTATTTGACTTGTTTGTAAAATACATATCAGCAGCAGTTTGAATTGTGCTCTTACCTCTTGTAAACCTTATAATACAAAGTGAGCTTTGTTTCTATGACTTTCACATTGACGTACTTCTAAGTTTTGATTAGCTTTCAACATCGTATTCATTGTTCTCTTTTATATTTTCATTTTTCATTGATTAAATTTTTTGGTGGCCCTGGGATTTGAATCCATGGTCGTGTTTTTCTTAGGTATTATCACCACTTAGCCACATTTCTAGCCCATTTTTTGCATTGATTATTTTTGAGATAAGGTCTTGCTTCCTGTGTAGATTTGAAACTAGACTATAATCTGCCTGCTTTAGGCTAGAATGACAGGCATGAACCAAAGTTTGTGAGTCAAACCCCTCCCCCCCTCCCACAGGCTGGCCTAGAACTGTAGTCCTTCAAATCTCAGCCTCTTCTTTAGTTTGAGATAACAAGCATGCATCAACATGTCCAGCTATGGCTTGAGATGGGGGCTGCTCACCTTTTTTTTTTTTTTTTTTTTGCCCTAGCTGGCCTCAAAATAGAATTCTTCCAAACCCAGCCTCCAAGTAACTAGGATTGCAGGTTTGAACCACCTAGTTCTTACCCTTTCTTCTTTGAATATCAGGAAGTCTCTGAGACACTTGGAGATATATATCATTTCCTCTAAGGCATTACACTTAATGAGTTTTCCTTCACAACATTTTCTAGTTGCATATTTAGTCTCTTGAACAATGGTATTTACAACCTCAATGCCACCTCTTTTCTTTCTATTACGCCATTTACATCTGAGTAGTACTGGGGTTTGAATTTAGGACTTTAAGCTTGCTGTGCAAACACTCTACCTCCTGAGCCACACCCTTAGCTCAGATTTTGCTTTAGTTATTTTTTAAAATAAGGTTTCACTTTTTTTTTTTTTCCCTTTGGGGTGAGAATGGAGCTAGCCAGGCCTAGACTGGATCTTCCTGCTTATGTCTCTTGTATAGATGAAATTACTGATATGCAATATAATGTCTGGCTTTTTTTTTTAATTTAATTTAATTTTATTTGTGAACATACTGTACAGAGGAGTTACAGTTACATGGGCAGGATAATGCGTACATTTCTTACCAAGCATTGCAGCCTCCTCCTTTGTTTATCCTTCACATCCCTTCCCAGCCTCCCCCCTCCCCCCCAATCCCAATCCTTCTCCATCCCCCCCCCCCCCCACCAACGTTGTAAAGTTCGTTTTGGACATGACAACTTGTACTTCTCATTGTTGCAACAGGTCCACCTGTATCCTTAAACAACTGGTTTTTCCCCATCTCCTCCACAAGTTATACTGACATCAAATATAGTGAAAGCAGGGGTTATACTGTGGAGGAGGGACATACAAAGCAACAAAGAGATAATCTTATAAATGTGTTAGAAACACATGCATGAAAGAAAAAAAACATTAAAATACACATCTAAGGGTTCATTTTCCTGACATCACATTATCTGACCTTTTCCGCTTGACTCATACATATACTAGATATTACAAATAAGGGAAACCATGGGACCTACGTTTCTTTGGGCCTGGCTTACTTCACTTAATATAATTTTTTCCAAGTTTTTCCATTTCCTAACAAATGGGGAAATGTCATTCTTTCTGATGGAGGCATAGAATTCCATTGTGTATATATACCACATTTTCTTGATCCATTCATCTACTGAGGGGCATCTGGGTTGGTTCCATATCTTAGCTATGGTAAATAAGGCTGCAATAAACATAGTTGTGCTGGTAGCTTTAGTGTGGTCTTGTTTGTAAACATTAGGGTAAATGCCCAAAAGTGGGATTGCTGGGTCATAGGGGAGCTCTATGTGGAGTCTTTTGAGGAACCTCCATACTGCTTTCCAAAGTGGTTGAACAAGTTTACATTCCCACCAACAATGAAGTAAGGTTCCTTTCTGTCCACATCCCCTCCAGCATCTGTTGTTGTTAGAGTTCTTGATTTTTGCCGTTCTAACTGGAGTGAGGTGATATCTCAATGTTGTTTTGATTTGCATTTCTTTTATGGCTAGGGATGTTGAACATTTCTTCATGTGTCTATTGGCCATCCTTCTTTCTTCTTCAGAGAAGTTTCTCTTTAAGTCTTTCGCCCACTTATTTATTGGGCAGTTGTTTCTTTGAGGATTTGTTGTTGGGGGGTTTAATTTTTTGAGTTCCAAGTATATTTTAGATATGAGACCCTTGTCCGTTGTATGGCTAGTAAAGATCTTCTCCCAATCCGTGGGCTTTCTATTGATCTTGCTAGCTATGTCATTTGCCCTGCAGAAGCTCTGCAACTTTATGCAATCCCATTTGTCCAACCTTTCTTTGATTTGTTGTGTTTCCGGGTCTCTATTCAGAAAATTTCGGCCTGAGCCAAGGAGACCTAGGGTTTCTCCTATTCCATCCTGTAATGTTTTCAGAGTGTCTGCTTTGAGTTCAAGGTCTTTGATCCATTTGGAGTTGATTCTGGTGCAGGGTGACATATAAGGATCTAGCTTAAGTTTTCTACATGTAGTTAACCAATTTTGCCAGCACCATTTACTGAAGAGGTTGTCTTTCTTCCATTCTATTGTTTTAGCTCCCTTATCGAAGATTAGATGGCTATAGGTCTGTAGGTTCATTTCTGGGTTTTCAATTCTATTCCATTGGTCCTGAGGTCTGTTCTTATGCCAATACCAAGCTGTTTTGATTACTATGGCTTTATAGTAGAGTTTGAAGTTTGGTATTGATATTCCTCCAGCAGTGTTCTTTCCATTCAGGAGCGTTTTTGCTATTCGGGATCTTTTATTGTTCCATATGAATTTTTGGATTGCCTCTTCTATTTCCTTGAAGAATGAGGTTGGAATTTGGATAGGTATTGCGTTGAATTTGTAGATAGCCTTGGGAAGTATTGCCATTTTCACAATGTTAATCTTTCCAATCCAGGAGCATGGGAGGTTTTGCCATTTTTTAAGTTCTGTGTTGATTTCCTTTTTCAAGATTTTAAAGTTTTCATCATAGAGGTCCTTCACTTCTTTAGTTAAGTTAATTCCTAGGTATTTTATTTTTTGTGGGGCTATTACAAATGGAGTTGCTTTCCTAATTTCAGCCACACTTTTCTCATTGTTGGCATACAGAAAAGCCATTGATTTTTGGGGGTTAATTTTATAACCTGCTACTTTGCCAAAGTTTTGAATCAGCTTGAGTAATTTGGGAGTGGAGTCTATGGGATTCTTTAAATACAAGATCATGTCATCTGCAAAGAGGGAGAGTTTTATTTCTTCTTTCCCTATTTGGATCCCCTTTATGTCTGCATCTTGTCTTATTGCTGTAGCTAGGCATTCTAATACTAGATTGAAGAGAAGTGGAGAGAATGGGCATCCTTGTCTTGTTCCTGAGTTAAGAGGAAATGGCTTTAGTTTTTCACCATTGAGTATAATGCTGGCTGTAGGTTTGTCATATACAGCCTTTATTGTATTGAGGAATGTTCCATGGATTCCAAATTTTTCCAAAACCTTCATCATAAAGGGGTGTTGGATCTTGTCGAATGCTTTTTCTGCGTCTATTGAGATAACCATGTGGTTCTTATTCTTGCTCCTGTTGATGTGCTTTTTTTTTTTTTTGATAAGATGGGTTCTTTCTTGCCTAGGCTCACCTTAAACAGTGATCCTTCCTATATATGCCTCTTGATTAGCTGGTATTATAGGCCTGAGCCACTATGACAATGGAGAGTCATTTTTTAATGAAAGGGGTATTTTATTTCTCATGGTAAACAAGGAGGACATTGTACTATGGCTTCATGGTCAGAACCCTTGCCTTGACTTTGTGCTCATTTTTTTTCTTGCTTTGATGACTGATGTATCACGAAGCAGATGCTCTTAAGCATATCATTCACTGAGACTATTGTGGTCAGTATTTTTCATTTGCTGCTATGTAGTAAATATTTTGCCTTGAGTATATTCATAATTTTAGGGGAAAGGACATGAACTACTTTTTCCTCTTCCTGTCTGTGGATTTTCTGTTTTGATTTATAGATAGTTAAAGGGACTAGGTGTATTATCAGACATAATTTTAAGAATCAGATCCTTAAAGAGATCCTTGTTAGCTCATCCTGATATTTTGTTCTATATTTGGCTGGTTTATAGCTTGTTCTCTTTCCTTAGTGTGCTCCTAATATTCATAAGATGGATGGATCCTCATGTGATGGTGTTCAGGTAGGAACATCACTTTATTCTGTAGATTTTTCCTGTGAGAATGAGAGAAATTCTGGAATGTTATCAACCTGCGAAGAACAGTTTAAATGTTTCATAATCAATTCTGAAGATAAAAGACCCTTACAATATATTTAATATTATTTACCTGTTTTCCCACAATTCCATTAGCATCAATTAGTTGTATGGGGGGAGGGGGTTCATTTTGACATGACCACATGGGCAGATCAGATTCACTCCTTCTGTCATTTTTCCCTCATCCACACACATCCTTCTCTAACCCATTTATTTTTTAACCAGTCATTCTGTCTTTTTGAGTTGTCTGCCATAGGCACTTACTGAACCATTCCTGGGTATTTGTTTTTCCATTTTAGGGAATTTGCTTTGGAGGAAGATGCAAAACCAGGGACAGACAATGCAAATACATCTGGGGGCAAAGTAAGTAAATAGTGTGGCTTGATTATTTTTAAAGAAGGTGTTCAGTAGATTTCATAAGGGCAGATGGATTGGAAGTAAATTTGTGTCTAGAGGCTTCTCACAGCTACCATAAGTCTTAGCTGGGGCATTTTTCTGGAAATTTGAGTCCTTGGAGAGGACACAGCCCCACACTTCTTGGCCAGTTGGCAGTGCCTGTGGATGAGACAGAAAATTCCTTTGCTGCCAGGCAGGTGAAACCCAGGCCAGGCTACATAGCTTGGCGAATAGAATAAACCTGATTTTAGCTCCTCCGCTGTGTGCCACATGATAAACTTGCCTAGCCATATGGGAAGGATGGAGGTGGGGGCGGGGAATCCTTCACTTAAACCTCAGCATTTTAGTGAGAGTTGCTTTGCCTCCACAACCATTTTCTTTCTTAACCTCTAGTTGTCTTTTCTACTAACAGATGACTTGTTGAGGTAGTTTTTCTTTTCCAGAAAGAAATGTTAATGTTATTGCTTGTCAAAAATATATATCACTCATTTAAATAATATTTAAATTATAACATATTGATATTTTTTCCCAGAAATATTGGCAAAAAGTTTTTTTCTTTTCTGAGACGCTGTCTAATAATACAGCCCACATTGGTCTCAAACTCTTAACCCTTCTGCCCCAGCCTCTTTTGTGCTGGGATTGCAGATATGCATCATCATGCCTGGATAATCCTAAACTGTTTTAGAAGGTATTTTGTATTAGGGAAAAATTATAAGATAACAATAATCCTTACATGTAATGTGTCCTGGCTGTAATTTTTTAGGACAGGAAATACATGCTATCTTGATCTGTAACTATTGAGATGGGGAAGAAAATTAGCTATACAAGCTTGTACTTTTAGCAAAGAGATATGGTTTTTATTCCTTCCATTTGATAAAACTAAGAAGAAATGAAGCTACCAATAATTCATTGTAGTTTAATATATAGAAGTTGAATATGCTTGGTGCTAGAGGTATTTTGAATTTTTAGTTATTTGAGGATATTTGAAGTATAGATAGTGAAACAAGTAAGGATGAAACTCAAGTCTAAATACAAAATTCCTTTATATGTCATGTAAACCTTATGCACATGGCCTGAAGGTAGTTATGTATACTACTTTTAATGCAAGTGCATTTTGACTGTGACTGATCACATGAGATCAGGTGTGGAATTTTCCACTTGTGGCATCACACTGGTGTTCAAAAGTTTTGGATTTTGGAGCATTTCAGATATCAAATTTTTTGGAATGTTCACTTGGTTCCAACTGTTTTCTTTGGTTAGTTTACTAAGGTCATTTTCTTGTAACTCTTAGCTCTATCAACCAACCCTGGCCTCAGAAAAGATCAAAACTTGACCAATATTAGGGCATCCTTTAAAATGTTATTTGTCTTTCAGACATTTACCATGGATTCTATCTTAGCTAAATGCAAAATGAAGTTGTTCTTGTTAGCTTTTAAGAATTAGTAGGCAAAATAGAAATTATACGAGTGTTTCTTGAATCCAGCCATATTGTATACTTGCCTTGGTTAGTGAAGTTTTCTGAGCACTGAGATTAAAGCCCACTCAAGGAGCTTTTAATAGCATCATCCCTATTTTAGCTAAATCCTGATTTCTATGATAATATATAGCCTAAATCACATTAGAGACCTAAATATATTTGTTTGCCAAATGAACAGCCATGAAAAATGTACCTGACCCATCATGAATGTTTATGAGATAAGAAAGAGAATTTTGTAAGCCATCAGTACATGTTTTGGTTTTAAACACTGTGGTTAGAAAGAAGAAAAAAGAGAGTCCTTAAATTGCAGTTTTCCTCAATTGCAAACCTTTTGAAAAGCATGTTACCTCCAATGTTGACAGAAAATTTTCTTCTGCTTCAGAGGTGACAGCATCAGACAAATACTGCTATGAGAAACTGAATATCGAGGGGACTGAGAAGGGTAACTGTGGGAAGGACAAAGACACATGGATACAATGCAACAAGCGGTGAGGCCACTCGATGCTTAGCCCAGAGTTCATGCCTCAGTCAATCACAAGTGTAAATTTTGAGTGACCAGTATGTTCTTGTTTTCTGTAGTCAACAAAGAATGATCCTACCTGCACCTGCATATATTCCCAGGGCTCCAACCTTGACATGTACTTGACCTCTCTCCTAAGGTCAAGCTGTTATATATTTGGAAATTTATATATAACAAAAGTTTTGTATTTGGCTGGGTGCCTGTGGCTACTCAGGAGGCTGAGATCTGCGGATCACAGTTCAAAACCAGCCCAGGCAGGTAAGTCTGTGAGACTCTTTATCTCCAATTAACCACCAGAAAACTGGAAGCCTTGAGCTGAAGAGCTCAGGGACAGCACCCAGGCCTAGGATTCAAGCCCCACAACCAACCAAAGAAAATTATATATTTACAAAACAAATATATAACTTTCAAAATGTATAACTTTCTCATGTAGAGAACAGCTTCCCGCAACTCAAAAATTGTGAACATTAAAGCCACCAGAATACATTCTCTGCTATTAAAAAAAATCAGTTGGCCCTGTTATTCCATCTAGCCCTTGTTCTTACCGAAGATCTGTGATTTGTTCTCCTGAGTAGAAGCCTCAGAATATTTGTACATTTTCCAGATGCTGAATTATGGTCACTCTTCACTTTTATTACCCCACCATTCCATTCCTTCCATCATTCATTTAACTCATTTAATTTTGCAATGGTCTTGATACATAGCCCAAGCTGGATTCAAATTTGAGATTCTCCTGCCTCAGCATCCCAAGTGCTAGAATTCCAGGTTTGTGCCATCATGCCCAACATCACCTATCTTTAATCAGTCTCTTTTATTTTCATTCTTTTTGCCATTACCCTACTGATATTAGTTTATTAGTTTAATAGTAGTTTTTTGTTTGCTACCAGTCTCTAGCATACTTCCATCAGAATAATCTTCTGAGTCATTTTGATTTGGCCAATTCTGTAACTATTTATTTATTTATTTATTTATTTAGCTGATCCTGTGGCTTGGGTGCTCTCCCTGATGTTCTTTTTAAATTTTTTTATTTTCTAAATTTTTGCTCAAGGCTAGCACTCTACCACTTAAGCCACAGTGCCACTTCCAGCTTTTTCTGTGATTAATTGGAGACAGGAGCCTCTCAGACTTTCCTGCCCTGGCTGGCATCGAACCACGGTCCTTAGATCTCAGCCTCCTGAGTTGCTAGGATTATAAGCATAAACTACCAGTGCCAGGCCTTTAGCTTTCATTAGTTTCACTCAACATTCATTGAGTATACCCTGTGCTCAGTTTATCAAGACTTGAGTAAACTTGGATACTTCATCTTTTTGGAAGTCTTCTCATTTTTTGGATGAAGAAATGGCGATACAGTCAATGAATTTACACAAACTCACTGTAACTAAGATGTGATAAAAATGATATTAAAGCAGTCTGATTTTAGAACCCTCTCTTAATCATTGCTGAATGTCAGTGACACAAATAAAATTTTAGGAATCTTAGCTTAGCATCTCTTCCATGATTTGTGCCAAACTACGTACTTCAAAATTTTCTTTTCAGTTTCACAGTCTAACAAATCTTACTTTTCCTAATCTGTACATTATTGTCCTACCTTCAAAACTATTTTTTTTGCCATTCATTCCTCAGATACAGCCTTGACACACACCGCCACCAGGAAAAATGTACTCATTCTCAAAGCCTAGTTAGAAAACCCTTTATAAAGTGATTTCTTGATTGACTCTAGAAATAAATCATATCATTGTTTTGAACTCCCACAGGCTCTTGTGATAGTCTTCTGGTCATGTTCCCTTTATTTCATAATAGTTTAAAGGTGCAATTTTTCTTCTCATCTAGAGTATGATCTCCTTGAGCATAAAGATCTTGTTCAGTTTTACTTATATATTCTAAATTACTAAGAAAGGTTTATTTATATAAGTGCAACTACAAAAAATTTTGAATAAATACCTCTTCTATTTGGAAAAACATTTTTGTTCATGAAATATGAAAATGATATATTTTGAAATTAATCTTTAAGAAGTGAATTAATATATATTTACATTGGTAATAAATACTGAATCTTTTATCTATTTATTAGTCTGGTATGTCCATATATAATCTTGCTAGTCTGCTAGTCAGTTTTTATAATATACCTTAAAATATGTTTATTATTACCTATCAGTAATTAAAACGTATTTGAAATAAAGGATATATAATGTAATATTTACTACCAGTAAAAATTCTTTACAAATCAAATTAGAATCATATACAATAGTAAGGAAAACAATACATCTTTAAAGGGGTAGTGAGTCTTTGAAGTTCAGAATCTATTCAATATAAGCAATGTATAACATTTTATTCTAGGAGACGAGTTGTAGAATTATCTATCTTATAAAAGAATACTCTTCCAGATATCATTCATTCCTTTCTCAAATACTAAGAAAGCAAAGTATTACAGGCAAAGAGATTCTGATAGAAAGGTTTTTATCTGATACATTACTTTTCTTTACTTGAACTAACCAGCAATAAAGGAAAAACTAAAACCACTGGGACTTAGCTGCACCAGTAAGAGTTTCAGAGAAGACGCTTTTCAGAGCAGGGAACAAACTAAAACTGAGTTTTCATCTATTTAATTTTGCTTGGCATATTATTAAGTGATGTAGTTGATGGAAACTCATTCTAAAATGAGAGATAATTGTCATTCCAGATGTCTGTGGATTGTTATATCTTTGGAGAAAGAGGAGATGGGAGATAATTGATACTCTTTTTAACACAGGGATGTGCTTTGTGGTTTCCTCTTGTGTACCAATATTGGAAATATCCCAAGGCTCGGAGAACTGGATGGTGAAATCACATCCACTTTAGTTGTGCAGCAGGGAAGAACATTAAACTGCAGGTAATTACCTAACTGTTACTGAGAAATTCAGTCATCTGTCTTTCCAGAAATGCAGCTTAGGACTACTGCTTTCAGTTCATGTGCATGCTAGTAAGCTGAAGTAGTAGGTACTCAATCACTTTGAGATAATTGAATAAATCCTAGTGGGAAAGAGATAAAAGACAGTGAGCATTAGCTGAATGTAGTATATTAAGTAGTTGTGGATATGATATGTTATTCAGTAAAATCCTATAGGGTAGTGTACATTTCCTTCTTTTTAAGGAAATGCTCACTTCTAGGTAAAGTCACTGAGTTAAATGTCTGCATCTACTTTGGTCCCTTTCTCAATCTAATCCCATCAAACTGACTAAATAGATCTTTTTTTGTGGAAGGGAAGGGAAAAAACAAATCATTTAAATAGGGATACAGGTGGACCCATTACAATAATGAGACATACAAGTTGTTATGTCGAAAACGAACTTTACAACTTTGGTGGGGGGGGGGGGGAGGAGGGTTGGGTGAGAGAGTGGGGGGATGGGAAGGGGAAACAAAGGAGGAGGCTACAATGCTTGATATCTTGCCCATGTAATTGTAACCCCTCTGTACAGTATTTTCACAATAAAAAAGAAAAAAAAAGAATTCAGATATTCATGAAAAATACAAAATGGAGACAAAAGTAACATCTTAAAGAAAAGAATCCCAAAAGTTTTCACAGAGAATAAAAAACTAAAGGCACAGGAATTAAAAATGGTTTAAAACTTAATAACAAGACCCCTGGGAATCAGAAGAAAATAGATATAATTATTTAAAAATTAGAATATTGTAGAAAATATCAGCTCTAGCTTGAAATTAGTAAGAATATTTAAAGACATTGTTAATGTGTAAATATTTCCAAAATTTGTCCTCCTACATTCTTTCTGAGAAAGCTACTAGATTTAGACTCCACAAAAAATGGAAGAGTAAACCAAAGAATAGAAAGGCAAAGGAGATAAGGAACAAGATACATATGTAGACAGTGTAATCCTCAAATTAATAATGAGGAGAAGCTAAGATTTATAGCTCTGTGTCAGGGTGTTTTTTTTTTTAAAAAGCAAAACAGGTCAGAAACTCCAGCTTAGCCTCAGATATATTATCAGTGGAGATTTGATAGCCAATGGAGATTTTGGATTAGTTTTGAATTAATGGTGATAAATTCTTAGAAAAGTAAGCAAAGAAACTGCAAGCAAATACAAGACTAAGGGCAAACAAAAAGTAGTATAAAAACCCAGAGTTTTATCATGACAGCACCATTTCATTCAACTGAATAATTTATGTAGTTAATAACAATGTCCATTTCTTTAATTGATCTATTGATTAAATAAAATTATGATAAAAGAGTAAGGAAAAGAGGAAAATGTGTCTTCAGTGAGGACAGAGAAAAAGATAAATGATCAAGTTTCCTATATAGAAGTCAATTGATAGCACATAAAGCTAAATCAATGAGAGCCATAATTTAAATATAAATATATTAGTTGTGCAGACTCAGTATATCATAAGAATGATCTATTGGTGAACAATTTATATTTGACTCTACATAAATGCATAATTTTTATAAAAATAATCAAAAAGACTAAAAAGTGTTATGTTAGTATTGACTTGGTATCATATATGATAAACTGATTATTAATATAAGATTTCAATTCTTATCCTGATTTTGCTTAATCCTAAAAAATTTGAGGTTGCTATATTGAATCTATATAATAGTTCAGTTATACTCAAATAGAATTGGTAGATATTCAAGGTTTGGGGGAAACTAAAGCTATTTTCATCTTCATTTGAAATACATGTGGAAAGTAGAGACATAAGAATTAAAGGTAGCTTAAGACTCATGGGAAACTTAATTATTAAACCAAATTCTACTAAATACAACCTAATAGACTTATACATAGCATCAAATGATTAGGTTTAAACCTCAAACTATATTAATTTTGTTAAAAAGAATTAGACAAAGCGTGAACCAACTCAACAGTGATACTCACTAGACAGACTATGTTGGAGATGAACCTTACAACTTAGATGGGTGGTCAGGAGGGGAAAAAGCGGGGGAGGGGGAATGAAGGAGGGGATAACCTTGTTCATTACCTGATTTATGTAACTGTAACCCCTTCTGTACATCATCTTTACAACAAAATTTAAATTAAAAAAGAATTAGATAAACAATTTAATTGCTTTCTCCAGTTGAGAGTTGGACATGCTCACATTACTGGATTTTACTAAATAATAACTAGAAAATAGATGAAATGGTCTTTCCCCATTCTTTAGTTTTTGAGCATATTCTCAAGATGAATGAATAAATGGAATCCCATCTGCTTTCAATCCCAATTTATATTTAGTGGTGGGCATGTTAAGCTCGAAGAAGATGGAGATATTGGCTATGTGGAAGACGGGACTCCCTGCGGTCCTCAGATGATGTGCTTAGAGCGCAGATGTCTTCCTGTGGCCTCTTTCAACTTCAGTACTTGCTTAAGCAATAAAGAAGGAACTGTTTGTTCAGGGAATGGAGTAAGTATTCATGATTTCATCATTGGAACCATTTGTTTCTTTTGTCTTCAATCCTACAATGCTTATTTCCCTAATTATAGAAAACAGTAGTATTCAGGTTTTTGTTTGGTATGTGAGCATTGATTTTATCATAGCTGTTTGATTATTTTTGTTGTGTAATCTGAGAAAGTAAAAATAAGGAGAATATAATTTTCCTTAATGAATTCTTTTTTTAATATGATCTCATATAATGCTAGTTTTCTACAAGTGAACTAATAATGTGAATTAAACTGCAATGGAGGTTTTAAGAGAGTAAAATAATAGGTGTTAACCACATTTAACTACTGTTGTTGTCTTATCACTGACCAATGAGAACAGATCATAAATAACCATTACTCATAGAGAATAAAACCTAAACATTAGAACAGAATAATCACGGGGAAAAACTGGCATTTGATGCATTTTTAATTTTTTTCTTCCAGTTATGTATCAGATAATATACGTTCCATGTAAATAAGTTTGTAGGTTAAAGATTCATCCTCTACTGGTGACAAATTTTTTGTTATTTTCAGTTAGGAAATCCAATACTGACACTTTCCTGGTTCTTTTTCTTTATGCATGTGCTATGTTTGTTTGTTTTTTTTTTTCCTACTGTCATTCTAAATTCTTTGTGTGACTGAATTGTATTATCCAGTTAAGGTAAAGGAGACACATTTTGCGATTATGGGCTTGAAATCCTGGTCATTTCATGTAATATTCTTGAGGGATATGTCAAGAATATATATAGAGAAAGAACTGTCAGTTAATTGCTAAAAGATAGGAATTTTATGACACATGATAAAGAGAACATATAAGTTAAATAGCTCTGCTCCTGTACTGTGGGGGTCAGAAAACACTTTTTGTGGGGGCAATGGAAAAGAGTAATGGAATTATTTTTGATCAATAATGTGAATGAATTATCATATTTTACTCATAAAAATTGGAATATGTACTGCAGAGAATAGATGGTTTTTCTAGTAACTATTAGTTTAAGGAGTTAGTAAAAGAGTGACAGATGCGAGTACAGCCAGGTGATAAATAGCACCCAAGTAATTTATAATAATTATGCATAATAATTTTATCCTATGTAATTTTAACTTATAGTAGATCAACTATATTTAAAGGACAAGAAGTACAGTGAATCTCCTTTATATGCTATACATCATACAGTTGGGTGTAGATTTAGAATCAGATGACTTTGAGTCTCAGGTCTGCTTCTTAGTAGGTAGGTGACTGACAATAAGCTCTTTTATGAATCAGTTTTGCTGCCGAATCCAGGGCTTAAACACAGAGGCTTGAGCTCACTTGCTTGGCTTTCTTACTAAGAGCTGGTATTCTACTACTTTGAGACACACTTTTCAGCTATTTAATTGGGTGGAGTCTCACAGACTTTTTGCCTCATTTGGCTTCAAATTTTGATCCTCCATATCTTAGCCTTTTGAGTAGCTAGGATTATAGGTTTGAGCCACTAGAACCCAGATACAGTTCCTTTTCTGTAAAATGAAGATGATACTAGTGACTGTTCTATAGATTGGTATTAGCTAATGCTTCTAATGCACTTAGAACATTGTCTGGGACACAGAGTGAATGTTCAATAAAAGTTAGCCATGCTATCATTAATTAGCAGACAGTCCCCTGTCCTTGTCACTAACTCGCTGGCACTATCAAATGATATGAAAATTGATGTTTGGAGAAGCCAAGGGGCTGGGTAAAACCTTAGTACGTCAGTAATGAAATGGAGATATTTCAAATCTAGGCCTTTTGACTTTAAACTTAAATCTCTTGTTGCATAATGTTTAACCTGTAGCTCTAAATGGAGCTATTCTATAGGCACATTAAGATTCGGATATATGGTGCCTTCTAGGAAACTTAAGATTGAAACACCCTGCAGAGCAAATCTGACTGGGAGCACTTGTACATATGAAAACCTACCTGTACCCTCTCCCACTCCCTCTCCACTCATTTGTTTCGAATTATAAGATGCAGGTGTGGATATTGCTTAGATTAATAGAGATATATTATCGTCCTATATTTGAAAAGAATATTTTATGTGAATTCTTTTTCTGTTTTATTTGTGAGAGTAATTAGTTGCTATGACCTTGAGGTATAACTACTTTCTATGGCCTGGATTGAGTTGTGAGGGCTGTGGCTTTCAGACTTTTCCTTTCAGTCAACTGTAAAACACTGGACCTTCTTCCTATGTCTTTCTTGGACTTCCTTTGGTCTTGTTCTACTTCCTAAAAAATAATATTTTTGGCATAAAGATTTCTTCCAAAGTAAAACAAAAGCCTTTGTATTAGATGATTGATCAATATATTATTTCTGTTTAATTTTTAAATTTCATAACATATGTTAATAAAATTCAAAATAATAAATTCATTTTTTTAGACACAGATTAATTCCCTTGTTACCAAAGTTATGTTCCCTTGTAGGTCATTGGTTAAATCTTGAGATAAATGTATTTTTAGGTTCACGAGTATTTAGTATTGAGAAAAAAGTGCTAATACTTTTTTCACTATCATCAACTACTAGCCATGTAATGCTTAGAAATAAATGTTGACTTTTTCATGTCTCTCTAACAGAGACTTGACAGTTACTCTAACTTGATTGCATTTCAGGTTTGCAGTAATGAATTGAAGTGTGTATGTAACAGGGACTGGATTGGAGCAGACTGCAACACTTACTTCCCTCACAAGGATGATGGAAATGCTGGTATCATCCTGTCTGGCAATGGTAGGTTCTTTGTTTTACATCATTATATCATCTTTATGTGAAAGGAAAGAGAAAAAAAGCACTGTGGACATTTTTATTTGGGTTAATTTTATGATAACTCAAAATAAATTGTATCTACATAAAAAGGAGGATACAACTGGAATTTATCTAGTGACACTGATTATTTTTCATTAAATTGTGGTTATTTGCCATACTAAATCCACTGACTGAGCCTTATTATGTCCTACTTTAAAGATTTTTTTTCATGTAGAGTTTTTGACAAAAAGGTAAGTCAAAAGAAACTTACGTTTTTTTATTCTTCTCTAAATGGTTCTGTTTTCTTTGTATCATTGCTTTTCCTGATTTTATTTGAAGGCATCATATTTTCTCAAAACCAGAAAATACAACTGTGCAAAATGCACCTGGGCAGAAATTAAAATTGAACTTATGCAAAAAATAATTTGATGAAAGGGTTGACATTGATCAAGATTTATTGTATTCATATTCTTTGTACAACTACTTAAAGATAAAAAAATTAAAAAATGTCTTATAGCGGGAAAAAGACAATTAGTTGATTTTTCTTTTCTTTGAAAAATATTCGTGTTTTTAAAACAAACAATGCTAGTTTAATGATTACACAGCTGAAGAAAAGGTTCTGAAAGAGTTTTAAATATTTGATCTTGCTTATTTTTTCCTTTGCAGGTGTTGCTGGCACTAATATCATAATAGGGATAATTGCTGGCACCATTTTAGTGCTGGCTCTCATATTAGGAATAACTGCATGGGGTTATAAGTAAGTGGAATGTCTCAATATTATTGCTCTAAAATTATACATTTAAACATTTTGATTAAATAAGAATATCTAGAAAATTCTGCATCACTAGATAAACATACTTACATAAAAAATCATCTTAGCTCAACAGTTGATTGGTCTGTGGGTATGGTTCAAGCCTAACATGTGCAAGGCTCTGGGATCAATCCCCACTAGTGAGAAAAGAGGTGGGTTTTTTTTTTTTAATTTTAAACTGGGTATGATAGAATTTACATGTAATTTTATATACACAGAAGGCTGGAGCAAGAGAATTGAGAGTTTGAGGCCAGCCCAAGCAAAGTTAACAAAATCCTATCTTTATAAAACAAAATGAAGGACTGGTAGTATGGCTCAAATGTAGTGCTTGTCTATTATGTGCAAGGCCATGGATTCAATCCCCAGCACTGCAACAAACAAACAAGCAATTAAAAAAAATAAAACAATCAGTGGATTACTCTTGTCATCATTAGAAGCCATGATGATTGACCATATTTTACATTTTTTTAAATTTTTTTTGGTCGGTCGTGGGGCTTGAACTCTGGACTTGGGCGCCATATTTTACATTTTAAGACAACTCTCTTCTATTCTAAAAGTACCAAATGTTTATTAAGGCATTAGAAATTAATTAAAACTTAATCCAAGTTGTGTTTATGTGAAGTCTGAAGTCTAGGAAAGACAGTAAATTAGGAAGCCTTACTGCTTTGATAACTGCATCAATAAGACTTGTATCAACAGAACAATAGCAGCAGATATGTTAGCGAGAACTTGCATGGCTATGCAACACACTATGGGCAAAATCCTCATGGCCCGTGTGAAGAGACACACTTATTTATGACATGTAGGTATGTTTTTGTGATATTTTAATTTGCTAAAATTAAAATTCAACATCATGTTCCAAGGTTTCATCTTTGTACTCTGGTTTCATATATGACAAGCATTGAGATTAGGACCTGGTCCAAATAAACAAAATGTGATTATTTGCTTTAATTATTATTTCTTGACATAGTCTTAAACCAATGGAATCAAAAGTTAAATCATATACACCCTTTAAAAGTATATATGATGATTGCTTGTGAGATTAAAACCCTGAGTTTCTTTGACTAAAAAGGAGGATCAATTATTTAATATACTGCCAGGATAAATGTGTGGTACAAACATTAAAATGCAGAAGGACATGCAGGGGAGACTAAATTAACAGGATGCAGAGAGAATATAGTCAAGTCCACCACGGCATAGTCTACTTGACATAACCTAGTGAGGGAGCTCATCATAGTAGCAAGTTTTGCTCTGATCCAGTTCAACGCAGATGCTCAGTACCAGTGGGCTTCTTTGATATGCAGTATCAATATGCAATGTGCCATATCATTAGATTGTCTGATTTGGGGCATAATATTTGGAGTTAAACAATGATATGTCTAAGCTAAGCACTGATGGCTCATACCTGTAGTCTTAGCTACTCAGGAGGCTGGGATCTGAGGATTGCAATTCAAAGCCAGCCCAGGCAGGAAAGTCTATGTGACTTTCATGTCCAGTAAACCACCAGAAAACAGGAAGTGGTGCTGTGGCTGTAAGTGGTAAAGCGTTAGCAGATGAGTGCAGATGCTCAGGAACAGCACCCAGGCCCCGAGTCCAAGCCCATGATGGACAAAAACAAAGCATACACACACACGCACACACACACACACACACACACACACACACACTGACACACACACACACACAGAGTATTTCTTTGCAAGAAACAGAAAAATCTTGTTAATATTGCAATATCTTCCTCATAATCATTTGAACGCAAATGATTAGTTTTAGTGTTTCTAAAATTGTTCAGAATATATTTAGAAATAAAAAACTCAGAAATTTTCTGAGGATTTAACTTATGAATGTGGTATTTTACTTAGTCCATTTGAAATTTAGAAGCAGATTTAGCACCTGCTGCCTATTTGTTAATTTTGCATAAGAAAACACTTTGTATTGATCTGGTAACTACATAGGTAGTTAAAGATTACTTCGCATAGTTGGAATTCTTTTTATAAAGAGTTCTTTTCCATGGAAGTTTCCACCCCAACTCTAAGTCTTAGATCGGGGACTAGAAAGAGAGAAATACTCATCTGCAAGTACACAACTCAAATAATCAAACTGAGCAAGTGAAAGAATAGAAAGATATCTGAAAGAAATGAATACTAATATTGAACTGACACTTTTTACCCACATGTTCTCATTGTGATCCTTAAATATGGATGAAATAGATTGGCCAGGGAAAGAACTACAAATTAAATCCATTAGGAAACTTTATCCTTCATCATAGAGGAAGGAGCTCAAAGTGACTCAATCATTTGACCTTTCTAACCTACCATAGAAATATTAGCAATCCAGTCAAGATAGACTATTTTAATTCCTTTGAAAAAAGGTTACTGGTACTGCACCATCACATCCTTTAGAACAAATTTTTGTTTTACATCAGTTTATTTTGAAGTTTAATACAAACTTACTTTAGAGCATGGTAAAATGAAAAAAAAAACAGTAAAACAAAAATATGGTAGAATAACAATTATCTATAGCTATTTCCATTGTCAAGCTTTGGTGATTAGTAATGACTAAGAAGGACCAGAACAGTTATGCGTTAACTATTCTTTGTTATATGGTAAAATAAAATGTTTTTGATGTGCATTTCTACTTCCTTATTTGAAATTCTTAGGAATAGCAGTAGAGGTGGTTGTATCACAGCAGGAACAAAACATTATTTTATTTCTATGAAAATACAATTAATTTATGTAAGTAAACTGATAAAATAAGTTTTTATTCAAACCAATGTAATATGTCCCCAAACCCATATTTAAAATAGGATTGACTTCAGAACAATGAAAAATATTATTGCAATTCAACTGATACTGAGAAATCAGTTGTGCTGTAACAGTTACACTTTTAAAAATGGATAACTGTTTGATAGTATTAACCCTTCGGTGTCTGTGTCATCTCTTCTAATGTTAAAGTGATAATTAAATACATATTTCCATTTTAATTATGCAATTCAAAATAGTCTTATAAAGATCTTTCAGTAAGTGTGGGAGCTTTTATGTTTCATATTGTTGTTAATGTACTTCTGAAAGTAACTAATTTTTATGTTTTCCCTCTTTTTCTTCTTGTCCTGAAAAGAAACTATCGGGAACAGAGGTATGTGATAAGTCTAATCTAAGCATAATCGAAAAGTTTACCTTCGGTTAGCATTGTTGGAATTTAAACATGAAATTATAAATCAAATTTACTTTGTTTTTAATGTAACAATAATCTTGATTTTTTATGACCTTGAAATAATCATTTTAAATCACATTATTTTTAGTTATTTATGAAAATAGAACTTTTTCATCTAAAACAAACTTCTATGTTAAGTTGTCATGTTTGTTTACATTAGCTTACTGGCTTTTCTTTGTGCTTTTAACTCTTACTTGCTTAATACTGTCTGAAGGAATTAGGTTTTCTCTGTTATTATTGTTATAGTAATAACTTCCATACGTAAATGACAAAGCTTTATCTGAGTACAACGTTGGTATTAGGGGTATGTCCTGGCACTTGGTGAACCTGATATTTTTGTATAAAAATATTTTTGCATTGACTAAGTAATCACATAGGTAGTTAAGAAGGAATTAGCATAATTAGAATCTCTTATGGCCTTCTTAACTTAAATAAAATGTTCATAAGGAAATCAAACATCCTATTTATGTACAAAATATGTTTTTCTCTAAGATGTGCCTATTTTATCAAAATCTAATGTGCCACATTGTATTAGGACACACCTTTCACTATTCACAAAAAATTGCTAATAGCTACTGATATAAAAATGAAAATATCATGTTGGAAATTGAAAATACATACCAGGTGTTGCATTGTATATAGTATTTAGTTCTGTGTTCAGAGTATTCACAAAGATTCCTATCTATTGAGTTTTTTCCATTGTTGCATCACCTGACTATGGCAAATTAAGAACAAGGTATAATACACTTGTTGACACTTTCTCACTCCAACCACTACTTTCACTTTTTCATCAATAGAAAATTTAAATTTACTATTCTGTTTGCTTGTGTGTTAAAATTTATCTAAGAGTTTAGCCACAAATTATCTGTAGAATCTCAGTAAAGAAAGGTGCCCCTAGATAAGGTTTGAAATCTGGTTAACATAGGTATTAGAAAATATGGACTTTACCCTAGAATGAGGACTCAATATTAAAAGAAAAGATAAAAGTGAGACAAACTTGATACAGTTTTTAAAACAATTGGATTACTTTGTGAAGTCTTTTGAATTCTCATACAAAAATACTTTAATAGGGCAGGAGCATATGGTTTCTTGGGTAGAAGTTGAGTAATCATACAAGAACTCTAAGACTGCTAATTTTCTTCAGTGGAAAGTGAAATTATGCTGATAAGGTAAAAATTGATGATTCACTTCATGTCCATAGGAGTTAAAGCTATGATATAATATAATAATACTGAATATAAAACAAGGAAAGTAAAAGTTAGCAAATATATAACCCAAGAAAAGGTAAAATAGTACTCTTAAGATATTTTTTGGGTAGGGATGCTATCCAGAATAAAGAAATTGTTCACACTATGCAAAAAGTTAGTATTTTCAAAGTGTGCACTAGTTGTCATTCTCATATAATATATCCATAGATATAGTTAAAAACATTTTGTACTCTGAATTGCTTTTATTTGACTGATATAATTTCACATCTCCTAACTTACTAAGTCATCATTTCATTGATCTGGCTACCCTTTTTAAAATCTAGTCTTATTTTTGAGCGCTATCTCATCTCCAATAATATTTGTGCTTTTGTTATATTTTGACATATTTCAACCAAATCTCTTTTAATTTTGTCTATAACCCATGACAGTAGGTTTGTACATTAAAAATCTCACAATGGAGAGTAACAAAGAATAGACTTTAAATGTGTCTAAGTAACTTTTAAAAGAATCTTCTTTTGCACTGTATAGTTTTTTCTTTTCACTATATATATGTATATATATATATATTATATATATATATATATATTAGTAGCTATAGAGGAGGTGATCAGTCCAATTGACAAAAGCTTGCATTAGGAAAATTTCAGTCTTACAAAATCATCTACACATGTTCAAATAAAGACTTATCCAGTTCCCAAGAATGTCAAGAAATAGAATTAATCATTTGGAGGGCCTCATTGCCTTTAGATTTTCCTTTAAGGTTCCACTGTGACAAGAAATTGACAAGGAATTAGAAATCTTCTATTATGTAATGATGGGAATTACTTAATGTTTTCCCCCTCAACTCTAAAATCATATAAAGTTCTTTGTAATCTTTAAAACACTATGGGGGACATAGTTATCAGGATTGTATCTGAACTTCAGACTAAATTTTCTGATCTTCAGATGAAAGGGGTAGATGTTCTTCTTAGAGAAGAAGGCAAAAGTCATCAACCTGAATGATGGACCCATACCTATCTTTCAGCTGGTAAAAATGTTGATGAACATCAAGTTTTGCTTTGAGTGTAAATATCCATAAGGAAACCAGACGTTCTATTTAATATAATTTTACAATCTCCCTGTAAGCCAAGAGTATATAAATAGATACAAAATATTCATATAACCACTTCTGAGATTCTTGTTAATGTCGTGATGGCTCAGAAATGCTATATTTATTGGTTTTCAAACTCTTGGAGACAATAGGCAAGTATGTATTTATCCTATAAATGAATCACATAGGAAATGTCTTATGAATAAAAAAATAATAGAAACTCCTTTTCTAGGGCATGGTAGAAGCAGAAACCACGCACATACTGCATCACTTTATATTGCCAATATCATTCAAGACATTGGGAAATTATGAGGCTGGCTATTTATTTCTTTAAAATGTCCCGGGGGAAAAAAAGTCCACCTTTTTTCTAGTTGGTTTTATTGTTTGTCGTAGAATAATTGCTTATAGCTGCTATCTGGTTTGTTATAAGAGCTATAAGCAGTCAGGCTTACAAGTAGAAATAGAATAATGCAAAATAACTCAACTTAGATTTCTAAAACATCCAACTAAAATTCTTTTATTTTTTTCTGAAAGGAAACACATCACTTTGATTAATGAGGATTAGAATACTTAGTTCCTGTGTTTCAGATCTGTGGTTTTACCTTGAGCAAAATTTCCTCCTCCACTCTATTTCTTTTCCCCTTCACCTGTTTTAGCCACTTTATTTTCTGCTTGTGGACTTTGCCCAGACCTTTCTTAGTTTCTTTTAATTTTATTATTTCAGTGTTATTCATGCACCTGTCATTGTTGACTTGGCATGTACCTTTTATAATATTTCTTAAAAGAGTAAAATAACAGCTCCAAGAAGAGACATCCTGGACACCAATAAGGCAAATATCTCCTCCATCATTAAGGTTAAGACTTATTTTTATTTCATTTTGAATATTCACCAAGATTATTTAGATAAATATCAACGAATGGTTTTATGATAGATCAGACTTCTTTTACAACAGGAATAACCATTTTCCTAATGTCTTTTTGGGTAATCCTGCAGTATTTCACATAATGTTTAAATTTATCTTTGAAACTCTTCCTTCCTCTTGCAGAAATTGTCTTCCTTCACAGGACTACTGTACAGCTTCAAAATAACCCTTTGATTCAATTTTCAATCTTTCTCAACCTTCTTCATGTTTCTTTTAAATAAATAATGAAACTCCAAATTGAACACTGAACTGCAATAAGAATTTGCTTCAATTAATTATAGAGTAGCTTAGAATTCAATCAATTTTTTTAAACTAAATCAAGGCCACATCCATGATATAATGTTTTGAAATCACGAATAGTTTATTCACTGCCTTAAAAAAAATACCCTGCTTTATCTGGGGTAGGACTGTCCAAAAACATCTCCTTCAACATCAGTTTTTTAAAAGACAAAACTCTAACCCCCCCAAATATAATGAAGTTTATAATGGCACAACCTCCCCATCTTCCCACATTTCCCCCTTGAGTAGTTAGATTCATCCAAGCTACAAAGATTTCCAGTGCTTGCATTTCTGACTTCTATAGTTAGAATGACTTTATCTTGTCACATTTATTAATAATCTTATGTGTTGTTACAGATTTGATTCATGTAGATCATTATCCCTACCTCTCTTTTTCCTGAAATAATATTTGTATATGTCTGTGTTCATGTGTGTGTGTGTCTTGTTTTCTGACTCTGAAATGTTTATTATGCCTTAGACAGTTACCCCAGGGAGATTATGTAAAAAAGCCTGGAGATGGTGACTCTTTTTATAGCGACATTCCTCCTGGAGTCAGCACAAACTCAGCATCTAGTTCTAAGAAGAGGTCTGCTTTTCTGTCGCATTTTCAGATTTCTACCTGTTCCATCACACATTATTCCATTAGTCAGAACATTTCATTATTTTGCAGCAGGTTTGATTACTTCTTCCTTCTTTCTTGAATGTTAAAAAATAGTATCCTTTGTTCTTTGATTACTCTATTTCAAAATGCCATATGCTCAGAACCACTTATTATACAAATCAAATTCCAAAATGGAAACAAAATAAAACAATAACAACAACAAAAATTCTAAATCTTTGTAGAAATAACAGGGTTATTTTTTAGTCTTGCACTTGTATGTATTAAGAAACCAAACATAGTAATTAATATTTTAAATGGTGAGCTTTATGTCATGTTTGGTAGTCAAAGAAAAAGGTTACTGTCATGCTTCAATAAAAGCAGATAAGATAAATTGTGCTGCTTTGACTTTTTTTTTTATTATATCTATCAAAGCTAAGCTCGCTTTAAAACAAAGATTGCTTCTCTGTGATCATGTATTTGGATATTATGATTTTGCCTTTTTTTCTGGAACGATTATTTGTAGAATTTTATAACTTACCCCTTAGCAGACAATGTATGCTTAATAAATTCTTGAGTTTCATAAAATACAGATGGGACTAATATATTATTATATGTCTCAAGCTCTGATGATTTAATCTGTTCTAGCACAGTATCTTAAGGTATATGCTACCACTTATATTCTGCATGCTGTGTCATTGCTTATAAATAAATGAGTAGAAGAAAATAGTTGGAACGCTTTAGAGAGTGGGATTTATATTCACATTAAAAGAAGTCAGATATTCCTGTGGAGAAATTTCTTTACAGTTGCCAGTTGGGGTGTAATAAGTAGGAAGAGAATTTAGCAGCCTACTCATGCCTCTGGGCACACTCATTACTTTGCAGAGTGGGGGAAACAGTCTTTTCTAGTATACTAACTAGAGAAAATAATCTGTAAAGCCTTCACAAAGTTGGGCTGGGGAGGTGGCTCAGTGGTAGAGCACCTGCCTTGCATGCATGAGGCCCTGGGTTCGATTCCTCAGTACCACATAAGCAGAAAAAGCCAGAAATAGCGCTGTGGCTCAAGTGGTAGAGTGCTAGCCTTGAGCTGAAGAGGGACAGTGCCCAGGCCCAGAGTTCAGGCCCCACGACCAGCAAAATAAAAAATAAAATAAAAATTTAAAAAGTTACTAATCTTTATAAATAGTAATCAAGGAATGCAGAGGCACTGGTGGGATCTGGGAACTAACTCTATGTGGAACTTTCTGAAGCATGAAGAATAGTTTTCATTGAAATACAGTATTTAAAGCAAAAGTAGAAATACTAGTTTTGAGGCAAGGAGCAAAGTTCCATAGAAGGTTGTAATTTTTTTTTAATTGTTTTAATTTACTGATGCTTTCTTGACTGAGAACAGAAGATTGCGGGGGATCTACTGGAATTCTCATTATAGAAATCTTTTCTGGGTCAAATACAAAATTTTAAATTAAATAACATAGTAAAGAAATGGAGAAATCAGTGGGTTTCAGACAAGTTTCTGTTGTCCCTTCATGTAAAAATATATGGACTTGTTCTGTAATTAGCAGTGATATTGACATTAATATATAGTAATTGTGCTGAGTTGTATTTGTTTTCATTCATCAGAAGATTTCAAATACAGTGCTGTTTTGTAAAGTACTTTAAAAACAAACAGCTAAAATACCCATTTAAATAATTGCCAGATTTTAGAAAAATCTTGCTATTTTTAATCAATTAAAATGTATCAAGTTGTTAGATTTTTATGTACATATAATTTATTTCAGTTCTTTTCTAATGTGGTTCAAGGTAGGTGTATGAATTATGTTGTTATAGATGACTTATTTAAAGATAATAAAAACACAAATAGCAGAAGGGTTCAATGGTACATGGGCTTTGTGAGAGATATTTCCATGACAGACATATGATTCAGTTTAGTTGTTAGACAATTAACTGACATATACTACTTTTTGGATTTTATTTATTAAGAAAAGTGCCAATTCTAAAAAAATTAAGAAATTTTTCTATCACTTTGATAAAGGTTAACATGTTCGTTTGCGCAAATCTCTATAATCTCTTAGAAGTCCATGTTCTCATAGTCTTTGAATGGAAGCCATTGCTTTACAATTAAGAAACATCTATGGTGGGACCCCATTATAACCCTGCTGCTGGAGTTATGTAACTGAAATACAATGAATTTACTATGTGTGGTTGCAGTGTTCTGGGGAGTGAAAATTGGCTTGCATTGTGTCCTGATACTTTTCATTTATAGACTATTGTAATGGGGTTCCATTGTATTTGACTTTTCTTAAATTGATTGTTGTGTAATTCTGCCTTCGTCATGAGGACTTCCATGTTTTCTTCATTCTTTCATTTCAGATTTTGTTTCTTGGTTTATTTTATTTAATGCACAATAATAATGCCTAGAAATTTTGCCTGATTTCAAAGTATTCACCTGCTTACATTTTTGAGCAATGTATTTATCTTCTCAATTTTAGGTCAAATGGGCTCTCTCATTCCTGGAGTGAAAGGATACCAGATACAAAACATATTTCAGACATTTGTGAAAATGGGCGACCTCGAAGTAACTCCTGGCAAGGTATAGAGCAACGTTCTGAATCCATCTGTCCACATAATCCAGGTTCTGTTGTATTCTTTCCTGTTTGCAAATCTTTTCACTCTTCTCCCAAAAAAGAAGAGAATATTTAGAATGGCAATCTGATTTAGTTTGGTTTGGTTTCTTGGGTAGGAAATGATGGGATTTGTATCAACCAAATAAAGAAAAACTGTAAGAGGAATGTATAGAACTTGTTTGAAATACCATGTAATTGTTTAACATGGAAATTGATGAACAGTTATTGATTAGCATGGAAATTTAGCTACAAATCTTCTTTTTCAGGCAACGTGGGCGGTAACAGAAAGAAAATCAGAGGCAAACGATTTAGACCTCGATCTAATTCAACTGAGTAAGTCTGAAACTCTAATGGAGAAGCCATACTTGTTCAAGGTCCTGTGCATTAGTGTCCAGTATTAATTAAGAAGGTAGCCAAAGAATGGTCAACCATGCCTCTGGTTTTGGTTGTGTCTTTTTAATTCTTTCCTTTTTTTGCCCTTTAAAAATTAACCATGGCTTTTCTCTTTTACATAGGCATCTTCGCAACTGTGCCCATACCCATATGCACTGACAGTGGGGTCTCACCCTTGCTGCAGGTTTTTTCCTCCAGTCACCTGCCATTATGGTGTCTTGGTTCCCTTTGAAGGGAATTTTGATAACATTCCTTTCTTTTCATCATCTGGGTTACAACCATTTCAAAGGGTCACCCTTCCTCTCCCCAATACCCACACAGCCTGGAAGCATCCGGGGAAAATTCTCACCCTACTGGAGCATGACAGTGCTCACGATCTGACACCACCGCTCAGAGATCTTCATGGCTGCAATCTAAGCATTCTCTCAGACTAATGGAATAGATTTCCCTTTTAAAGTTTCCTTCTGAGGATATTTAAAAGGGTAGTCTCCTAAACTTGCTCTTTAATGGAATCATTGTCACTGAATGCAACAGTGCCCATTTTAGATGATAACCTTAAAAAAAAAAAGTAGAGGGATCAGAAGTTACATCTAAAGTCTTCTATAATGAAGTAAACATCATGCACCTTTTTTTGTTTCTTTCCCCACTTAAGAAAGTGCAAGCAAAATAAACCCCTTCAGTATTATCCCCCATTATAGAATAAAATACTCCCCAAATATCCTTTCAGACTGACCTTACTAACTGGTTTTCACTATAGTACTTTTTTTAAGGCATCTAAGAATTTCCACTTATATTTCATTGCAGTCGTAGTTATTGTTCACTGGATCTCTATTGGTTCTTCATGCCTTAGTACTTATAAAAATCTGAATAGTAGGTATTTTTTAACTGCTTGATAGAAACTTATGTTAGCTTTTCCATCATATGCCCTGCCTTTTTCAGTCTAGGAGTAATAACATTGCCCTGAAATTTGGACCTTCCACCTGAATGGTATTGTCTTGTAAGTGGCTGATCAACATTTACTAGAGGGTATTTTGCCTTAGAACAATAGAAGATTTCAAGTGATACCATTGCATGGTCCAGAATGGCATCATAGAACTCCATCATAAAATAACTAATCTGTTAGAGTTTATCTTATGCATTCCCAAAGTGCTTGGATGCTTTAGGGTTCATTGCTGATAAACTCTTGGAATGTTATTTGATTTCTTTTGCATGGGATCACCTGGTAAGAGCTCCTTAGCTTATCTCAGTTGCTCATAAGATTACCGATAAAACTACAAAATGTTCTACAGATCTTCTTTTGTGTACTATTTAGTGTTCTAACAGTATTTCCTATAGTAAGTCTTAGATAACTCCTACATGAAAAAATGAAATGTCAAAAAGTATGTTAATGCTTATGAGCTTAGCGCCCAAAGAACATTTGGTGTTTATGAATATTTATACAGTGTTTTATAGAGAATCACTGACTTTAAAAAACATTTGTGTAGGCTGGGAAGGTGGCTCAGTGGTAGAACACTTGCCTTGCGTGCATGAGGCCCTGGGTTCGATTCCTCAGTACCACATAAGCAAAAAAAAAAAAAAAAGCCAGAAGTGGCACTGTGGCTCAAGTGGTAGAGCGCTAGCCTTGAGCTGAAGAGCTGAGGGACAGCGCCCAGGCCCAGAGTTCAGGCCCCACAACTGGACACCCCCCCCCAAAAAAAAACATTTGTGTAAAATTTCCACTTAAATCATGTATAATAATTATTATACTATGGATAACCATTGAGATATCTTGCCAATATGATAAAGTTGTAATATTTCATATGACATCTAAATAGAATCATCTTAGAGAGAAATGTATTAAGGATGCCCTCAGAATTTTCAGACTTCTGATTTTGGTTACATGCTTCATATGAATTAAATGGCCATGAGTATTAAATGGCCACTCTTCTTATAAACCTTCTTATCTAGAAACTGTCTCTATATACATTTATATACTGCTTAAACATAAAGATTCCAAATACATAACATATCAAGAATTGTGTTGGCCATTTTCTTATACCTGCAATATTTATGCAATATTGTTTGCTTCTGATAGGATAGTATAACTTCTCTTAGTATAAAAGGAGCTGAGTGACCACGGGAAACATATGCTTTATTTTTCTTCCAGTGAGAGCTATTTTCTACTCTTGCAGCTTTCCCTTTAGTAACCCATCATCTCAAAGGATGATGAAAAATTGAGACAGGAATTAAAACATGCCCCACAAATGCATGCTAAGCTAATGAACAAAATAGAATGTCCTTGTTTGTTGTGTTGTTTTCACACTCAGAGCTTTTGCATCTTCCTCACTGTTGTTCATGATGTAAAAACCTTTTGGGCTTAGACTTTGTATTATATATTGTGTTTTTACAGGAGGGAGCCCCAAGCACCTGAGCCTGGGCACTCCCTCGCCCAGACAGTCCCATCCCAAGGCATAAGCCCAGGGGGCTCTGACAGCCCCCAGACAGGGAGTCTGGATCACAGGTCAGTCTCCACCTGCCCCTTCATTCTGGGCTGCCACTGAATCTCCCTCCTCAAGTCCCTTCCTTGGCTGAGAAAAGAGTCATTTGATCTTTGACCGAGCCCCCCGTCTGCTTGGAGGTGCTCTGGTCCAGCCAGTACCAGCTAATTTTGCTCTGCCTTTCCATCCTGGAGAACATAATGAGCTCTCCTAACCTGTCTGACGCACTTTTTTTGCATGTTGCGCTATAAGCCAAGTCAACCCACTTAGTCAGGTTTTACTACAGTTAGATACAATCCCATCACCACAGCCACCATGCCCTAGAGATGTAAGGAGGCCCACTGTGAAGATCCCCCAAAGGAAGAAAACCTTAAGAATCCTTTTCAGTGATTCTGATGAAGTTATCATCAGAAATGTTTCCTGGAATGAAGGAAGAGATCTGCCAAGTAGAAATCAAACCATGTGGTTATAACTTTCATGGAACAGACACGGCCCCAGTCCTTTTAGTCTCTAAGATTGTCAGTGAAAGGAACAAATACCTCCTCCAGGAAGTGGCTGGCTGCCTGTAGGTGACTGTTTGCTGTGTGGCTCTGTTTTACCTGATGACAGCTGCATGGGCTTATCCTACAGTTTTCCCCAGGCCAGAGCACTCATGAACGAGCCTTCATCAGTGGCTGCACTTGCTTTTTACTTTTTTTCTTTTTGTTCAAAGGCTCAGTGGAAATGTGTATGCAAGTTTTAATTGGCTCTATGAAAAGTGCAAGTTGGCATTGATTGTGGCTAAAGGTAAAACGTATGTGATTTGTTCCTGAGTCAGGAGACATCATTTTAGCAAAAATGGTCTTATGAACATTAAAAAAAAATAATCCTTCTTTCAAGAGCAAATCGTGATGTTATTTTGTAGAGTACCTTGGTTATGGCTAAAAATGAAGGAAAAAGCTGTGTTGGGTGGGTTTTAGCCTGGTTTTCTAAAACAACTGTGGAAATGTAGTTTGGACTTCAATTTTTTTTTTTTTTTACAAACAACAACAAAAATCTCTAAAGAGTAAATATGAAGGAAAGGAACAATTTTTAAAAAATAAGTGACACACTTTATAATTCCCCCTGGTTTCTTTCCAAATAAGTCATAAAAAGCTTGGACCTTCATTATTCTGGGAATCTCCAAATTCTTCCAATGTTGAACTTGTTTAAATGTTATATTATTTTGAAAGGGCACCTTAAAGGGATGCTGTTTTGTTCGTCTCCAAGAGGAAAAACAAACACCTCTGAAAGAAAATAATGCACCTCAGATTTTATTATCTTTAAATTTTACACAGCAATCCCGAGGGAGACAGTGGCAGGTCTGTCAGGGAAATGTTAACGAAGGTCATTGTTAGTCTCTGGAAGAATTTTTCGTCCAATTCATTAGATACTTAGGAGCCCTCTTCTTCTGAGGGCCGTTTCCTGATGGAACCCTGAACACTTTAGCCTGGAGAACGCAAGAGGAGGAAGGAACTTTGCAGCTGCGATTAAGTTACTAACCCAGCATCCCAATCATGGAGGCCTCTGGGGAACACAATGTGTTTTGGGGCCCCATGCTCGGAAGAGTAGGGCCGTTTAAGCTCTTACCCCAGAGCCTCCTGAAGAGTACTTTCAGATGACTCCAGCTTTGTATCTGTTACAGGGAATAAGGGAGTGTCATGCAAAAGCTTTCTCATATGGAAAAGAACTTTGCTCCTTTAAATTGTTCCTTGGGGTTTATATGCTGAAATGCCAGGTGGGAATTGCAGCTACCTGGATGTTTTCACAAAGCACCATTATCCTTTGAAACCAAGTAGCCAAATGAGAGGTGGCCTGGAAAAAGCCACTTTGGAGGTGGGTGAATGGGGCGGCTGACAGCACTATGATTGAAGGGAGTTTTCCACTCACTATGTGAAGCCACTGGAAAAGGCTTCCTCAGAAATGTGGAATACATTGAGAATGCCTTGGGCCTTGATATAGCAGAGATTATTCTCATGCCATTGTACAGACTGCTTCATAATCACCCAACATCCATCCTGGTTTATTTGCCATAGCCACTTGCATTTGGAGGGTGAAGACATCCTTGCTAAGCTTGTGCTGTGTATTTTTCAGATTTTTCTATCTTGTTCTGCTTTCTTTGTTCCTTCCATTGCTTTCTGCAGGTATTTAAACCCATGGTTCAAAAGAGACTATAATGTAGCTAAGTGGGTAGAAGATGTGAATAAAAACACTGAAGGACCATACTTTAGGTATTTTATTAATTAATTTTATATCCTTTTCAAACTCTCCCAGCACATACAAACACTGTAGTGTGACTGGCTCTCTATCTTGTATCTCCTAATACAAGTTCCTGTAGGTGAAAAAGGGTCCCTGTTTATTTGCTGCCTTTGATCTGTTTTGGCTTCCTGAGCAAATCTGATTCTTTTCTGAATGTTTCAAATGAAGCCATTTGAAAGGGTTGCGGGTTTAATGCATGTCCCTGTTACCATGTTGAGCTTCTTAGTAGCTTTCTCTTCATTTATGCTGTGTAGTAGTGTTCTATGGGCATGAAACATACTTTCCACTAATAAAGAAACACTATTAACCTCAGCAATCTAATTACTGGTTTCATAATGCATTTTTCCTACTTCCTGTTGAAGAGTGCATAGTGCATAGAAAACTCCAGGGAAAACATGAAAGGAAACCAGATGAAATGTACTGGAACTATACTTTCCGTAGAAACATTGATTTGACGTAACTGGAAAATTATTGATATATTAATTAACAATAATTGATTATGCAAGAATGTGGAATGATTTAGGTTTTGTTCATACAACCATTTGCTATCACAAATGAGCTGTGCTGAGGTGATTTATAGATTCAACACAAAGCATGGAAGGATTTTTATGTTAATTGAATGCTGTCTAATATGTCAGAATGAGAAGTCGATAGGAACATGCTATTGAGTCACGAAAGAGAAGAACATCTCTACATGTTAGAAACGATCCAATTGACTGTAGCTCCATATGGCATTCACTGTTAGAATTTTCAAGAGCTCTTATTAGTAATTTTTTCATTCTTCATAAAGTCAAAGTGGTTACCAGTAGTAAATATCCACTTTGTATCTGACTACTTTGTGGACAATTAATTAAAAAAAATACAGACTCGGTTACTACTTCTGAATATAACCTAACAATGAGCTTTTATCTTACTTTTTGCTACAACTTGGGTCAGCTTGAACAGATATGATTATGCATATTTAACTCTCAGCACCCAAATAAAGTGGACTTTCTCTTCCAGTGTACCATTTAGTTTAGTCATGTATAGTGTGAGAAAATGATTAGACCTATCTGCATTTTAATTTGATCCATAACATTTGCATATACCTCAAGGAAAGCATAACTCCTGCCTGCTCAAAAAATATATATCCTGCTTTATACCCCATCTTTCCCTCCTGCCCTGTCCTTTGCTGGTCCCACAAGTTCCCACACGGATCCTCATATGCATACACTCACATTCAAACACCTCACCCTCACCTGTAGCTCCCAAGATGGCCAACGTCAGGAAGCCAGGTAAGATGATTTTGAATCTTATTGGGAATTTTGGATCATCTGCAGTACTATTTTTTTTTCTTTCTATTTACTCAGGCTTGTGGGCAGATTATAGTTTGTACCAGCCATGGAACCAAAACCAGAATAATTTTGGTCCTATATGGGTTAGGACTTTTATTCCTAAATGTACTTAGCATATTTTTACAGCAATAATTGATTAAATGGTACCCTGGAAGAGTTGATTCACCTCCCCTGGGTGAGCTGAGTAGTTTGTGTGGCTCCTCAAGAAGAGCTCACATTTGTTAAAATTAGCACCCAGGTCTGCCCAGAAGCTGCATGACTATAAACGCAATTTGGATGGGGAAATGCTTTAACACCCCTGGTTGCACGTTGCACAGCCACGAGGGCAACTTTAGAGGGTTTAGTTATCGCCTTCTCTAATATGAGATGTTAGTTCTGACTGGAGATAGTCCACATTTTTTTAAATTAAAGTCTAAAGTTTGGTGGACAGTTAATATTTTACTGTCATCTTTCAAATTAATAAAGATTATGCTGGTAAATCTTGTAAAAATCAACACAGACTTTTCATGGCAGTGGTCAATAATTGAGATGACCCAGAGCTTTTATGATCCTGACATGATAGAGAATTCATCCACTTGCTATCCAAGTCTAGCTTCACAGAGACCTAGAATGCAACCACCCTTTGACTTAGTCTTTCCAACCCTATGCATAAGCTCAGCTGTGCTTCATATGCTGCCAGGTCATTAGAATGACCTCACCTGCCAAAGTCACCAACCACTAAAACCACCTTAGTCACACAGGTTAGATTTGTGGCATTCTTATCATAATCCCATGGCAAATTTGTGACTGTCGTAAATTGGTCTGTAAAACAGCTTAGCATTATGAAACATAATGTTCCTAAAATACAATTAAGAACAAGGCCAACAGGTTTGATTATCAGTGCCTTTGGCTCCCCTTCTTTACCTAGTTTAGATGTGACAGTGGCTGTGCAAGTTACCCTCAACATGTTCCCAGGCTCCAAGGAAGGAGTATTATCAGACAAGAGCATTGTTTCACCATCGCCAAAGTCCTCAGAGCAGTTCAGTTGGTGGCAGGGCCACTCAAGCTCTCTCGAGGTATTGCTACTCCTGAGTATTTTCCAATCCTCTTCACTTGCTTAGTGCTCTCTGAGTCCATTTCTATGATCTTATAGAAAATACATTTATTCTGAAATAAATTCCTAACAGGAACTATCATGTAATGTGTCCACTGGATACTGTTCTTTTACATCATAAGATGTAAGCATCCTTATTCTATTTCTGTGGATAGAAGAAATAGAGGCACACAGCTAATATAGTATAGCTAATAAGTATAAGAAAGAGAATTAGAACCTGGACCTCGCTGGATAGGTCTTCCTATAAAATTCACTTATGGCCACAAGTGAATGAGGAGTGGATTTGTGTCCCTCTCAGGGAACTGGCCTGGTGTTAGTTGACCTGTGTGGCAGAACTAAGTTGACCTTACAAAAAGAAAAAGTGTGTGATGTACTCAAAGTGTGCCACCATCCTTTGGCACACAAACACTTTTATTGTGTGATTGTGCTGTTTTGTACCCTCTCCAGTTATTATAGTTTTTAATGCAGTAATGACAATGGCTAACATTTATCCAAAGATCACTTTGCTTTGTAAGTGGATGAGCTGAGCTGAGGCCATTTTAAAATAAAAGCTGGACTGGAACTGAATGTCTTTCTTAGACATTTGTGACAAATCTCAACTCATTTACCCTGCCTTGCTCTCTATTCTTATTTGACTCCTACTCTGGTCTTCTCTAGCCTTTTATCAGGATCTCTTTGTCCCCCTTTCCAACAAAATGTTCTGCTTGGCTTCTCTTCTCACCTCAAGATCTAAAGTGTGATTAATTAATGTGTTAATGTGAGAAGCAGTGTGGTATGATTTATTTGGGATTTTGAAGGATATTGCTAATTGTTTCCACCCATTGTTGGTTCTCCCCAAAGAAAAATACTTGAGGAGAAGAAGGGACTTCCAGTATCCTTCATTGGAATATTTTGTGTATATAAATTTCCAGTCATCTGGACTGATACCCAACTTAAGAACTCTAGAGGTTTTGAATTACTAATATTCTTTGTGATGTCCATCCACCCAGCAATGGAACTCCTAGGCATGAGAGCTGTCTGACAGCTCTAGCTGTTTGTGCTAGCACTTTGTTCTAGGGAGTGGTTCTAGCCACTTTTCAGAAATAGAAGTGCTAAGAGTCCTAAAAGCAAATAGAACCACTTTGCTGCCTAATATCAGTTTAGGAATGTTCTCTTGGATCTCAAAATTGTGAGGAAACTCACAATTTTAAACTTAAGCTTGATTTTCAAACTCAAGCTTGAATCAGTGTCTGTAAAATGGACATGAGTTTGAAAACAGTGATAGAAGCAGAGCCAAGGGCATTATAGGAAGGAGGACCCAGTGCAGCAGAGGCAGAGACACCTGACCCTATCTGATGCTACTCCACCACCTGCACTCCCAGACTGAACCGGTCACAGCAGATGAGGTGCATTCAACTGCAATACACGTGTATCATAGCATGTGTGACAGCATAACCAGTTCAGTAATGTGGGTCATGACAGAATTCAGGAGTCATGGATGTCTAGTGGTGGCATTTGTGAAGGGAACAGATAACCACTACACTTACCATGTTGCTTTCCCATGGATTTCAGTAGATATCCCCCACCCCCCCCACCTCTTCAAAACAAGTTAGCAGCAGGATTGGGTTCTTCTAACATGCCCAGCATAATCATGAATATTACCACTGCACGCAAAGAACCAAAGCAGCTCAATATAACACACCATTGCTTCCCCAGCAATGCTGATCGTAGGGATGAATCAGACCATTTTTGTATGTTCTCATCAGACTTTGTTTGGCTGGAACTCTGCACTCCTTACTGCTTGCATGTTTACTAATTTATTATCAAAACCTCTGTATTTGCCTTTGTTCCTTCACAACTAACACACTGGCCTCTGAATGCATGAGTTTTATGTAAATTAGTGTCTGTAGCAACTAATATATATATATGTATATATATATCAGTGGTAATGTACTTTAAGATTTTAAGTATAATAATTGTGCTTAGAAACATTTTTATCAAGTGGTAAAAGTACAGCAGACTATTAATATAATGTGTACTTTATCATTATGAGCTCTTAGAATAATTTTTATCCCTTATTCATATTAGCTTTTCATCTATTCAATAGGGAAATTCATTATCGTCTTTCTAGTTGAAAGGTATGGTTCTCTGTCCTAGCACTTAGGAAGTCTACGCAGTCACAGAATTAGTATGCTAAAACTCAGCAGTGCAGTTCTAGGAATGACAGAGCAATCTTCCTAGTAGCTAAAACTTTCTACTAGATGCTTATCAAAGTAGAAGTCAGAAGGTTTGTTCTGAACAAACATTTCAGATATTTGAATCTGAAATTAGGCAATCACATGATACTTATTTTGTATGTTCTCAACATCTCAGGACTTTATCTCCTGCCAAGTCTCCTTCTTCATCAACTGGGTCTATTGCCTCCAGCAGAAAATACCCTTACCCAATGCCTCCACTTCCCGATGAGGAGAAGAAAGTGAACCGACAAAGTGCCAGGGTATGTGATAGCTTCTTCCCTCTGCTTACCCACGTGGCTATTACCATTTATCTCTAAGTTCACATTCTAAAAGAAAATCTTTTTTTACCTTCTTTATTCATAAGAAAGTGAGAAAAATTAAATTGGAAAATTAGAAGGTCCTTGGGTTTTCCAGTTCAGTTTTACACCTACCAATCAATTTGTATTGATAGATTCTAGAGATCTTTGGTATATACTAACGTCATTACTATACATGTATATCTTTCATTACTCATTGTAGTCAAATACATTAAGATCTGGAATAGATAAACATCAAGGATATCTTTTACTTTACCAGTTTTCTAATTCCAGAACAAAGTAATTTAGCCTCCTTTCCATGCCTGGATTGTGAGCTCAACTTAGGCATTTCACCAGCTAATAACTCAATATCATTTTAGAAATAGGAACTGGTGTCAGAAAACCAGTTCAATGCCTTGACAGAATTGAGAAATGGAAACAAGGAAAAAGGAGATAAGAAAAAATGTAATTTTAAAAATTAATATTACAAATGATATGAGAAAATAGCAGTTTTTGTGTTTAAAAACTTCCTTCCTTTTTCCTCCCTCCCTTCCTCTCTACCTACCTACCTTCCTTCCTTCCTTCCTTTTTTCCTTCTTTTCTTTCCTTCTCTCATTTCCCTTCTCTTCTCTTCCCTCCTCTCCTGTCCCCTCCTCTTCTTTTCTCTTCTCTTTTTCATGAGAAAAAAAGCTAACAGTGAAACGTTTATTTTATCCATTTATTGACTTTGCTAGGTTGTGCAGCTATAATCACATGTGTGTCAACGGAGTTACCAACTCATTCATCTTCATAATGCTGGCTTCTTTGTGTTTTCCCAATGTTCAATTTTGCTTTCCTCTATTGTGCAGCTATGGGAGACATCCATTTAAGATCAACTGTTTACATGAGACACATCAAAACTGTTTACTTCAACTTTTGTAGAAATCCAGCCTCCCAGAATCACTGCAAATCTGTCTGCTCTTCAGTCATCACAAGACCCTCTGAGATGCCTAGAGGAGAGAAAGCCACATCTCACACACGGATACCATTTTCTTTTTGTCATTGGCTTAAGATTCAACCAAACCATGAAAAGAACACTGAAATGTCACACTAAAACACAGAACAATAAAGGTACTGGTATGCTAATGGAAAAACCTGCATGACAGATATATGTAGAAATATCAATAAACTCACATGACCCAAAATGTAGCAAGTTTCCCAAGGGACAGTAGTGGATTCAGAACCTGACATTCTGAAGCCCATGCTCATTGTAAACAGTAATGCTGTATGCATGAACCCTCTGTTTATTGTTCTCCATATTTAAGGAAACAACATCCCATAATAGAAACTAGCATGCAGGGCTAAGGCATATAGAATTATTCTGCAGGACTTTAAAGCTTTGAGAGGCCAATATCCCATGCGAACTTTAAACATGTATTTTTATTTTACTTTTTTTTTACTTTTCATACTTATATCAACATACAAGGACAATTGTACATATGTAAACATTTTTAAAATTTTAAAAAAGCAGCTGTTACACACAAGTGTATTTTGCCAAATGCCTGAAAGCAGTGAATCACAGTACATCAACGTCCTCCATCAATGGTCTTCAAAGAGTATAAGCAAATGGTGTTGTAAATATAGTGGTCAATCCTGTAAATGTGTCTTTCCATAACTGATATATGTCTAAAATGTGATAGCCCTTTAAAATGTGTACCGTCTGGAGGCAATTTCATCGAGTGATTGAGTAGGAGAAGGAAATGTCCAGCAAAACTTCTTCCCTGCATAGCTTCTGGAGTGTAATACAGCTGTCAGACTACCTGAAACAGCCTTTCACTGATGGATTCCTTAGGAATCAGCCAGTGTGTCCACCTCTCACCCAAGGGCACATAGTGCCTGCTACAGTGACTGTTTGGTACCAGAGTGCATCAGCTAGTCTCACTGGGAGGCCTCCATAGTGTGTCCTGCCGAGACAGAGCCAGATGCACCAGGCAGAGACCACAAGCTGCCTTTGAATTGGTAGCTTGCATCTAGCCAATACTCCCATCTTTTGAGACCAGAAGTTTTTATTCCTGGACAGATTTTTTCAGCCACCCCTTTTTGCCAAAGGAATGGCTTATTTTAACAAAAACACCTTTCACACTGCTTATTTAAGGTATTTGTTACTACTGGGATGTGAATTATAGCCTTGACTTTGAAGTGAGATGATGAATAGTTCTCCTATTTGAGCTGGAAAGCCTCAACGAAATCTAAAGCCATAAGGATGTAGTAATGGTGAAGTTACACACACCTGGAAGTGAAAAGAATCTGGTGGTGTCAGCCCTATAAAAATCAGAAAAATAAGAATACATTTAAACCCCTTCTTTAGAACAAGAGCTTAATAGTTGTAATACAGCTCTAGTGAGGTCTGAATTTGATCAACCACATGGTCTACTGCAATGTGTACTTCTGAGTTCACTCCCCCCCGCCACACACACAAACCCTGTATTTTTTCTTGAGAGGAATGGAATCAGCAGACAAGATTTCAGAAATGTCGTCTAAATTTGAGTTCTTCCTGTAATGTCCATGGGAAAGTCTACTTCATCTTCATGTATAATGATCCTTTGAAGCCCACATTGAAGGACCAGTTTCAAGGCAATGTTTTCCGCTTTGTGCTCCTGTCTTCTATACTGGACCTCTCTTCTGAATGTTTGAAAGGCAATTTAACTATCTAAAATCATACGGCATAAACAGTATTTTTGACAGGAAAAGGATGATAAGAAATGATGTGGCTGTAGATACCTCAATAAAACTATCCGTCAGACCAAGGTTTAGGTGACTGTTGGCCAGTGGTGTGTGTAAGCTCAGGCCAAGTACAGAAGGAGAGACAGATGAAGAGGTGAAGCACGGAAAGGAACTTTTGACAAAAGACCACTTTAAATGTGCACCAAATGTTTTCTGGCATCGAGTGTATAAAAAGCTATGTTATAGGGTTTATTTTGACTATAAAAGAGATTTGAATATAGATTTGAATATTTGAATATAGATTTGAATGTAAGGTGCCTCATGTAAATATGCTTCCTAGTTACAGTTATACAAGCACTAATTTGCAAGAATACACAAATGGCTTAATTGACTGATTATTTAATCTACCCATCAATGCATCCATCTATTCATTCTTAACATCTCAATTTTTAACCGAAATTATTTCAAATGGAAAATCATTATCATGTGCCTTTTGGGAGATAAGGTCACCATAGTGCTGTACAGTTTGTAATAATCCTCCTTCCTAATAATCTTCATAAGAACAGAAATAAAAGAGGTTTTATTTAATTCGCAGAGATCAGGATTTTAGGAATATAATAGCTTTAATGTTCTATTACAAGTACATACTCTATTTCCTATGTTTAAACATTCTTGGAACTATTTTGGGACTTCTTTGACAAGTTTTTGTCTTGATGAATAGTTTTAAGAAATATCTATGTGTGTATTTATGATTGGCATACTTGAGTATTACATCTATATTTGCTTTTAATCACTGAGGTAGATAGAATGGACCCTTGGCACCAAATAAAAGCACAGCGATTAATTCTTACATATCTATTTCAAAGAGAATCTTTGGGGACACATAGTTTGTATCATGTAACTAATATTTATATTCCCCTGTCCACTATGGATAGCTAATAAGCAGAGAAGAGCAGTTATTTGCCCTTTATGTTCCATTGTATGCTTTTCCCCCATGTTTTCTTTTTTCTTAAGTTATGGAGATAGAGAAGAGCTCAGATTGACAACTCTTCTGCTGGAAGTGTTCCATTTACCAATGTCAGTAGAGTTGGAACTGCACGAAGGAACATTTCTGTCTCTAACAAAATGTTACCAGGGGAGTTGTGGGATATCAGGGGACATTAAGGAATGGGATATCCAGACACTGTTCTCTGTACCCAGCCACTTTCTTTAGATGGGAAGTAAAGTCAGCTAGCTAAAAAATGGTCCTACTCATAGGCAGTTTGTGGATGGGAGTAAATGCATACTTCTTCAAACAGCTCAGCACAGTGAGGTTTCTAAATTAGCTGCAGCTGCTATATTAGTAAAGAAACCTAGCACCTCTAGTAGGAATAACCTAAAGAAAATATTGTTCCCTAAAGAAAATATTGACAGTACATACAGCAAAAGTAGGGTTAAAAATGGCATACTTCTCAGTTTAAAGTTGGTGCTTTACTAAGAATCACTGCAGTTTCTCTTTCCCTTTTGCTTTTTAAGGTTTTTAAAATTGTACTTGTAAATGTGGTCAGTCCAGCATAGGATTCTGAATGTACGTTTAATCAGGTTTCTAATAGAAGCTGCTTTGAAGATAAAATTAATATCCTTTGTACTTCTAGAGAAAGACTGTCTGAATTCCAGGCCAGTCTGACATTCTACATTCTTGTCTATTGATCCTATTGCCTATTTGCATAATTCCATCCTGTCCATAGTCCTAGATCTTGTGACTCCTTTGTTACCCCTTAAGCAAGCTTTGTTCTTGTGAGTCATCTTTGAAGCAGAGGAGGTATGTGATTTCCACTCACTTCTTTGAGTCTTTCAAAATTGTTTGTTCATTTACTTGTTTTACCCTTCCATTTCCTTCTGTCATGTAGTTCTAACTTAGCCTCACATACACACAACATTGTAAATATTTTCTTATGTTATTCAACATAATAAGTTCTTATCTTGCTCAAAGGAAAGATATTAGGTACTTCACAAAAATAAAGTTTGGAATTAAGAGAACTAAAGAGAAAGAAGCAGCTGCCCACACAGCCTGCTTGGGATGCCGTTACAGGCTGCCACTCATGCCCAGCAAGGGCCTATGTAAATAGCATGCTACTAGTTGGTGAGTTGGCATGGATATCCCACGACTCTCATTTCCAGCATATCTTCTACTTTTTATGCTCCTAATTATATACTTCCCCTTTGCTTTTGCCTTCTTCTAGAATTTTTACCAAAATTATTTTCCCCCATAAATGTAAGCCCTCAAAATGAATGTCATGTTTTTGCTCTATAGGATACCATTGATAAAAAGCTGACATTTCCATGAAATGAGGCTTAAAATAGGGTTCAAATATTTATTCCCCTCATCTGAGATATTTACTTTTAAGTGATTCAGACTAGAAGGCTACTCTGATTTTGGATAAGCATCTTGTCACCTGGCACCAGGGAACAAGGGATTTTGATGAACAACTCCCCCTATATGCTGTACTGAAGCACCCAGTCTACCATTTTGAAAGTGACTGTGGCAGCCTTTTCTGCCTCCCACAGTTCTGGTTGTATGAGCAGCCTGCTGCTCAGGTGGATCTGGTAGGAAGTGTTGGCACATGCTTCTACCATATGCTTTGGGGGCACTTTCAGTTCCAAGACTATTCCTACCACATCTGCAGATGCAGAGCAAACACGCACTCTCTTCCTATTTGATTCATTGTTTTGTCAGTTCCAAACATGGAGCATCTTCATTTTGTAAGCAGAAAAGCAAAATAAACCACCAAAACCAAAAAAAAAAAAAACAGGTTGCATAATTAGTTATGCCTTTTATATCATGTTAACTCTATAAATACTTCATGGTTGAGTGGTTATGTCCCTGTTGTGTTGTTCATAGATCCTGCAACATGCTGGGAAAATGCTTCAGGGGTGGCAGGACTTTGGTGAGGGGCATTGTCATTTTGTGTCCCTAAGTATCCTTGGAATAAATCCAGAAAAATTTTGTTATATTGTTTTATTTCACAAAGAAGTCAAAGAATGAGACTAATCAATTTTGTTAAGATTATGTATATACAAAACCGTCATAGCTTTAGAGTTTATGAAGGTTAGTTTTCCTCATATAGTCACACATACATCTTTACGCATATACATATGGATATATGTGTATAGGTAGATATATGCATATGAATATATGGGTATAAATATGCATGTGTGTTTATATATGGATATACCTTAGGGCCTAGGCTTTGCTTTAGTGAGTTTCAGATGGTGATTTGTGTTTTTGATGGTTAAACTCTAATATACTTCAAATAGCCCAAATCTTTAAATATAGCGGTGCTAAATTTTATCAGATAACACAATACAGAAAGTGCTGAACTATTACATTTAGTAATAACACCAGAGTTCCTGCTACATGATACATGTATATCACTGCCTGATTAGAAACCCCACTTTTCTTTTATAATCCAGCACAAAATCAAACTGTGATTCTGCAACCAGTCTTTTTAATGGGAAAAAAAATTGACACAATACTTTTGTTTTGTATGGGAAAATTTTTTTTTACACGAACTGCAAAAGTGCTTAGCAAAAGGCTCAAAAGGTACTAAGCATGCACTTTTTTTTTAACTTGTTGGAAAATTTGCCCCTTTAAAATAGCATCTCCAAGAGACAACTTTCAGAAAATGGGGATTCTACCACATCAAAGCAATTTTTGTTAGCCAGTGTAGGTCTGCCCTAGTGTTTCCCTTATCCATCCTTTCAAAGGATGATTTCCATCTGCAGCTGATGCAAGTTTCCCCAGATGAAGTGTTAATAGCAGCATGGTTTCACTTTGGCAACCAGGTATTCATGTGTATATAGATTCACACCATTTTAACATTCTGCTTCTCTGCATTTCAGATTCTTATGCTACTTTAAATATTACTGGGTTTTGGCAAACATCAATGGATATGTATATGGTGACTGCTTTCCTGAGCAAGCGTGATTTGTTTTATGGCTGTTCAAGTTGTAAAGTTGTTCTCATATTGTAGGTACACAAAATTTTGTTTTTAAAGGTCACTGTAACTTACAGATCAAATTTCTGGCACAATTTTATTAGTGTTCACTTCTGAAGCTAATAAGATCCAGTTTTCTATGTTACTCTCATTGTAACATCAATAAAGTGACTTTCAATAAAAGATTCATGTTATTTTGATGCATGACTCCCTTTAATCTTTGTTTTTTTAGCCTCCTGACCAGTTTCTCTTTCAGAAGCTGTGCAGGTACTATTACAGAGTTGTTTCTTTTCTGTTCCACACTGTGCCAGATGAGACCATGACTGTGGATATGTAAAACAAAGCCTGTGTGCTCAATTTCGTGGGTAGTTTCCTCAGCAAGGTGATATGACGTTTCCTCTACTCATTCACCTGCCTTGCCTAAGTTCTTCTCTGTTCGAATGAGGATTTACCTCTTGGATGCTGTCCTGTAGCCCAGGCACTGGTATTTACTAAGCTTACCTGTGTAGCTTTCTAAAACACCGATTGATTTCAGATGGGTTCAGTTTAAGTTCATAAGTTCATTGCCTAAAAATAATCCAACCTTGGCCTTTTCATCCGAGGCAGCCATTCTAACCAGTCTTTACAGGCATTTCATTTCCTCAGTTTCAGTTCATAGTCTGTAGAGGAAAACTGTATCTAAGGTACTGTTACAATATGAGACTAATGAAGAAAGTCATTGACAAAGGGCTTGCACATTTGTTGTAAGGTTTAAAGAAAGCATAGTGCTTATACACAGCTCCACTTCTTACAGTACTTTAGGCATATGATTCATTTAAATGAACATATAACTCACATAAAGGAACTGTAATGTTTTCAGCTAAGAAAGCAAACTCTACTCAGAGATCACAGAAAGTTTACTTCATGTGCCATCTCTGGGCCTGATGGTACTACCAGGAATATCCTCTGGAGTTCAGATTCTTAACTTGGCTTCACAGGAGTGAGAACTTTAGTCTGCTGTAGTAAAAAATCTATGCCAGTGTCCCCAGGAAACACCAGGCCACTGGAAGCCATATTCCTATAAAAGCATGTGAAATGTGCTATAGGTCCTTTACAAATCAATCACTTCAAGTGTAAGAATTAAAGCACACATCTCCAAATGAAATACAATCCCAAGTGGTTTGGGAATATAACTATACTAGTAACTGACATATTCATGTAAAAGCTCACAGCTTCACCATGCCCTAAATATATGCTTTAATAAGGAACAAACCAAGAAGCCGTTTCAAGAAGATGAGGCTGCACTAGAGGTATACAAATAAACATCTTATGTGAAACACACAGAACCAAGGTAAAACACAAATAAGGAATAGAGGTACTTCCTTGTAATCAAATTCAACAAGAAGAAATGGAACCTTCTAACTACAGGAACCTATTCAAGACTGTCCTCTAGGCCATGATTTTAGGAAGAAATGAAAAAAAAAAAGCAGAGCAGATAGCAGAACTGAAGTATCAACACTTAAAACTCAATTAATTGAATGATATTAAAATATGGTTTAAAATTATGTAGTACTTAACTAAAAGCAAATTTGATTTTTTTTCTTTTATGACAATGGCTTGTAATATAGCCCAGGCTGGCTTCAAATCTCAATCCTCCTACCCCGGCCTCAACTACTAGCATTATACAGGCACGCACCAACATACCCATTCCCAAAGCAAATTCAGAACCATGTTTGAATATAGCACATATCGGAATTCCAAGTGATAAGGTGGTTTAGCTATAGCCTTGTGTATTGCCATTTACAACTCTCTAGGAAAGAACCTTCTCTATTAGGAAAGAACCTTCTCTATTAAACTATGATACTTCAGAGAATCCTAATGAGTGAAACCAAACAGCAGATAGAAAGAACTCCTGTTTTCTGGACCTCTGAACACCCCTTGGCTCCTTTTCTGTGCAGTCCAGAACCAAACACAAATCTGTGGCTACCCAGAAAATATATCTGGGATGAAACCAGACTTGCCAAGTAAGACACAGTAGGACCTGGAACCTGGATATAACTACTTGGCATAAATACATAATTTTATGTTAGGATTAAATAAATATGAAATGAATATATAAATTACAATACTATTTGAAAATATAGTAGGGAAATGAGATTAAAAGTGTTGAGGAAAATTTTCTTTTCATTAACAACTAATTGTTCACTTGAATCTATTACACTGTGCCTAATATAAGACAGACACACTGCTGGCAAGGAGAAAAAAAAATCAATGAATGTCATTTTTTTATTCTGTTAAACTCTCTTATAACAAAAACAAACAAATAAACAAGGCCAGCTTTAGATGTAAGGAACAGAAATGTTGTTGGTGCCTATTATACTAATACAGATATTTAGAACCATTCCAATCGGTAGCTTCCAAGTTTCCTTCTTTTCAAAGACGGGTGAACTTAGTTTTGTGGGTTTTTTTTTATAACTTTATTTTATTTTATTGAAAGGGTGATTTAAAAAACACCAAACTTTATAAAATAACCATTCACACAGTAAAGAAGCACAGCCAGCATAGAATCTGTATCTTGACAGCCTTTGGTTTAATTTTTGTTTAATTCTACTTATTAGAGACTATTTGGAAAAACAATAATAGAAAGTAAGAAAATGGACCAATGTCCCCAATTCTCGGGGATCACAAAATCCACATTTGGGACATGTATTCCAGTCCTTCTGCTGCACTTAAAAGCATGAACATGTTCATCCATTTCAAAATGGATGCATCAGTATTTTTAAATGACACACATCTTCTGACTTTAAAATGGAAGCATACATAGTATAGAAATTAGTGTACATGAAATCTTGCTAGTCAAAAATAACCAGTTAAGAATGGACACTTCCATGTATGCCTGTAATCCTAGCTACTCAGGAGGCTGATATCGGAGGATTGTGGCTCCACACCAATGGGGCAGGAAAGTCCATGAGACTCTTATTTCCACTTAACCAGCAAAAATGGGAAGAGGAGCTGGGGCTCAAGTGGTAGAGTGCCAGCTTGGAACAAAAGTAAAGCTTAGGTACAGTGCCCAGGTCCTGACTTCAGGCCTCAGAACCAACACAGACACACATGAACAAATAAACAAACAAACAAAAACAAACCAGTTTCCTTATTCTCAGAGCTTCCAACTTGGACAGAAATCTATACCAGTGCTTTTCTGGCTCCCAGGTCTTCCTACTATACCACCAGGGGTTCCTAGGTTTGCAACTGTAGGTGTTGACTCATGAGACTGCTAAGCCTTCATAATTGTGAGGGCTAGTTCCTTATAATAAATCTCTTCATGTGTAAAAGAAACAAAAACAAAACACACACACACACAAAAAAAACAGTTAATATTTTCAGATGTCCTCTTAGTGTTTTTCTAATTTACAAGACTTGGAAACAAAAGTTTAAATGAATGAGAACAAAGAAGGGCTTAGTGATATAATTTGCTATGCTAATTACCAATAGCTTTTGAACAGGTAGAAAATAAATCTGTTTCGACATTCTCGGTTCATTCATAAGGCTATCAAAAGATGCCTTTTTTTTTTTTAACCTCAATTCACTATGTACCCCATACAGATCTTGGAACTCATAATCCTCTTGTCTTATAACCCAACTGGTGGGATTACAGGCATGAACCATTGTATGTGGCCACATGTAAGGTTACATCTATGTAAGTGTAAATTTAGTCTGTGCTCAATTTCTACTAAATTTCTACCCCGATTATGTTTGGTTTGCTTGCTTTTTGCATCCCAGTGAAACAATTATAAGATACCCACACATAAAACTTGCATTCATAATATTCTAGAAGAGGAAAGGTAACAGTTCAGTCTAATTAAAAGGTTTATATATCTCACAATGAAAAATATGTAATATGGGTTAAACATTTTACAAAGTTAAGTTTATATAAAAGAGACTGAAGCAGGAATATAAGGCATAGTTGATAATAGTTTCAGGAAGTTCCACTTAGTTTAACAGACTTAATCTTATAATCTTAAACCTTGCAGAGAATTTATTATGAAAACTAAAACCAAAGCTTCAATTGTGCATAATGTAATACATCATTACAAAAGCTGTCAGGGGAAAGTGGCAATGTAAGAAGGCAGAGTAAGCAAAGGCAAGCTGGAATGTTGATTTCATTCCTCTGACGTCCTTCTGGCTTCCTCCTGACTTAGACCGTCATGACGCACTGAATGAACTGAAAACAGAGAAGTCATTGTTACCTATAGATCTCAGAACACTTAGCCTACCATGGCCTATAGCTTATATCTGGTTCTCTAACTTGGCATGGTGGATTAACCCCCCCTCTGTCCCTGCAACAGATATCTAAGATATCAGTAGAAAGGTTCATTTGATGAAGAAAATTCTAATAAAAAATGGATTTCTCACATTTTTGTTGTTGCTTGGGGTTTTGGTGCTGGTATTGGGGATTAAACTCAAGACCTAATGCTCCCACTTGGCTTTTTTGCTCAAGGCTAGTGTTGTTCTACCATTTGAGCCACAGTTCCACTTCTGGCTTTTTGCTGATTAATTGGAGGTAAAGTCTCATGGAGGTAATCGTCTCTCTGGCTAGCTTTGAACCTCTATCCCTGATTTCACTCTCCTGAGTACCTAGGAATACAGGCATGAACCACCAGTACTTGGCCAGTTTCTCACTTTTTGAAGAGATATTACTTTAATGAACAATTACTTCAATCTCCAATTTTAAGTCTAGAAATGGTCATGGTCAAAGGTCTTTCCCCTCAAATAACTGGTTAATGGACTGCCAAGCTGCACAGTTTTAACTCAGTACTCTAATGAAATACATTTAAATATCTCTCCAGTCTTTTAAAATCTGCTTTATTAAAGTAAAACCTAATATGTGAATATGCATATAAACAGTTGACCATTCTCCATCAATTCAGAAACCTGAGTTAGGGAGTATCAATATTTTCTATAAATGTTCCTCTCACTAGTGGCTCATGCCTCTAATCCCAGCTACTCAGGATGCTGAGATCTGAGAATCATGGTTCAAAGCCAGGCTGGACAGGAAAGTCCATGAGACTCTTATCTCCAATAAACTGCCAAAGTAAATAAATAAATAAATAAATAAGCTTGGAGTGGAGCTATGGTTCAAGTGGCAATGCTAGCTTTGAGTAAAAGAAGCTCAGGGACAGCACTTAGGCCCTGAGTTCAAGCTCCAGGACCAGTGCAAAAAAGTTCCTTTCCTCCCTGAACACATAGAAAAAGATCTTTGCATCCTATCAATTTTCCTTTGTATTCTCTAATACCAATAAGGCATTTGCACTGCTAATCCTTCCCGTAATTCCCTAGCTCAAGATGATTAGCCGATTATCTGTTTTGTAGAGAAAAGGAAACTAAAGTTCAGGAAATTTAGAAATCTCTTAATTTGCCCTTCTGAGGATGAAAACCAGCCTTTGTCCTCAGCAAATAAGTCACTTTAATTTGTGATTGGCTGGTGGCTGCTTTATGTTCTCAATGAACATAGGTATGGAAAGTATAGTTTTGAGATGTTAAATATATTTCTCAATGATGAAGATGGGGTTTATTTAGAGAAAGCAGAAGCAGACACAATATCAACATGACCCACAGGGAACTTTCCTGAACTGTTCCAACAGCCCAGTGAAAGAGGCATTATGATAACAACATCCTCTTTATTCAATCAGATGCAGAGCCCTCACAGAACCTGCTTAAGATGGAGCTAAGCTGGGTGCCAGTGGCTCACACCTATAATCCTAGCTACTCAGGAGGCTGAGATCTGAGGATTGCGGTTCAAAGCCAGTCCTGGCAGCAAAGTCCATGAGACTCTTATCTCCAATAAACCACTAGAAAACCGGAAGTGGCGCTGTAGCTCAAGCAGTAAAGACTCGCCTTGAGCTGAAGAGTGCAGGGACAGTGCCCAGGCCCAGAGTTTCAAGACCCACAACCGACAAAAAAAAAAAAAAAAAAGATACAGCTAAAATGGAGGAGACAACAATGCTCAATAGGAAATGTACTCATTACCTTACTTAGGTAACTGTAACCCCTCTATACAGCTTTTTTACAATAAAAAAGTACAAAAAAAACCCCATTGGTCTAATAGTAAATAAAGTTAATAAATTTGGATGGTAACTGTTGGTCATTTAATCCATGACTTCTCTTTAAAATCTTTTGGATCTTCTTAACAGTACACTCCAAGGGGATACCCAGATGGTGTATTTCATATCCTCTATTTAGCTCTTAATTAACTGAGACTTACATCATCATATGAGAAATTCACAACACCTTGTTGACCAGTATCCCGTCGTCGAAAACTATCTGCAAAACAACAATAAAATGTTCTTTTCTGTGAAGAACTTTTATAAAATTATTATTGAGTTCAAACATTAATGCATTTAAATGATACAATCAGTCAACATAAGAGACCAAAGCAAATAGATAACTATGAGTAAAATTATACAACCAGTCAACATAAGAGACCAAAACAAACAGATAAGTATGTGTATGTAGGAGGGCTGCGAATGTGGCTTAGTGCTAGAGGGCTTGCCTAGCATGCATGAAGCCCTGGGTTTGATTCCTCAGTATCACACAAACAGCAAAAGCCAGAAGTGGCTCTGTTGCTCAAGTGATAGAATGCTAGCCTTGAGCAAGAGACGCTCAGGGATAGTGCCCAAGCCCTGAGTTCAAGCTCCAAGACTGGCAAAAAATAAATAAATAAATAAATAAAAATACATGAATAAATAAATAAGTAAAAAGATTTGCTTTATTTTTTCTCTTTCCTCCTCTTTTCCAGCTTTTCACATTTTAAAGAGTAATCACTCAAAGTCCTACTCTGCTCAAAAAAAGCACAAGTTAATTTTAATGTTTTTGTTTCTTTCATGCATGTGTTTCTAACGCATTTATAATATTATCTCTTTGTTGCTTTGTATGTCCCTCCCCCACAGTGTAACCCCCGCTTTCACTATATTTGATGTCAGTATAACATGTGGAGGAGATGGGGACAAACAAGTCGTTTAAGGATTCAGGTGGACCTGTTGCAACAATGAGAAGTACAAAATGTCATGTCAAAACCAGCTTTACAATGTCGGGGGGGGGGGGGGAGGGGGGGTATGATTGGGTGGGAGGGAGGGGGGAGGCTGGGAAGGGAGGTGAAGGGTAAACAAAGGAGGAGGCTGCAATGCTTGGTAAGAAATGTATGCATTATCCTGCCCATGTAATTGTAACCCCTCTGTACAGTATGTTCTCAAATAAAATAAAATTAAATTAAAAAAAAAAAAAAAAAAAAAAAAAAAAAAGCACAAGTTAGGACTGGAAGTACAGCACAGTGGTACTGCCTAGTATGTGTGAGGTCTTGTGTTTGATTTGTAGCACCACCACAAGAGAGAGAAAGAGAGAGAGAGAGAAGGGGGAGATTTAAAAAAGCGCAATAGAAATTACTTAACATTATTTTAGTAGCAAATTACTCACTAAAAAGTTCTAAAAAACAAAATGATTATGCTAGACATGCTCAAGGTTAAAAGTCAACTGAAGCATCTACTAAAGCAAAAAATAAATAAACAAATAAAAGTTGGGAGAATCAAAGTTCAGAAGTCCTGAGGAATCAAAGCTCATAACCTCATGCATGAATCCTATCCCTGCTGCAGGTGGAAAGATGACCCCACAGAACACACCTGTGAGAGCCCTCAGTTTGACACAGCAGGCGATGTAGTCATCGAAGGTGATCTTTCCGCTGGTGCTATATCGTTTTGCAACTGAATTCACAGTTTGGGGATTCAACCGAAATCCTGAAAGGCATAAAAACCATCCAGCAAACAAAACGAAAATGTTAAGAGCTGCTAGAGAACATTACAATAATGCTCAGGTACAAGACTTGATTTTAGGACGGTGCATTCATTTTAGTTATGAACAGACACAGTTTCTAAGAATAAGACACTGTCTTAAATCAGCACTGTTGGGGAAAACAACCAAATCTACTTCTACCAGAAGTCTGAGTTGCCCGTATGTACCCATTGTTGTCAGGGCCTTCTGCAGTTCTTGAGGATCCACCGTGCCACTCCTATCGCTGTCAAAACTGATGAAGTGTTGCCTCCAGCCATTCAGTACAGCCCAGAGTTCTTTAAATTCATTGAATCCCATTGTGCCAGACCGATCTCTCTGAACTGCAGTCAAGGATCAGAGCTGCTATGTTTCGCAACATTTTGTAATGACTAAATTAAAAAATAAATAAAAGGAAGGATAAGAGGAATTCATGTTCTTTTTGCTAAAATGGCTTACCAAGTTATTGCACATTCTTCTTGGTATGATATAATGAAAAGAAAAAGGATGAAAGATATAATGAAAAGTACTTCTGCAGAAAATACTCTTGAGTTCTCATTTTTCACCCTGGGAAAAAGAGAACCTAAATGGTGTGATTACTGACTGTAACACTGCATGGTGAGCCACATGTGTAAAGCAATGTTACTACCAGACATGGGCTGCTTGCATGTTTACTCATCTATCTGTGAGTCATTCTGGCCTCTAACATTCCTTTGCTAAGCCCTTCTAGAGCCAATGACTCCACTTCTGGCAAGTCTGAGCTGGGATGAAAGGCACTGCAGGGTCAGCAATAGCTAACCTGAATCCAACAACTGGATGTGAAAGATATCCCATCACATGAAGTTCAAGGGGTAAATTGTGCAGATTAATCAATGTTTTAAAAAAAGATTGTCGCTATAGCTCAAGTGGTAGAGCGCTAGCCTTGACCTGAAGAGCTGAGGAACAGAGTTCAGGCCCAGAGTTCAAGCCACACGACTAACAAAAAAAAAAAAAGATTTCCTTGGTATATTTGTCTCTTATATACTTGTTCTACTTTGGTGCTTCTGTTTTCTTCAAGTTCCTATTCACACTAAATTACATTCTAAAGGCTAATTATTTCACAAGGCTTTACCTGTCTTGTGTTTATTGGATATTAATTCTGGGATGAATGCTTTTAGGAAAGCAAGAAAATATACTCTAGATAAGAGTCAAGAGTCAAGATAAAGGATACATCCAGCATTGAAACCATCAGCCGACATGTCTCCAGGTTAAAAGCTGTAAAATCCAGAAGAGTACACATGTATAAATACAATCTCAAACACTTATTTACATCAGATACACTCAAATTAAGAACAGGATTATTTATCTACTTTTTAAAACATACTTCTCAGTTTATATGGGAAATTTTTTTTTTTTTTTTTGGTCAGTTGTGGGGCTTGAACTCTGGGGCTTGGGTGCTGTCCCCGTGCTCTTCAGCTCAAGGCGAGTGCTCTACCACTTGAGCCACAGTGCCACTTCCAGTTTTCTAGTGGTTTATTGGAGATAAGAGTCTCATGGACTTTCCTGCCCGGGCTGGCTTTGAACCGTGATCCTCAGATCTCCTGAGTAGCTAGGATTATAGGTGTTAGCCACCGGCGCCTGGCTATGGGAAAACTTTTATATGGAGCTTCAAAATAGGTTTTTAGAGAAAAGCATATCTTCTAGAACCCTTCTGATTTAAAATAATATTTTTAAAAGTACTATATGGAAAACTTCCGTTTTCCTGCCTTTGCAACTATAATGTACGTATAATGTAGTATACTCACCAGAGTGGGTGGGAAAATGGTGTTGCTTTGTTACTGCTAATAAATACTTATATGTAATTGTTTTTGGTATTTTGGTTTCAAGTCATTTTGCTATATTTTCTCTTTAACATCAGGTACTAAGCAGTAACCTTCTATGACCTCTTTTCTTATACAATAAGCTTATTATATATGAAACCAGATAAGTCATCTTGTCAGAATTGTGTGCATGGAAGCCCTCTGGAGTAGAACCCAATGAGCAGTGCAGGTGAGCATGGTTCAGGAGCCTTTTTAGTTTGCCTGTAACTTGCAAGAATTCTGAGGACATTTTAATATCTCCCTTACTCCAAAGCCAAACTGAAATACAACCAATGAGCAGTTCACTGATAATCTAAGTATTAAGAAAAAGCAGAGCCCTGTACATGCAATTTATTACAAAAGTGGAAGTGGATTATAAAACAGAAGTAAAAAGTATCAAATGGGAAAAGTGAGTACAAATTTTTCAGGTGTAACAGAACTAACATTCCTTATAGCTCCTTCTGACTCCACTTCCCCGCTCCCCTTAAGAAACTGAAATAAGAACACAACTCAAAAATGTTTATTGTTGTACTTTCTTCAAGCTTCCAAAGTATGGGTTTTCTACATTCAATGAGTCACTATAGTTAGCATATCCATTCCCAGAAAGAAAGGACCAGCAACTCTTTCTATATTATTAGTCCCTCAATCTCTTTGACCCATACATACAATTCTCTGAGGTGAGAGAATGTAGCAACACTTTTCTACATTTTGAGAAAACTGCACCAAATCTTCACTCACACTTTTCAATTGTATGGGGTATGAAGGCTTTCTAATCTAAAACCATGGTTCTCCATCTCCCTCTTAGCAGAATCACAGAGTTATTAAATCAGGATCTCAGAATGTGGGGTCCAGGTACTAGTATTTTTTGTGTAAAAGCTTCTCATATGATCCCAATGAACACAGCAATGCCTAGACCACCATTCTATTTAAAGCGTGATTCTTGCACTACAGTCCCAGGATTTCACCTGGGAGCATAACAGAATTGCTTTCAGCAAAGGCTAACACTGTAAAATTTAACAAGGTTCTCAGGTTAGCCTGAGGGTCCAACTTTGTGATGGTCAACTTGGACAAACATCACGTGGAAACCTGTTAGGAGAAAGTTCTCAAGTCTTGTCCCAGAACTGCGAATGAGAAAGTACAGGGCAGGGCCTAGCAATCTGAGTTTTGCTGGGTGATGTTGATGCTACTAAAGTTTAAGAACTATCACTCTGGACAGCTTGAGAGCCACAGGGAAAAAAGCGCATTGTTTTTGGCTTACACCTAGATTTTGAAGGGTTGTAAAGCAAATAGATTCTCTGTCTCCAAGTTTCATGAACAACACCACTATTCACTTAGCAGTTGCCCAAACTAGACATATGAGAGCATACATAATACCTTCTCCCTGAAATTCAATCACCTTTGAAATAGCTACTGGCTCTATGATTATTTCCCTGGGTAAGTTAGCATTGTTCTAACCTGTACCTGCATGGGACCTCCAACCAGGAGCCCTGATTTAGTTTTACTCAACTCCTGTGAACAGCAGTTCCCTAAAGACTCTGTAGCTACACTGAAGATCTTGCAGACTGCAATGGCTTTGTCTGACAGGGGCATTGTACTTGTGGAATGATGGAATGTTGTAGTCTCCAGCCAGAATTACCTTGAACTCTCTTAGGTCAGAGTCAATTACCTTGATTTTTGGATCTGAGCTAAATTCTCTCAACTAATATATCATTCAGAACATATCACCAGCCTTAGCAGACTTCTAGTATCCATTAACTCTGGCAAGAATCTATAATGTCTTAACTGTGTAGAAGAGTTCTCGCTTTTCTGTAGTCCATTTATTGGACACCTCTACCAATGGAATTGGTCTATGATTTTCTCTTGTTCTGTGACAACACAAGGTGATGTTATTTCTTCCATAGTAGAAGGTAGCATTTAGGATCACTTGAGACCGTGGTCCTGTGCCTTGGCCACTCATGTTTCACTCAGAATGAACGCTTATTTCCTTTCAAGGACTTTAAAGGAAAGGACTTTAAGACAACACCATCAATTTAGACTTTACAGCCAGGTATGACATGTGTTCTCTATAAAAACCTTATAAGGCTGTCAAGTACACATCAGATGAAAGGTCAAACAACTCCCTGGCACATAGGTCATTCATTTATTTCCTTGGTTCAGCTAGTCTTATTCTTCTCCAGTTCCCAGCCACTGTAACTCACTGGGAATTTCTCACTCCCATGACTAAAGCATGCTCTCTCTGGGCACATAGATACTGTTTGGACTATCTGGAATCCCCCTCCTTCTACCCCACTTCCTGGCCAGCACCATTTCTGCTGGACTTTCACTTCTCCTTTGTCTAGGTATCAGTACTGCAGGAAAACTCCAGTCTGGGATATGTGACTGATCCCACAGCCTCTGTACTTTTCTCAGTGCTTTCATAATATCTAACTGGCGTTGTGTGTGACTGCCAACCCAGCACCTCATAAATATCCACTGAGGTGGTTGGCTGGATGGATGGAATGATGTGTGGGATGAGACTGAATTCTTACTCCATGTGGAGGAAGCTGTACATACCCCTGTAGTTTAGATGCATTTCTTTCTCATATAGACTCCAAATACATTAGCTGAACAGACACCTAATGAGCTCTTATTATGTGCTTAACCCATCTGCCCACCCACTTTGAGTCTGTGAATTTCTGTTTGGAAGCTGGGTTTTAAAAGACCAATAGCTATATAATTTCTGTATAAAGTCCAACAGCACATGAGCAGGTGGTTTATTATAGCCAGCAGTGGACATTAAACACATCAATGAAATCACACAGTCCTTGTGTCTCAGAAAATGTCTTCTCTATAATGCACTGACCCAAGGTCATCAGTAGATGCAGCTTTCTGAAAATTCTTTCTTTCTTTATTTTTTTGAAAATTATTTAAATGACTACTCTCTAAAGATACACAATCCATTTTGTTGATGAAATTTATTTTCCTTAATCTGCTGCACCTCTTCTACTGAAAGTGTAAATAATAAGTCTGTGTGTGACACCTGGCCTTGGTAACCCTAATGCTGTACCTTCCTGTTTGCCCTCTCAGCTGTCTGAAGTTAACAATGAACAATTTAAAACTATCACCTGTACTACATTGCCCCTACAGAGTGGTTTTTTTTTTTTAGGACAAGATTAAGTGACACAAGTTCAAAAGATTCTTTTCTTTTGTATTAATTCCACCAACCAGCAAATAGTAACAGGATACTAAGTCACTCTGAAAACAAAGGATGATAAAGACAGGAACATAAATAGTTCAGACAGCCATCTAGAAAATGTTCCAGGTCACACAGTCAAAAATGCCACTATAAAATACTCGACTATGAATTCTAGTTTGAACATTTCAGCTCACATTTTATCATGAAACTGGGGCTTCTGTCTGATGTTCTGACTCAGTTATCATCTGGCAAAGAATTTGGCAGGTTACAAATTTGAGCTAACATACTAGTATCCAGCCTAGAAATCTGTCATGGGCAAGATTATATTTGAAAACAAAGTACAAGGTATGTATGTGAGGATGAGGTATCTTTGCAATATTTATCTTCCAATTTGCTGCCTGTGGCAGACAGCTCAAAAAGAAGGAGAGTGGGGAAAAGCACTGCATTACAGGACAGCTGATGCAGTACAAAGGAATCGAGGAGAGGAGAAAGACAAGTGTGAGCTCAGGAAGTAGAAAGAACACTTCCTGCTCAGCCTGAGCAAATGTTCTGAAATGGGAAGAGGACAGGAGAGACCTGGGGAATGTCCTGGCAAACACTCATACTTCTAAATGCACAGCCAGAGGTTAGAGACCATTCAAAACCCTAAGTGCCACTAGGCTTAGGGTGGAGTAAGCTCTGGCAACCTGTCAGCAGTAAATGTTGGTGCCTATCCTTAATGACACTGGACTAAGTAGAGTTTAATATCTTGATTTCTGTGAAGATGGACACCCAAATTTGGCTCGCTTGAATGCTCTCACATACATGAAACCCAAATCCAAGAAATCTACTAACCTGCCAGGCAGGGCAGACTGATTTGTTAATAATTATTTTTAAATAGACTTTTTTTTTTTTTTTTTTTTTTTTGCTGGCTGTGGGGCCTGAACTCTGGGCTTGGATGCTGTCCCTCAGCTCTTCAGCTCAAGGCTAGCGCTCTACCACTTGAGCCACAGTGCTACTTCTGTTTTTCCTGCTTATGTGGTGCTGTGGAATCGAACCTAGGGCCCCATGCATGCAAGGCAAGCACTCTACCACTGAGCCACCTTCCCAGCCCTGAAATAGACATTTTAAAATAGCAGCCTAATTTAGCTTCTGAAATTCTCACAGTGGGTGAGTCAGAAAAGCTGTTATTTTAAATGCTGTGATCGTATGTAGCAGCTGCGATGTGAAGATCAAGTAATCTTAGAGAAACTTTAGGAGTGGTCAACTTACGTTTGTATCCTCCAGCAATGCCTGACTGGGTCAGACATCTCTGCAACTCATCAGCATCAATCTGTCCATCCTTTCGAAAGACACAGGAAGAGGAATCACTATCATGACTTTACTTTCAGGTTCTCTCAAAGTCTTTTAGTATTCCACCCAGCAGTAACAAACAGAATTATCATCATGCATGAGGTACTTTATGCAAAGAATGCTTTCTAAAAGTGAGCATCTTGGCCACCATTCTTCTCTCCTTCTGAAACTCTAGAAAACTACCAAAAGCAAGCATTTTAAAATAAAACTATTTATAGAATTCTTGTTTTCTTGGTACTTGAACTCAAGATATGGGCATGGTCCCTTTGCTTTTTTGTTCAAGATAGTGCTCTATCCCTTTAGCCACAGCTCCACTTCCAGCTTTTCCACTAGTTAGTTGGAGATAAGTGTCTCACGAATTTTCCTGCCTGAGCTGGCTGTGAACCGCGTAGATCTCAGTCTTCTAAGTAGCTAGGATTACAAGCACGGGATTACTAGCTAGGATTACAGCGCTTAATGATTTATGGGGTCCTTAAAATTATTTTCCTCATCCCAGAAGGGAGAAGAAGGGCGCACAGCAGAAATTAGTAAATGTAACACTTGGTTCAAAAAGAATACTCCTCTTTGATCACCTTAGGACTTGGTGGATGATTTTCTTCAGAGCACAATTCCATGTGGAAGGTACAAGTTAGGTTTCCAGTACCTGCTTACTGGCTAAATTAGGTCAGAACTTGAATAATTTTTAAAGAGAATTTAAAAATCAAATATCCAAATCCACAAGTCAAGGAGTACTGTAAGTTATAAACAAGGAGCAGGGTTAATAACCTAAAAGATGATGAATGCATGGGAGAGAGGCCAGGGGTGCTGAAAGCTAAGCAGGTAGAGTCACTTACAGGCTGGAGGCCCTGGCAATCTAAGAATGCTAGTCTTAAGGTGTGCTGTTTCTTGTGGTTTCAAAGATACAGATCAGTCACAGATTCAACAGATACTGAAGGGGAAAGTCTTCCAGTGTTAGACTCAATTTTCCATTCAAATTCTCAAAGCTGTATTCCTTAGAAGGCCTTTGGTTTCTATTCTGCAGTGTTGTTCACAATATTTTACTAGTTTGAGTTTTTGAATTAAACAAGACTACACTAGCAAACACAAATATGCCCTCTGGCTATGGCTGTTATGGCAACAGTACAATTATGACAGTGACCTTGTGAGACCCCACAGCTGTCCTACAACTTGTGAATGGAGAGAAGAGGGACAGGGGAGTGAACCTCAATCCCGCCTCTGGGTCAACAAGCCACCACAGCTAGGGAGAGCAGAACTGACCTAATGCAAGCATCTTATCCAATAAAGTAAACCTGCTCACATATTAACTTCTTTTGCTGACAGTGAATTTCTTATTCAGAAAAAGGTGCTTTTTTGTTGTTTTTATTTACCACACATACTTACTTTGTAAATAACAAATTCAACTGAAAGTGTCACTAGGACCTGGCTATATAATCATGACTACAAGTTTGTAAGTAGACAAACAGGGGCTTGTGTTAATCAGATCTGGAATTTCTTCTCAGGAAACTACTCTGGGCCCTGACGATTCGTTTTTATTTTTCAATTTTAATTTTATTTTTTAGTATTTTTAAATTTTATTTAAAAAATTTTTTTTGGGGGGGGGACCTGTACTCTGGGCCTAGGTACTGTCCCTCAGCTCTTCAGCTCAAAACTAGCGCTCTACCACTTGAGCACAGCGCCACTTCCAGCTTTCTGTTTATGTAGTGCTGAAGAAACAAACCCAGGGCCGCATGTGTGCAAGGCAAGCGCTCTACCACTGAGCCACCTTCCCAGCCCTGACGATTTATTTATTTATTTTTGGGGGGAGGTCAGTGGTGGGGCTTGAACTCTGGGCCTGGACACTGTCCCTCAGCTCTTCAGCTCAAGGCTAGCGCTCTACCACTTGAGCCACAACGCCACTTCGGGCTCTGCTTATGTGGTGCTGAGGAATCAAGCCCAGGGCCTCATGCATGCAAGTTAAGCTCTCTACCACTGAGCCACCTTCCCAGCCCCTGAGGATTCATTACATCTTTCTATCCTGTAGATCTTCAAAGGATATTTTTAAGTGCCCTATTCTGTTTAACCTTACATGAGTTCACCCACAAGTTTACTTCGGAACTGCTCTATCCTAAGTACAGGGTAAAAAATCTGTTCTCACTCCTTCTGAATATGATTATCATTAATAATAATAATAATAAATCAGAACCTTAACTCTCCCATCTCCACTGCAGGGCAAATGATTCATTTCCAGGATAAGTTTGGTTGTGTGTGTTTTAATTTTGCCCCGGACGCTAACGCACAGAACGCGACAGTTCTTGACTATTACAAGGAAAAGCCCAACCTGTCCAGCAACAGCAGCAAAGTAACCATACAGCGGATCCTGGGTCTGTCCGGGAAACGCAGGCCCTCCGGGAGCCCCTCCGTACTGTGAAAGAGGAAACACAAAACCATCATTCCATCCGCCTGCGGCTTTCGTGCAGAGCCCGGGCAACGGCGGGCTGTCCTTCCTGGGCCTTTCCAGTCCCCCACGCCTCACGCCAGCTGCAAGACCCCGTCCCCTAACTCCACGCCCGCTCCTCGGGAACTTCCCATCTGGTGACTTGAACCAAAGGCGGGCGTCACCAAAACATGAGCCAAGCGCGCGCTGCTTAAACAGCATCCTTATAATTTGTAGGCTACTAGGGGGGAGGGGGGGCGGAACCCAGGCTGGCAACTGGAGGGCGGGCCCCTCCTTTTCTCCTTTACAGCTTTTCGGGGTTCGTAAAAAGCACATGAGGCGCCAGGCGGGTGGGTAGGGCACTGACAGGTGTGGGAGGAGGAGGAGGAGGAGGAGGAGGAGGAGGGGGAGGAGGAGGAGGGGGAGGAGGGGGAAGGAGGGGTAGGAGGAGGAGGAAGGAGGAGGATGGAGGGGGAGGAGAGGGAGGAGAGGGAGGAAGGGAGGATGAGGAGGAAGAAATAGAGGAGTGAAGAAGAGGAAGGAGGACTAAGGAGGAGGATGGAGGAGGAGGAGGTGGAGGAAGAGGAGGAGGAGGGGGGAGGAGGGGAGAGGAAGGAGGAGGAGGGGAAAAGAGGAGTGGGGGAGGAGGGGGAGGGGGTGTCCGGGCTGCGGGACTCCGCGCATCCCGACGCCGCCGGGCGGGGCGCCTTCTTCCCAGGCTACGAGCCCGGGGTGTTCCCCCCCTCCCCACGGGTCCCCCCCACTTCATTTTCGTTTAAAAGGAGTAAGGGAGACCTCAGGACGGTTCTTGATCAAAATGGCTGTTGTTGCTTTGGGAGGAAACCAATACCAAGTCGCACACTTTCCTGCCGTGTTTCCGGGTCACAGGGGCTGGGAGGGCATCGGGTCTCCGGGCCGCCCGCGCCCTAGCCCCGCGGGGTCACCCGCGAGGGAAAGTTCCGCGACCGAGGGGCCGCCGGGGGGCGAGCGCTCGGGGAGCAGCGGGGCCGGGGATCCGCCTCGCCGGGGTCTCCTCCTCGCCCGCCGCAGCGCCCCCAGATGGCTTCTCTGCGCCCCCCCCCTCCCGCACCCCAAGGTGACACTTGGAGGCACGCCCGTGCGGAGCAGGACTTACCCCGCCTGGGTAGTACCCGCCGCCGGCGCCAGGGTGCCCTGGGTACGCCATGGTGAAGATTGCGCCGCCGCCCTGCGCGCCCAGCGCGCCCGGCCACCCCGCCCGCCCGCCCGCCCGCCCGCCCGCCCGCCGCGGGGCCGCCCCCGAGCGCACCACCGCGCCCCGAGGGGACACGCGCGGCCGGCGCGCCCCGCGCACCCCGGACCACCCTGCCTCCGACCCACGACCCACGCGCTACGGAATCCTTGCACTCTTCCTGCCAAAGACACGCATAATCCAAGGTCCTGCGGTGACCTACGAACTGCAATGCGAGTCACGGAAGGAACTTTCCTCCCTGTGAAAAGAATGGCACATTCCAACTACGACACGGACACTGGGGACTTGGTTTTTTTTTTCCCCCTCTCTCTTTTTCTTCCTATTTGGCTATTTTCCAGCGCATTTGTTATCTGGAGGTTATTGGAACGGGCGGACCCGCTGAGAGCACTGTGCAGAATTGGAGGGAGAGGAGTAATGCATTCGCAGCTCTTAGGTGCCGGGGGTGGGGTGGGAATGGACACAATAAACGATTAACGCCTGCGGAAAACAAGACTGAACTCCGGGAACTGTGGTGTGCAGGGAGCATTTGGCTTTCCACCACCCTTTTCTTTGAATGGCAATGGTGTTCTTCTTGCCAGGGGGGGCCATACCTTCCCTGGATAAATTGGGTATAACTCCTACACTGGCTGGGAAGCTTCACCCGGATCCGATTGTTCTTAGGAAGCTGAATTGTTTGAATTTTCTGCATGAGTCGAACAAGAGTAATCACTTTCTCCAAAGCTGCTCTGTTAAGTTTTTTTTCCTCTTCTTCCCCCACCTCCCATTTCTTCCCTCCCGCCCCCCCCCCCACTTCTTCCCACCCAGCTACTTTTCCTTAACACAGAAAAGTTAAGAGCAAACTAAGAGAGAAGCAAATACTAGTGAAGATGGGTACTTTATCTGAGTTATTTAGGAAATGCTTTTCTGTGTTTCATTAAGTTTTCATCCAGTTAACCAATCTGAAGCAGGGCACAGGATTTGGGGTTTAGTTTTAGGCAGTTTCAATCACCAACCTGCTTCTGTTGGGTTTTCTTTTTTGCCTCTCTTGTTTTTAAGCAAGAGCCACGATATTTACTATGGACGTTGTCATGAAATGTTCAAAGGAGTCGTCAAGCATTTAAAAGCAATTATTGCACCTGCCAGTGATGTGTGGTACTGTACTTGAAGTCATGGTCTCACGTTTCCAAGTTCCTATACTGTGTTCTTATCAGGCTTGTATTCCTTTATTCCTGTATTCCCTCTCAAATCATCTTTTTGGATACAGAATCTCAAACGTGAAAGTCACAAATAGTAAGACAATTCTTATAGTCCTTATTGTCTCATAGAAAATACATGGTTTTAAAAGGGAACCCTACTGCATTGTTGGTGTAAACTTGTTAAACAACTTTGGAAAACAGTGTGGAGGTTCTTCAAAAGACTCCACATAGAGCTCCCCTATGACCCAGCAATCCCAGTTTGGGGCATTTACCCAAATGATCACAAACAAGACTATACTAAACCTACCAGCACAACTATGTTTATTGCAGCATTAGTTACCATAGCTAAGATATGGAACCAACCCAGATGCCCCTCAGTAGATGAATGGATCAAGAAAATGTGATATATATATATCACATATATATGTATATATGTATATATACATATATACATATATATAGTGGAATTCTGTGCCTCCATCAGAAAGAATGACATCGCCCCATTGGTTAGGAACTGGAAAGACTTGGAACAAATTATATTAAGTGAACTAAGCCAGGCCAAAACAACACAGGCCCCATGGTTTCCCTTATCTGCAATAGCTAGTATATCTCTAGGACAAGCAGAAAAGGTCAAAAGCTATGTACATATGACCATATAAGATAATGTTAAGCGAAATGAACCCCAAGATAGGGACACACTGGTTTTATTTTTCTTGCTTGCTATTGTTTTTAACGTATTTAAAATGTACTGTGCGATTTTTTTTTGCTTCTTTTGTATGTTTTCCCCAATGCTATAACCCCCTTTTTCACTGTATTTGATTCCTGTGCCCTGCATCTTATATATATACATTTTTCTAATTTGGGGAGGGAAAGAGAAATAACAAAATACTGAAATAAGATACAGGTTAACCTATTGTAGCAATGAGATGTACAAGACACTATGTTGAAAACCAACTTTACAACTTCAGGGTGAGGGGGGCAGGGAAAGGATAGTAGGGGAAAAACAAAGGAAAATGTAACAATGCTCATTGGAAATTTACTCATTACCTTACTCATGTAACTATAACCCCTCTGTACATTATTTTTACAATAAAAACATAAAAAATAAAGAAGACACACATACAAAGAAAATATATGGCTTTGCTTTTTGTGTCTACTCTCTTGGATTTTCTATGCCTAATTCTTATTGTTACATATTATTGTATAATATGGGGGGCTCATTGTGACATTTTCATGTATGTGTAGAATATATTTTTGCTTGAAGGAATACAAGTCAGAACACAAGAGCAACACCTAAACAACTCTCTTCATCGCATCAGTACAGTAGTCACAATAGCCAATCTATGGCATCTGCCTGTGTGCTATCAATGGTTGAAAGGAAATATGATATATATTTATAGATCTATATATAAAGAGATATAGATAAAGGAATATATATTTATCTTCGCATATATGGAAGTTTGTGCTTGATTCAGGAAGTAGATTCTTGGTTTCTCAAGCAGCATGGAAATTCTGAAAGGTAGGTTTAAAAAGAACATTTTGGCCTCTGTTTTGAAGCTTCAGTCAACTAAGTGATTATATTGAACTTAAGACTGAATACAGGCTCTTTCCAGGCTCAAATCTTAAAGACACATACACAGTTGTAAAATATTTACAACTAGAATAGAACTCGTTTCATGGATGAGTGGCTTTGTTAATTGTTATTCCAGTCTTTAGACATTTTACTACTTCCTCCTACTAAAGAATTACATTTTAGTGGTGTTTGTTATGAAGTTCCTAACAAATGTTGCTAGAAAACTGTTAAATGACAGCTACTTTTAGAATGTGGGCAGTAGTAATGACAAATTTATGTATATTAGTATATCTGCTCTCAAACATTTTAATATTTGCTTCATCCTCATAAAAACCCCATGGGATAGGTGCTGTTATGCAAGTGTGGGACGGAGCAGGGAAGACATCCCAGTAGAAGACTCAGAGCTGAGCTACCTCAGCTAGGCCCTCTGGTTCCAGCCTCTCTTCTCCAGCAGGGGGCAGCAACTTTGTATCTGGAGAAGGAAACATTTTTGGTCTTTTCAGTAGCAACTGCTCAACTCCAGCCCACAGTATCCAAAGACCTTTGATAAATGAATGGCGTGGCTCTGTCTATAATCCAGGACCACTTCATTTATGGACACAAAGTTGGATTTCACATAATTTCCATATTTTTTTCAAACCATTTGAGGAATAAATGTCATTATTAACTTCCAGGTGTACCAAAACAGAAGATGGCCAGATTTGACTCTTGGGCAGTAGCTTGTAAACCACTTCCAGGATGCTATGACTCACTGTAGCAAATGATTTGCAGCTTTAAGATAAAGCTTATGACTAGTGGTGGCTAAGTCACACACCTTGGAGAAAGGTGAGCTACTTCAGAGTTTTCCTCACTGACCAGAAAGATGATCAAGAGGAACATTGTGAGACCCCCCCCCCCCATTTGAAGTGACCAGAAGGCATGCCAAATGAGAAAGCCTGCAGACATTAGTGTGTTAAGTGTAATGTGTAATCTGAGAATCCATATTAGTAATTAAGATTGTAATGAACCTTTGTTGCCAAAAACCAAGGCTCACAAATGACCTCAGTACGAATTAACAAAGCTGAAGTAGCTTGTGAGTTTGTTATTAAATAAATTCTCACATTGTGGAGAGAGAGCACATCTTTCTAGCTTCTGACTTACCTCACTCCTGACTGTATTAAAAATAAAAACAAGCCACAAAGCCATTAGACTAAGCTCAAGTCTTTTCCCCCTTCACCTTTTATATACCACTTCTTCAGGAATTAGGGCAAAAGAAGGGCTACAGAAAAAGAACCTTAGGGGTACAAAGCCCTCTGAAGTGGGGTGTGATGGCAGGTACCTATAATCTCAGCACTTGAGAAGCTGAAGCAAAAGAAAGAGAACTTTGAAGCCAGCCTGGACTACATACTTCCAAAGGCAAGAATAAAAAAAATCAAATAAAAAACTCAGTGGTATCTCAGTTCTTATACCTTCAAAATATGAATCCTAGAAACAGACACTGTAAATCTATTTAAAGAAACTCCACTACCAAGTACCAAAAGCTGAATATTTATAGTTAGAAGAAGGTTTTTATCTGGTATGAAGAGCTAGAATATGTGCTATTTGTCCTAATAATATACTAAGTCTTAGAAAAAGTCTGAGAACAATGATATAGCCATGCTGCCATGCCAGAAGGTGGTGGTAGCAGTGTGGATTGGGGAGAGAGCTATATCAAGTCTATCAATCGGGCTGAATTCTTGTTATTTAGATAGTCATTGTACCCACACAAAATCTTAGTGATCATCTGCTGCCAATCTTGCTGTTTTATAGGTTTATAAAACAAAAAACAAAACAACAAGCAAACAAACATCTGAGCCTCCGGCAAGGGCATGGCTAGGCCAAACTCTCCAAGGGTTGAACTAAGTTCCAAGGAACTATTTTACCTTTCCCAAAGAAAGCTGTGGCATTCTCTGAATTTACTTCACTCAGAGTGTTGCACTTTGGATTTCTCAATGCTTACCTAAGGCCATGTGTTGAAAGCTTGGTCTTCAGGAGCAGAGGTTAGTGAAAGAAGGTGAATCACTGGGAGACACACCTTTGCAGCAGTTAGGGATCCTGGTCCCTTCTCCTCTTTTGCTTCCTGGCTGCCATAATGCATCAGGCACTTCCCATGGTAACGTCCTGCCAATTGGCAGGACAAAATACCACAGAGCTAATCTACAGTCAACTGTAACCTCTGTAACCATGGAACAAAACAAATTGTTCCTCCTCATAAACTGTTTCCAGTAATTTGTCACAGCA